TCGAATAATATAATTATATTAAAAATATTTGTTGACTTTAACGTATTCATTATTTTATTATAATATTTTTCTAATAAAATACATAAGTTTTAATATACATTGAATCCAGTACATGTGTAATTTTAAATTAAAATCTAAGAATAGTAAAAAAAAAATGAATTTTTCGGATCCATCAAGTCTTTCCGGATATAGTCTCGGTCGGATCTAGTATAATCGGATCCAATTTGAGTCTCGGATCTAACAATATATATTTGGGATGAATATCAGTTCCGATTAAACCCGACTCATTGTGGTCCATATAATTTTATAATTCAAATAAAATTTATGATAAATAATAATTTTAAACAATGAATTTATTAATTTATTTAAAAAAAATTGTACCATAAAAATAATATAAATTTAATTAAATATATAATTCAAATAATAATTAATTTTAAAATTATTTAATTTTTATATAAATATAATACTATTATTTCTTTTATAAGATGATATAAATGTAAAAATTAAAATTTAAAAGTAATATGGTACCCCAATTACAAAAAATTCCTTATTTGTAGGATTTTGAATCATTTTTCAAATCCCATCACTTTAAATTTCACCATTTTTTTTTACAAAACATGGATTTTATAGGATTTTAAAATCCAAATTCAATGGGATCCCATTAAATCATTGATCCAAACAGTCCCTTAATACTATTATTTATAATCATAATATTTTTTTCATAAAATTAATATTATTTCCGTCCGGCTCTAAGGGTCAATTTATTTTTTGCATATTGATATTTAATATTAATTATTATATCAAAATATAGTATAAATTAAGATAAAATACAAAAATACTTTTATTAGTGTCTTATAATACTAGTAGAAAGAAATTTGAACAAAAAAAATATACAAATATAAGAATATTTTTAATGTTAGATACAATAACGCAAAATTTAAATGTGACCTAGGCGGACGGAGGGAGTATCATATATATATATATATATATTTTTTTCTTATTTCAAAATGTCTCAAAACTACATAAATTTCCAAAACTTTTATCTATAACCATGATATATCTTCTATTTGTTCCATACTCATGCTTAAAAATTAATAAATTATATATATATATATATATTATACTACCCCATCTCATTTACTTTGTCAACTATTTTCATATTCGGCTGTTCACATAAATTATCTTTTTTTTTAGAAATATAATTATCACTTTAATCATATTTTAAAATTCATAATTTATAATTTTTTTAAATTAAATTATTTAGTCATCTTAATCTTAATATATAATTAACTTTATTATATCATAATTATTTTTATTAATATATTTTCAGCTAAAATGGATAAATTAGCTAGGACAGAGAAAGCAATTGATTATCAAATTAAAATTAATTTCATGGTAGCTAACACGAAATGAATAGGACCGTATTGGATGACTTAGAAAGCCAACTAAATTTACATACGGTTAATTGAGCCATGTTCATTATCCTGTTATAAATATGCCCGTATTTATATATTTTTTTTCCGTATTGAATATGACCATATTTTAGACTATATTCATTTTTTTTTCAAATCATTTGATATATATTCATAATTCTAAGAAAAATATTTTTACAATTATATAGAATTAAAAAAATAATCAAAATTTAATATTATTAAAAATGATTGAAAAATAACTATAAAATAATAAATTAATATATATTGTTAATAATAATTGTTATTATATATTTTTCAAAATTTTTAGTATAATTTAAAAGGTATTTTAATTTATAATAATTCATAATTTATAATTTGAATTTTAAAACTTATTTAAAAATTTTAATTAAATTTTTTTGAAAATAACATCCAACAATTTAATTGATAGTTTTAAATTTTATAATTGAAATAAAATATTTTTCAAATAATATTTTTATTTTTTAAAATTCTAAATTAAGACTGTTTTAAAAAATATATATAATAATTATTAAGAATCAATTTTTCTAAATTATTTTAAAATATAAAAAAATTATCAAATTTTAATATTTTAAAAATAACAATAAAATTAATAAAAAAAAGTAATAAGAGAGATGCTCTGGCCAATCATTTGTTCATTCTCTTTTTAATACGTACCAAATATTATTAGGACGTATATATACTTTCTAAATCAATATAAATATAAAAAGTGAAATAATATCAAAATTTAACTTTTTACAAGTTACATCACATTAAATATTTTTAACTTTGTAATTAATTTTTTTAAAAAATATTATATTCCTTCGGTCTCAACCAAAGTATCATTTTTGTTTGCCCCACTTCAATATATATTTTTTTTTATATTTTAGAAAAACGTAATTCTACACTAATACTAAAAATATTTTTAATTTTTACTTAATTTACAAATATACCATTATGTATACAATTATTTTATATATAAATCAAAATGACAAAAATGTAAAAAACTCTTACTCACTACCATTAACTAGTAAAATACTATTATTTCTTGATATACTACAAAGAGCCATTTTGATTTTGGGACGAAGAAAATATCAAACTTTAATTTCTTACAAAAGTTCACATTAAATAGATAAAGTCACTCTCCGCCAGAGTTAATGTATATTTTTATTTTCGTCTTACTCGCATTAGGGTATACATTTAGTTTTAGTAATTATAAATTTCATTTTTTCTACAAATATTTTCACTATCGTATAATTATTTTTATATTAAAATATAAAAACAAAATAATTTTTATACTATTTTAATTATTTATTACAATTATTTTTTAAATTTCAGACCAAAAAATTAAATATACATTCAAAATTGTACAAAAACTTTCAAAATCATCACATCTATATGTTTATCCATTTACTTATCAATTTATAATTTTGTGGCTTCGAAACTACTAATGGATAAAAATATCTCAGTGCCCCTCCAGAAAAGCACTAATTTGATTATATCCATAAAGTTGTATTGAATTAATAATGACGGCAACGGTCACTTTTCAAATAATATTAATTAATATTATTCGTGCATGGTAATATTGTGGATGCTGATAAATGTAAAATATGAGCCTCATAGAATCCACAAAACAACAAATTACAACTTTCGATATTTAATGTTTTTAATTAATGAGGCTGCCGCCATTAGATTTTTATTTTTCTTTTTTCTTTTTCTTTTTCAAGATTTCCATTTTGGAGTTGGCTGATATTTAAAAAATTAATAGCAAAAGGACGTTTGATCCACCAAATTTATTTTATTTTTCTTATTTGTCAGTAAATTTATTTATTATTATCCACGTCACAACTAATTTGTCTTATTTAATTTAATACAGAATTTTAGGTATTGTTTAATTAGTAAGACCATCTTCAATCCATCAATTTCATTTATTCAATTTTAACTCTAAATATACAGTTGCTACAGTAATTTTACTCAAACAATAACTCTATTTTTCATTATTACTCTTTAAATATTCAATTTTTTCTATTATTTTAAACAATTTTTTATTTTTATAATTTAAAATATTTTTTTTTTAAATTTAGAAAAATAAAATAAATTTAAAAATTAAAACTAAAAATTAAAAAATTGAAAAAATAAAAAAATAAGGAAGCAAACGTTGCACTGTAGCAACAAAAAATGGTGCACAATTCGCCAAATTTACCAACCCAACGCCATTAAAATAATTAATGACATTGGGTTGGAGATAGGCTTAGTAATTAAAAGAAGTAAAAATAATTATTATTTAATAAACATAATTATAGATTAAAATTAATATAATTAAATAATTTAATTAAAATAAAAATTATAAATTATAAATTTTAAAATATAATTAAATTATATAATTATATTAAAATAAAATAAAGGAATGAACGAATATAAATATAAAAGAGTGAACAAACTAAAGGCGTGTTTGGCAATTAGCTGATAGCTGATTCAGTTAGTTGATTTGACTAGATGATTTGATTAGCCGTTTGTATTAAAATGTTTGGTAAAACAATTGTTTGATATTAAATATTTATACGTAAAATGACAATCAAGGACAATTCTATTTTATTTTTTTTTAATATATTCAACTGTGTTCTTTTGAGTTTAAGAGTGTTTGAAATTTTTTATTATTAGTTATTGAAAATTATAAAAGTGTTATAAAATAGTATTTATTTTTATTATAGTTAGATTTAAAAAATAATAAATTTTTTTTGAAAAATATAAATATTATTTTTTTTATTAAAAATTATGTAAAATATAAAATAATAAATTTTTCGTGTATATATTTATTATGTTAATTATCAATTAGTTCATTATATTTATAATTTTCAATAAATTTAATTTATTTTTAGTATAAAATTTATATAATATAATTTTAATATAAAATTAAATTATTTATATTTATATTTTCTATTTTATGTTAGATTTTAATAAATTTATATATTTTACAATTAAAATAATATATATATATATAAATTTATATTTTAAATTTATAAAAGTAAAACTATAATATAATAAAATATTATCATATAATTAATAAATAATCAAAATATATTTATATGTGTAAAATGTATAATAAATTTTTAAAGGTATATAAGAAATTAAAAAATTTAAATTGAAAACATTATTTCAAAACGATGTGTAAATTAATTTTTTCATAAGTGAGCTATTCCAAAAAACTAATTTACCAAACACTAAAATAGTTGTTCAATAAGCTACAGAAACAAATATTTTAAAATATTTTCGACTGCTTGGCTAGCTGAGTAGGTTGAAAAGTCCCGATTATCCGACTTCTTTAGGAAATGATCTGAAACGGTGTCGAATGAATCAAAACAGCAAACAAGAGAAACTGACTACTTACAAAAAAACTCAAGGATTTATTTATTTATTTGGAAACAAAGGATTTATTTATTTAGAATATAGTTTTGTATTTTGTTTTTGTTAAATACTATCGGTGGTATAATACAATATTTTTTAATCTTCGTCACATGTAACTCTTTTGTTACTTGAAGGAAGTATTTATTATTAAGTCAACCAACAAGTTTAAACTAATTTGTATGTAACATTTTGTAGGAAAAAAAAATATTTTATAAAAATCACAATTATTGCACAATAAAAAATTTGAGATCAAACTCTAAAATAAGGTAACTAAAAATTTCCAGAGAAAAACAGTGACACAAACTGAGGCTCTTTTTTTGGAGAGACTTAACATCAACTTAAGCAGGGGAAAAACCTGTCCATGTGTTTTTGCTTTCATCGCCGGATCATCCAGGCGATGCATTTTCCGACAGCTTGTCTCTAAGATCCTTGAGGGCTTCGACAACTTCCGAGTCCAGATTGTGCTTCAAAAGTTTACCCTGCATCGATGTCGATCTACATGCAAATACTGTTAGCAAAATTTCTCGGCATTTCCTTCAAGTCGCAGCAGCAGCGCAGCGTACCTGTGTTCGCGCAGCATCTGTTCGACTTCCTTTTCCGAAGCTTTGATCTGCATTAGGTTACAGCATTAGACAAAAACAAACAAGACAACCTGCGGCAGATGATGTCTGTAAATTAGTTTCGATTAACTGACAGTGCGTGTATGCAATGTAGCGCGACAGTATTCAGGAATTCCGGAAGAATTTACCTCGGAAACCAATGCTTTCGCACTCCAGATGAAAGCTCCCTGAAATACAATATTGTCGGAATAATCTAAGACCGATCAATAAGCTCAATCGTAGACAACTACTGTCAAGTTTCATCGAACAAAAGATCGTGTCTTTTCATTGAATCACGGAATCTGGGTTGAAGTTCTGACAGTTTAGGTAAAATTTCGAAATTTGGAACTCAAGCACCTTCGAGACAATCAAATCAGAATTGTCCAGGAAAAATGTAATGAATTTTAGCACTAGTGTGTGAAAAAAATACCGAAAAATAAAAAGAAGCAAGGGGGCACTTACTGCTCCGTAAGCCGCATGTTGGTGGCAACGATCGGATGTCGCAACCCAGACTTTCGGACAGCCATCCTCCCTCAGAGCGACGACCTGATTCTCTTATTAACAGGACATCATCATCACAGTCTAGTTTCCGTAAAATGTTTTCTAACTGATGGAATTTGTATGCGATATCATGTTCTTGATCGATTTCGAATCAGAATCAAGTTGTTGAGCTTAAGATCCGATTATCTTTGTTACCTCTTTCTCAATCCATGAATCGGCACAGGTTTCGCCTGAATATATAATGTCGATGCTGCAAGATCGCGAAGTTAAAGCAAACATAATAAGTAAACAAGTTCATAAACTTATCCCTTAGGAGAGAGATTAAATTTGAATCAAGAACATCAATTCCAAAGATGAACTATAGAAAAGGAGGTTTAAGTTTAGCTTCATTTATGAGGAAATACATCGTCGAAATTTGGGAAGAACTCAAGCTCGGTTAGGTAGACAAATAAAACACAGAGCATAAGATCAAGTGTATTTACGTCGAATAATTTTGGGTACTTTTTCAAGCCAAACTTTTTGCCGTATTGAGGTTAGACTAATTTGGATTCGGCTCAAGATGAGCCTGCAAAATATTAGAAATAAAATAGAAAATACATCATACCCTATGTATATATATATTGCAAAAATTTGAATATATTCTCTGCAACACTCCCATAGCAAACCTGTGGTTTTTCAAGCAGAGCAAAATCGAAAACATATAAACTCCAAGATAACCAATGCAGGCAAGAATTTAGGTTCGCAGCATAGTACCAATTAAAGGTTTCTTTATGTGTCGGTAGGCCGGACATCATTGCATCAAATACGACCACCACTTTCACCTCTGCACGAGGAAGAGCATCCGAGATAAGTTCTACGGCCTAATTCAATATGAAAATAAATCGGAAAACATATGATGGCAGAATCTTAAATAATCGGTACTTAACATGTAGAACAGCAATAATTAGTCCTGGAATCAACACACATAACCACTAACCAAGAATCTTGGGATACATTAGCAAGGCAAAAATATTACAGTTAGTAGAAAGATCTCTCATTGCCCCGGGAAAATGGGTGCATATATATATATATATATATGTATGTGTATACATGAAACAAATGAAAGAAAATAACAGAACAAGTAAGAACAGAAGATCGATGATTCGAGGTTATAAGATGAAAGCATGACTTGCAGATGTAGCATATATCTAAGATGTTGAAGACACAGCCAGATTATGCACAGATGTTTGTATGATATTGTTTACGAATTATACTTTGGAATAGTATCGAGCGCAAACCTCTAAGCATACTGAATGTGATAAGTTCGTCTACAAGCTTTTGGCGAGCAATGTCCAGTCTCCCTATCATGAAATGCTTCTTCAGCTTCGGCCAATAGCCGCATACGTTGTAACCATCAACAAGCAAGACAGGGCTAGCCGATTCCATTCCCTGGTTTGTGCTGTTAAAGAAATTATGTGAAGGATGCTTTAGGTGTTCCAAAACTGGATTTCAGTAGGCTCTGATCAAACATTAGAACATATTACTAGTAAAGTGACAAGGTGGGATCGCGATATAGCTCTGTATCCTCAGGCAATTCATCCTTTTCGATCCTCTTCCGGCGATAACTGGTACTAGGCCTCGGAGTGCTCGACTTTTTTGCTTGAAACTCCTGCAAAGTATTAATCGACAATGTAATGAAGAAGAATTTCAAGCCAGAAGATGTAGAGTTCAGCCAGAAATTGACCTTCCATAATCTTAAGAACTGTAAGTTCTGCTTCACATTTGATGTGATTCTCGGTGGCGTCGATTCTGGATCCTGTTCAGACGAACTTTAACTCATTACGACATACTCAAAGCATACAGAGAGCAGGTAAGGATCTTATTGATTTATCAAACGCTGATACGCATCATGTAGTAGAAGGTTTTTATTGATAGATTTGTACTCGTGAATCGTGATTCCATGGAGCTTCAAAATCTCAATTGCAGTGCAATTGAGATTTCGGATCTTCAAATTGACAAAGAGCATCATATTCACGCACAGAGATACCGATTACCTTTGGAGAAGATGATCGAGTAGTTTTACTCTTCTTGGCTACAATCCTCGAAGAACAGACGTATCCACTGTACGACAATGCCAGGGCCGACGACGAGGTAGAAGGTAATGGTTTCATTTGCCCGCCGTTGGAAGATTCTTAGCCATAGATTCCATGGAACCCTAACTATTCATCTTTGCCGATTTCACTTCATCTCGAGAAGTATAGATTTCACTTACTGCTCTGGTTCCACTTCCACTGCACCGATTCGTGATTCAGGCGGAACTGGAGCAGATGGGTTTGTACCGTACGGATAATCAAGGTCGTGGCGCAGAATGGGCCACTCGTGTAAGGAGTAAGGACTAATTTGCAATTTGGTCGAGGAGACAGTCAAAGTGGAACAATGGTCTCTAATATGGTAATCATTGATTGAGATTTGAGAATTCGATGATGATCATTAAGAAATGATTCCGACGATCATTGCAAATGAGCATTCCTCTCCAAAAACATCTCACCATCGTAAGTACAGAACAATAATTGAGTAGGTGAGATAAGGTATTGCAATGGCGGAAGAGCAAACAATGCCCAGCGGCGCCGCCGGCAAGCCGGCAGTGTGCGTCACCGGAGCCAATGGTTTCATCGGCTCATGGGTGGTGAAAACTCTTCTGGATCACGGTTACACCACCATCCACCTCTGCATATTCCCCGGCTCCGACGCGTCGCACCTTTTTGCCATCCCCGGCGCCGCTAGGCCCGCCGTCCGCCTGATTACGCACCAAGTCGACCTCCTCGACTCCGCCGCCGTGGACACGGCCGTGGAGGGTTGCGGCGGAGGGGGGATTTTCCACGTGGCGTCTCCGTGCACGCTGGAGGACCCCGTCGACCCCCAGAAGGAGCTGCTGGACCCAGCCGTGAAGGGTACTCTGAACGTGCTCGCCGCCGCCAAGAAGTACGACGTGTTGCGCGTGGTGCTCACCTCCTCGATCTCCGCCATCGTCCCCAACCCGAAATGGCCTGAAGGCAAGGTGTTTGATGAGGATTCCTGGACTGATCTTGATTATTGCAAGTCTCGTCAGGTCAGTCGCTCAATCTCATTTCATTCCTGTCATCCACAAGAATCATGAAATAAGCATATCTGAACAAATCATTTGCTAAAATTCTATTTAGAATCCATTTCTTGCAGCTTGTTTCTTGATTTGGCAGTGTTCAGTGTTCCTGATTCCTATTTGTTTCGTAGAGTCGTCGAATCTTAACATGTTAGTTTGTAATTAGTAACCAGTATACAAAGCTTAAGTGAAGATGAGAGCACAGCAGTTTGGATAGTTAGCAATTGAACTCCTTAGTTTGTCGTCGCTATAATAGACCTTTTGATACTGTAAGAGTCAGGTCATCCAGGCGTAATTCAAATTAGTGAAGCAGCCATGGCCCCGACTATTGTATGGATGCGTGAGGAAATTAATGAAACACAGAAGTTTCATATAATTCTTGGCCAATGCTGCTATAGAATAGTCGATACTCATTACTGTTTGGCTACTCTGTTTTCTTTTGCATCCATTGTTGCTTAGCATTCACCTGCTTTATTACATCGAATTAGTGAAATTTGGGTACTCTCAGTAGCTATTGAGGACAAACTTGATTCTATAAAGTCACGTGCCGATAAAAATTTGATTAGGCACGAGAAAACAAGATGTTTTCATACTAGCATTAGTGTCTCATATGTAGAGAGATTAGTCTAGAGAATGTAATGTATATGGAAAACCAAACTTATCTTCTCTAAACTTATATTGAATAGCTGTAGAGACTTGACCAGTGTGTATTAGTTTCTTGTGGAACCGAGTATGATGAGATGAATTGGTATTCATACTACTGCCTCGAAGCTGTCTTAACTTTTCAGTGCAAGTTCTTCTATGATTCGACAGAAATGGTATCCGGTGTCAAAAACTCTGGCTGAGAAAGCTGCCTGGGATTTTGCAAAAGAAAACGATGTTGATGTGGTTTCAATAAATCCCGCAACATGTCTTGGCCAACTTCTGCAACCCGGGTTGAATGCTAGCTGCGCAGTCTTGCTGCAGCTGCTCCAGGGGTCGAAAGATACACAGGAGTACCACTGGTTGGGGGCTGTACATGTCAAAGATGTAGCCAAGGCTCAACTACTGCTGTTCGAAACTCCTACAGCCTCCGGTAGATACCTTTGCACCAATGGTATCTATCAGTTTGGTGATTTCGCGGATAAAGTCTCGAAGCTCTTTCCAGAATTCCCAGTTCACAGGTTCGTCTTCTCCCCTCAAAACTCATATCTCAATAAACTACATAGAGTATGAGATTTCACAATCCCTTAAAACATTAACTATGGCAGAGATAAAGTAGACATGTTAAATTGATTTGATGATCTTTGGATTAGATTACTAAAATGCTTTAATGAGCTGTCCAGAGTCCAGACACATATATTTTCCGTAGTTACAATTTCAGCATCTGTATGAACTTGTAGCTGCTATGGTGGGATCTCATCTTGTCCATTTTGCCCTTTCACACCAAGAATTGGCCCCTGCAAAGAATCCTATTCTTTTATCCTTTATCCTTTATATGCTAATGCAAAATGATGCCTGAAATTTTGTCGATTCTCATATCTTTCTTTATCTTTTTTGCTGCGACAGGGACCAGGATATATATATACATGTGTGTCTGTGTGTGCATATATTACTGTATTTTATTTGATACTGTCCCATTGTCGTAATGAGAAATGATAAGGGAGGTGTTAAATTATGTAACAAAGATGCCGGCTTCCCATGTGAATGCTGCAATTAGCTTTTCTTGACCTGCAACTGTATGAATATGAAATACTTGATTTCCCCGGGCTCATGACAAAATTCGATCTTTCTTTCCTATTTTGTCTGAAGCTCTTGACTGATGGTGACAATGGCATTAACAATCACACATTAAGTAAAACCAGCCCTGTGCTGCATTGATTGAATGAAATTTAAAATCTTGATGGTGGATTGGATCCCACCATGGCACATTATGTTGTAAAGCTCAAGTTAGAGCTAGAAAGTGTTGTACATCCTGATCAAATTGAGTCACCAAATTATCTTCTTCTTATGTATGTTCTTGTATGTTTTTCGTTTTCTTGATTTTTTTCAATTTTCTCAACATTGTGCAGATTCAGCGGCGAGACGCAGCCAGGAATGGTGGCGTGCGAGGATGCGGCGAAGAGATTGATCGGATTGGGGTTAGAATTCACGGCGGTGGACGAAGCCGTCCGCGACACGGTGCTGAGCCTTAAAGGTAAAGGCTTGCTCTTGGGACAGGGAAAGCCATCATCTTGAGCACTATCAGTCGAAATTGGATGCAGGAAAGCTCAGTAACTAACTTAATTTTATCATTGTTTTTCTGTCCATGTCATGATCATTGATCATGCTATATATATATATATATATAATTCGAATTGGCTAATTCGAACGTGATGATAGTTTGATATTGTATTGTAATGAAGGCAGGCACGTGAGTGTTGTGTTGTCCTAAAACGAGGCAGGATTTGGATTGGAGTTTGGAGTTTAGTTATGGTTTGCTTTTGCTTAGTCTTTTCGATCTCTGCTTATCCTTAATTTGCAGAGAGAATGGAGGTGGGGAAGACGATGCACATGGAGTGCCTACCTGGCTTCTATTTTATGATTCATGAGAGAGAGAGGACAGAAATGGGGATAAAGACATGATCATGTGTGTTGTGTTAATCATGGAGGTTCTTCTGGCATTCCATGTGCTTCTCACTCCTCGCCCCCACTGCTGCAATCTATCTCTTGTACTTTATTTGAATCAATACATATACATACATACATACAGATACATGTATATGTATATATATATGTATATGTATATGTATATATGTTTCTCTCTCTCTCTCTCTCTGTTTCTATTTCTCATTTGAGGAACTTTCTTCCCGAAGAAGCGGCAACAATGGCGGAAATGCGTGGGAGTCCATCGACTTGCAGTAGATCCTGGTGAGAATGTTTTTGACTTAGTCGAGAACTGTGCTTATGTGTTCGATCATGGCGATTGATTTTGTTTCAAATTTGGTTTCAGGTCGATAAGCGAGGATTCCTTAAGACGATACGTGTTCCACGCCAGCGAGAACTGCATACAGGAGCTACTATCCGCCTCCGACACTATCGCCGCCGCCGACGGCTGGAAGGTCGTCGCCGCCGCCATGGACGACGACGGCGGCGGCGTCGAGATCTCCAAGCGCAGATCCGGTTCACTCCACACCTTCCGCAGCAGACGCGTCCTCAAATCGGTCTCTCCGCGCCAGTTCGTAACCGTCGCCACCGCTATCGACGCCGCCAAGGTACGCTGCACCGCCACCGGAAAATATACATACATAAACATATATGTATATGTATAAATTCCGACGGAGTTTGTGGTTGGTTGATTAGGAATGGGACGGCGATTTGGTAGAAGGCAGCTACATCAAAGACCTAGACGAGAATCTGAGCATAATCCGGCTGCGGTTCGGCGAGAAGGCGAAGCCGCTGTTCCGCAATCGGGAGTTCATTTTGTACGAGCGGCGGGAAGCCATGGAAGACGGTACGCTGGTGGTGGCGGCGGCGTCGCTGCCGAAGGAGATTGCGGCGGGGATCCATCCGAAGCAGAGCAACTCCATTAGAGGTCTGCTGCTGCACTCCGGCTGGGTCGTGGAGAAGCTCGGCCATGATTCCTGCATCGTCACTTACATTGCTCAGGTAATTTATTTTATTTTAATTTTTATTATACATAATTTTATTTTATTTTTCAATTTCAAAATTTACATTTAAAAAATTCGAAAATGAACAAAACAATGCAAAATACAAACACTCACTTTGCAGGCACAATCATTACCCCATTTCATTATCCATGTCCTATTTATTTTTATTTTTATTTTTATTTTTATTTTTGAAAATTCAATTTGATCGTGTGTTGTTTTTTAAACAATTATTTTGAAATAAAAACAAAAAATTTAGAATAGATAAATAAGTTAAAAATAAGTACACCTTAAATCGCTTATTATAATTCTATCATATAGTAATAATATAATAATAATTAATATTTGTGTTTTTTATTTATTTATTAATTTTTTAATTTTTAAAAAATATCAAATTAAATATTTATTTTTTATTTTTATATTATATTAAAAAAATAATTTTACATTAAAAATATTATATTAATATTATTTTTTTGGCAGTTGGACCCAGCGGGATGGTTGCCCAAGTGTATCGTGAACCGGTTCAGTACGAAGCTGGTAATGATAATTGAAAACCTTAAAAAACAGGTGCTGACGTGTCCCACTAGGCCCGGCAGTAGTGATGTTGCTACTTGATGATGGTTATTATTATTATTATTATTGTGGTTGCTGTTATTATTACTTTTTGTGTAAAGATGAAATGAAAAGAGGATGATAGTGGACTGGTTTGATGTGATGTGATTTGATTTCATAATATGTTGTTAGAAATTAATTATGTGATGATTATAAAATACATATATATATATATATATATAGTTGTCATCATTGTCTCCATTTTCATGTCAATTGCAATTTAACTTAAGTAGATTCGTTAATGTGTACTTAGATGTGAGATTTGATTTTATATTTTATTATTTAAATATATTTTTTTTAAAAAATATCAAATTAAAATATCGTATCAATATATAATTATATCAAATTAAACAACTATTTTAATTCAAAATTTTAGACCAAAATTTAAAATTCAAATCTCATAAACACCTTCCTAATTTTCTCATCAAACCTTCTCCCGCAAGCCTAAGGCTTGTTGGACGACGTCGGTAAGTGTTATGAGAAAATGGTGTTGAAATCGTTCTATCGATAATTTATATACTATTTTTGACTATAGCAGAAACATAACCATTCACTATTGAAATGAGATCTAGATGGGATGAGTAATGATCGTTGTTTCTATCTATGCAGAGAATACTGAGAATATTAATCAAATATCAATCTACATATTATTCGTTGTCAATCAGGTTATAGATGCCTTTATAATTTTTTTTTTTATATGTAAAATATGGTTGTGCGAACCTAATACACGATAATCTAACGAAAATGATTCCATTGATTATTTGATTATTGTATTATTGACGATAGAAAGGTTCATCTTGTAGATGTGTTCCACCTCAATACAATTGGGTTATTGATAGTAAATGGATCTTCCTATAAGTATTTTCTTGTAAAGTTACCGAAACCAATTTAAATGCCCACTTTTAATGTGTATATATACTTAGGTATATTTTTGAAAATTTGAAAAGTTAGAACTCCAAAACTCTTTTGCTTAGAGAACAAATGAGAGTATTATATCGGTTGTGTTCTTTTGTGGATTTTACGCAAGATTTTTGCTATTCAGATTTTTTTTTTTATAAAAAAAAATATCAAATCAAATAATTACTTATCTTTTTTATATTATACTACAAATTTATTTTACATTCAAAATATCACATTATTATTTATTTATATCATATCAAACAACTGTTCAAGTTCAACTTTTTATTATTAAAAATTTGAACCCCAAAACTCAAACCCACAGACAAACACACGGGTAGTGTCTCGAGTTCAATTTTGTGAATTTTAATAGCCAAGTAAAAGCTGTGGACTAGCACAATAAACTAAAACAATGGAAGTTGACATAGTGGTACAAAGAATGAAATTAGATAGAAATAATAGCAGAGAATAAAATTGGATAGAAATGGAATTGAGTGAGAATGAGATTAATTATCCTATTTTGGTAAAATAGAGAATTCAGTTAGAGAAATGTAAAACAAATGTAGCTATATGAATATATCAAATAAGAATAAATTATTAATAGGATAAAAAAAAAAGAATTTTAATGAACGAGAATTCATGAAAAATATTTTTGATGATTTTTTTTTTAAAAATTTATAAATTATATACAATGTTTTTTAAGAGTATATTTTAGTATAATTTTTTAAAAAAATCGTAAAGTTTAAATACTTTAACAATAAATTAAATTTGATTTTTTTAAAATTGAAATAATATAATTTTAAAAAATTATAAAAATTAAATAGTAAAAAAATTTTAAAAAATTAAAAATATATATATATTGCATATCATTTCTTTCTATTTCTCTGCAGATAAATGAAAATAGAGAAATGAAAATAACTTATTTCTTGAGTTCTATTTCTTTAACTCAAATAAATAAGAGAAATGAAACTATTTATATTTCTCTGTACCAAACACACTCTTGGAGATTAAATTTGAATTATAATTATTGTTTTACCTGTGCTTTGTTGGACGAGGTAGCATTTCATTGAAAAGAAAAGAATTGTGTGTAATATTTCGTTAAAGGAATTCAAATTGCTTTACATAATATATTATGATATAATTAAACTCATTATTTTCAGCGATTATTAAAATTTTATTCTATAATTGTAAATGTAGATAAAAAAAATTTCTATCGAGTAACAACTACTATGAAGGTTTACTCGGTTGCCTGTCGAACTTAATTTGCAGAGTATTAGATTCGACCGAAAATTTACTCAGTGCGTATTTTCGAATAATAGTGGCGGATTTCTACGTTATATATAACAGTGTGCCTGCTAGATTGGATAATACAATATACTAGTTAAATAACTTTGAAAAAAATTGTTTGTAATTTATTAAAATATAACTAATAAAATTTTGGATTATAAAATTGTTTATATGTGAATTAGATATTAATTTAGAAAAAAAGTAGTAACATAATTATAAGAGATATAAGATTATTTTTTAATTTATTTTCTTTGAAATGATATTTCCAAATTAGTGAGCTAACTTGTCTCTGCCTAACATTGGCTGCTGCTGCCGTAAACAAAATTAATAACGAATATTGCTCTCAATCAAATAAATTAAATTAAATTAAATTAATTTAATCAAAATCTTGTAGCCACCCTACACCCTACACTCTACACCCATCAATCTCTCTCTCCACTCTACTATAGTTAGATTTTTATTTTCTTTATTTTTACAATGGGCATGTTTGTTTGTATATATTTTATTTATTTATTTATTTATTTTTTTGTCACCCAAGAAAACAAATAAATACCTTTTGAATGTTGAAAGAACACTAGGTAGAACAGAACACCCATGCAAATTCAATACAACAACAATGAATGTCAGTGAAGAAGCCATGTCCAAAAAGCAATCTTCTCCTCACCATACCCAGATCAATCAAAAGCTCAAATTTTTGTTCCTTGTAATACTCACAAATCTTCTTACAATCTTCATCTTCACTGCTTCTTCTTCCCACATCTCAACAACCCTTTTCCAACTCCCCGGGCCCGGGCCGGTTCCCGACGTCGCCGCACTCCTGATCGAGCTCAACGCCACCCGACACGAGGTCGTCGCGGGCCGGGCTCAAATCGCCGCATTGCAAAAGTCACTCATCGCCATGCAATTCGACTCCCCGATGAGATCGGGACCGAGGTTCGACGATCTTGTCGCGAATTTATCGAACGAGGCCGAGCTTTCGATCGGCCCCCACAAGCTTCCGCTCGGATACAACCGGAGAATGGGATCGGACGAAGTGTACTTCTCGGTCGGAGCGGGTTGCTTGAAGCACAAGCATGAGTTGGCGAAGTATACGTCGTCGTATCGAGTCGGGGGAGAGTGCCCGGTGGACGACGTTTTCGCGCAAGAGTTGATGCTTAAGGGGTGCGAACCCCTCCCGAGACGGCGGTGCCACCCTAAGTCACCGGAGAATTATGTCGAGCCAACTCCGTTTCCCGATTGCTTGTGGACTACTCCGCCGGACGCGAGCCTCGTTTGGGACGCGTATTCGTGTAAGAACTACTCGTGTTTGATCGAACGCCGGCGCGCGCGAGGATCGTTCGATTGCAAGGATTGTTTTTACTTAGAAGGTATGTGTTGCAAGAAAACATGTTGGGCTAGTCTCAACTCTAGTAAGAGGGTTGTAATGGAATCAAATCAAAGCTAATAGTGCAGTAGTATTCGATCCGATCCGTGAAAATATTCGATTATTCGATCTGTTTCAAATTTTAAAATAGTTTTTATATTTGATTTGAAATATTTTTTAATTATTCGATTCAATTTTAATATTAGTCAAATATTTAATTCAATATGGAATTTGTTTTTTCTTAGAAGCTGTTTGATTTTTAATTTTTTTAATAATAATATTAAGATAATTTGATAGAAAAAAACTGCACACGTTTAGTAAGTATTTTTTCAATTTTTTTTTTAAAAAAACTTTCTTTCTTTAATATAAAATAAAAATATAATTATATAATTATAGTTTTAATTATGTTATATATTCTATTATATAAAATTTTAAAAGTATTGCTATTACTTAATAAATTTAGTTTGATTTATTTATTTAAAAAAATACATATATATATATATATTATATTTTACGCCATGTATATATTTTTATTATCGAATTAAATATTAAAATTTCTTTATATTGAATTTACTACTTTGCAGTAATATGAGATTTTACCTTTTGAGTGCATAAATTAACTTTTGATCTTTCTCAAATACTCTTTACCATGTAGAGTTACATGTTAAGTTATAATTATTATTTTTTAAAAGTTTTTTCGATGTGAGATTTGAGTTTGTTTTCTTAATACATGTCTTCTGGTGCCCGTCTTGACATCTTTCGACAGGTCGAGAGAAGCATAGATGGCTTTACGACAACGGAGGTCTCGACTTCGGCATAGATCAAGTCCTCGCGACGAGGCGCCCGGGAACCTTAAGAATCGGGCTAGACATCGGAGGTGGATCGGGGACATTCGCCGCTAGGATGAAAGAAAAAGGCGTAACCATCGTGACAACCTCGATGAACTTCGACGGCCCTTTCAACAGCTTCATCGCATCGCGAGGCTTGATCCCGATGCACGTAAGCATTTCTCAGAGGCTACCGTTTTTCGACAACACGCTCGACATCATCCATTCGATGCACGTCCTGAGCAACTGGATCCCCGACGCGATGCTCGAGTTCATCCTTTACGATATATACCGAGCATTGAGGCCCGGGGGACTCTTCTGGCTCGATCGATTCTTCTGCCTCGGATCGCAGCTGAATTCGACGTACGTGCCGATGTTCGATCGAGTCGGGTTCGGGAAAGTTCGATGGTACGCCGGGATGAAGCTCGACCGCGGCGTGAAGAAGAACGAATGGTATCTTTCGGCGCTGCTCGAGAAACCTAAGACTTGATCGAGCTACTGGATTAAAAATTTAATTGTGGGTTAAATGTAACTATTTGAATTATCAACCAAGTTAAACCTTTAGTGATCTATTAAATTTATTAGGCTTAAATGTATTCAGTAAGTGCAGGTTTTTTATGTGCAGAAATCCTGGTAACTTGTTAATTGAATGATAAACTAATAATAATTAGGGATATATATATTAGGATTGTGACCCCAAACGCAACATTGTTACTTTTCATATCTCATCATGAGAAAACGGTAGAAACTCTAACGATTTTTTTAAGAGGGATTGTGTTTTACACTTGAAGAACACAGATCCATTAACTTTATTTTCTTATCAACTCGACAGATCCTGAGCTTAGGGTTTAATTTCTGATAAGTTCCAACACGAGCTCGGAGCATTGTCGAGACCAGACGATGAATCCAAACACACTCTTGTATTAAAGAACTTACATTCGTCGAAAATTGTCTGAAACTTACACAAAAGAATGCAAACCGTCGAAATTAATGTGTCCTAAAACAAACCACTATGTTTCTTCGATCCTTACAAGCTCTACTTCGGCTCGAGCCTCGACGGCGTGAACCCCCCGCTGTAGGCGAAGAGGCTGTCGTTGCTGTACGGGTGGTTGAAGCCTTTGCTGTCGACGTCGTGGCTCGCGGAAGTCGACGCAGATTCGACGTTAGGATTCACGCCGGCAGCCTCCATAATGCTTTCGATCTCCTTAACGACTTGGCTCATCGATGGCCTGTCGACGCCCGACTCCTGAACACATCTAAGAGCCAGATCGACGACTCGTTCGACGCTTCTTGGCGACGTGCTGTAAGAAACGATGGGGTCGAGGAGGCTTTGAAGGTTATACATGTCCTTGCTTGTGTCCATCGCTTGTTTAACTTCGCGGACGATGTATTTTCCCTTCTCGATCGGTGTCCTCGACGTCAAGAGCTCGAATAGAAGTACGCCGAAGCTGTATACGTCGCTCTTTTCGGTCAATTGCTGCGTCATGTAGTATTCGGGATCCAAATATCCCTAATCGATAAAAACGACTAAACGTCAAATCATCGAGCAAGAAGAAAGGAAACTCCTTGTTAAATAACCAGTTCACCTAAAAGCTTAAGCTTCGGAAATCTATCAAATTCGGTTTTGATATAATGTTAAATGATCAATTCATCTAAGAAAATTAAGCTTATAGGGATACAAATCATCGATTTATTTATATACGATAGAGTCGACTAATACTTACCATTGTCCCTTTAACTTGAGTAGTAACATGTCCTCTTTCGGAGTCTCCCATAGGCTTCGAGAGCCCGAAATCGGCGACTTTGGCACTTAGGCGATCATCCAACAAAATGTTGTTCGATTTTATGTCGCGGTGTATGATGGGAGGATCGGCGAGGTCGTGGAGGTATTGCACACCTCTGGCAGCTCCCAGAGCGATTCGAAGTCTTCGAATCCAGTCTAATCGCAGCCCCGTTTTCCCTGCAAATATGTCGTCGCGGAAAAAATCAAAACATCGATGATCCTACGATTACGTCGAAAACGAGAAAGGATAGGAATGTCTGCCTGAGAGGCTGTCCCTCAACGTTCCATTGGCGATGTACTCATAGACCAGCATTTGTTCTCCCTGGTCGAAACAGAACCCGACGAGGCTGACGACGTTCTTGTGGTGCACCCTCGAGAGGAGCTCGATCTCGGTTTTGAACTCGAGCCCGCCTTGCATTGATCCTTGCTGAGCTCTTTTGATCGCGACAAGCTGTCCGGTGGAAAGAATTCCTCGATACACCTGCAACATTCGACACAAAATCATCGATGATGACCTGATATTACTGCAAGATCGAGTATGGTCGAAGAAAACCGACAGTTCCATAGCCTCCCTTCCCAATATCGTTGCTTGCGGAGAAGTTATTTGTGCTTTGTTTCAGCTCGTCGAACGTGAAGCTCTTCGCTCCTTTTAGCTGTGGAACGCCGCCCGTGTTTGCTTTCGGATCCCATAATGCTGCGAGCAAGAATAAACTAGTCGTCGAGCATAATCGAAAGGATCGAAATCGAACATTTTGCATACATACCGAAAGGATTACTCTGCTTAGCAGCTGTCTCGGCTCTTTTCCGCTGCCGGAAAGCGTAAACTCCGGCTACAACTAACAGCAGAAGCAGGACGACGCCGCCAGCCGCTACGCCGATGATCACAGTGGTGTTCGCCGATTTGTGATGAGCCCCGGCCAAGCTACCTGAATCGAAACATTCGAGAAAAATGATCGATAGGATAGAGTTTTACGACGATTAATGTCATCAGACGTGGTTTGAGATCAGTAAAAGTTGCCTGCAAAGTAGGGATAGCTGTCGCCAATGAAGAAGAACGGCCCGAATCCAGGCGGCGGTTTGAATGTCTGGTTACTGAGCATAAATCCGATCGAAGAAATCACTGATCGGTTAAAAAAATCTTGACCAGATGGGAAGATCCTCAAGCTCATCAGGAGATAGTTGTCGATGTTCTTCGTAGGATTACTCACCGAAACCGAATCCACGGGTAGGCTTTGAGAGTTAAACGTCGTCATAAGCTTCTTCTGAAGGGATGTAAAAAGACTAAAGTTTCCATAGCTGGAAAACGATGGAGCTCGAAAGTATAACGTGCCGGAGTAGGGATACGAGCATGCGCAATTGGGGCTCGACGTTTTGTCCAGAGCACACGGTGTCGGGCTGCAGTTATCCATAGGCGTCGAGTACGATGAATTGGTCTGCTGAGGAATGGAGCAGTAACTCTCATGGTCTCCTTCTTGACATATCGGATTATCAACGAGTCTGCAACGACGAAACAGAGCAAATTCAGATCGAGTAAACGTAAAAAGTAGACATGAAGCAATGTTACATGATTTGGGGAGTGTATCCGGATCGATGTTCGAAGGCATCGATGAAGTTGCTGCGTAGATCAATCAGGCTTAGCTGTTTGCTGTAGCTCGAGCCGATGTCCAACGTCCCGTTGATCCTGTTCTTCTTCAACGATCTGAAGAACACAAAGTGAAAGATCGATTTGTGGCGAATGTAATCGACAGAAATACGGCGAAAGAGTTTCGCTTACACCGTCTGCAGCTGTGGAAGGCTGAACAGCGTTACTGGAAGCTGCCCTCGAAGTTGCGTCTTTTCCATGACCCTGCAAGAATAGATCATCGATAAAAAAAAAAGGCTTTCGTTTAGACGGAGATCGTCGAATGCAGAGACGTACAATGTTGTCAACGATTGCAACGACGAGAACCACGGCGGGATATCGGTTGGATCGAACGAATTGTTGCTCATATCGCTGCAGGGTTTCGGATTATCGACGTCACAACGAGCGATTGAAACGTCGAATGAACATCGATGTACTTGCAACTTACATGTAGTTGAGTGAACTCATGCCCGTGAGGTTCGGTAACGATCCTTCGAGCGCGTTATTCGCCAAGAACAGCTCCTGCAACGACGTGAGGTTGTTGATGCCTGGAGGAACCGGTCCGGTTAAGGAATTCCGGTCGAGACGCCTACATCGATCGTTGTAAGAGTTTGAACAGTCGTAACAATGATCAATCGATCAACGTAGTCGTTAAAAGTATCGATACTTACACGACCTCGAGCGACTTCACGAGCGCTAGCGTCGAAGGGATGCTTCCGGTGAACTGATTGTGTTCGAGCAGCCTGTCGGATAAAATCGAACATTATGGTAACGACATGTAAGAGAAGCGTATCGGGTGGTTTTCGAGCGTTTCTTACAAGTGTACGAGCATCAAGTTCGAGCTGAACAGCTTCGACGGTATGTCGCCGGAGAGCTGATTCTTTCCAAAGTGGCTGCGCGAAAACGGAGATAATTAATTATTACGAAAACTTTCGATCGTCGCAGCGAACAAAAAAAAAAAAAAAAGTTGTCGAAAAATCGAATGCATACAAGTGTTTCGTGTGGAAAAGCATGTCGAGGCCCGGCCCACTTTCATCGGAGACGGGAATCGATCCGGTGAGCTTATTGTCGGCTAAATCGAGCCAAGAAAGGCTCGATAAGTTGCCAATAGACGGAGGTATCGCGCCGATGAAGTTGTTCGAATTGAGCGACCTTTGTAGTCCAAACAATAACAACGTTAACTATACGTGCGATAACAAAAGTTCACGACAAAAATTAAACTAAGTCGCTTCGAATTCTTACAGGTACTGCAGTTTCGGTAGAGATCCTACCGAGGCTGGTATGGCACCGGAGAATCCACAGCCAACGAGTATCCTGCAACGATAGTTCTTTTATTACAGCTACGTTTGGTTGCTTACACTGTCGTTAAGGAATGTCTTAGGATGTTTTTTTGCTTACAAGCTCGTGAGCTTCTTCAAGTTCCCGATCGATGTAGGAAGAGGCCCCGTCAAGCCTTTGTTATACGATAAGTCCCTACGCGCGAAAAAAAGACATCGTATTAGAAAAGGTAGACAAAGATATCGACTACATAAGACATGGAGACATCGAAAACAGGGCGATACGACGTACATGATCTGCAGCTCGGACAGTCCTGTGATGTCCGAAGATAGCTGTCCTTCCAAACCATTGCTCGCCAAAGTACTAAACATCGAATAACAACAAGATCAAGATCATGATCGATCGAATCATATGTTAGATCACAAGAAGATACAGCTGCCCTTTTAAAACATCGAATCGCAACAAGATCAAGATCAAGATTCAATCGAAGCGATGTTAGAAAACAAGACTGTTCGACTTTCATTATACACTTCTTGAAACAACTTCTTACATCATGGGTGCGCAATAGAAACAAGATCAAGATAGATCGAATCAATGTAAGATAAGAAGAAGATAGCTACCATTGCTCGACAAAAAGTACTAAAACATCCAATCAGGACAAGGTCAAGATCAAGATTCGATCGAAGCAGTGTTAGAAAACAAGACTGTTCGAATTTCATTACACACTTCTTGAAACAACTTCTTACATCGAAACTACACGGTTGCGCGAATAGAAACAAGATCAAGATCGATCGAATCAATGTTAGATAAGAAGAAGACAGCTACCATTGCTCGAAAAGAGTACTAAAACATCGAATCACAACAAGATCAAGATTCGATCGAAGCAATGTTAGATAACAAAATATCTCGATTTTCATTACACGCTCACTTCTTGAAACAAATTCTTACATTGAAACTACACGTTGAGCGAATAGCAACAAGATCAAGATCAAGATCAAGATCATATGTTAGATAACAAGAAGATATAGCTTCCCTTTCAAATCATTGCTCGACAAAAAGTACTAAAACATCGAATCCCAACAAGATCAACATCAAGATCAAGATTCGATCGAAGCAATGTTAGATAACAAAATATCTCGACTTTCATTACACACTCATTTTCTTGAAACAAATTCTTACATCGAAACTACACGGTTGCCCGCGCAACCAATGCCTTCCCAGACACAGGGATCGTCGTTATCCCAGTTCGGAGGAGTATGAGTCCATGAATCCTTCAAAGATCGAAGCACAACATCTAACAACAGAAATGAACAATAGAATCAATTACTACACATGTTCTTAGCATCTATCTGATGAAAAAATCTCACTCAGGATTGTCGTAATTCAGACAGACTTACAGTCATTTGGATCAATCAATGCTGCAATAGCCAAAACTTGGGACAAAGCAATAACCAGAGATAAGAAATCAATCCTCAAAATCATCATTCATTAACAAACAAACAGATCAAATTTTGCAATCCCACAAACAATACAATGCATAATCACAAAATGAAGAAACTTAAGATAATTATGTATTCTTTAAATAAAAGAATTAGGACCCAATCAAGTTTACTTGTTCTTGTTCTAATTGTACAAAGTCAAATGTCGATTATAATAAAAATGGATAATTTTATTTAAATGCTCAGGAAAGCATTGCGAACACACTTCATCGCCTACTTGAACAGAATATACAAATTAATTAAATGGTGCTGGCGCAAGTTGCTTATTTGATTCGAAAAATAAAAAATCAAGAACCAATTGTTCTCATCAACCCTAATATGAATTATTGAGATCACGACTTGCTGGAATATACGACCTCTGAAATAATAATAAATTTTAAGACAGACATATATATGGTTTGTTTAATGATGTAATTAAGCCATTAAGAACCATTTTTTAAATTTTATACTATTTATTTTGCTGTTGTCTATGGTGATGACCAATTGCCCTTTTCGATTAGGATTAGAAAAGACATGCAGGTGGGAGTTGAAAAGAGTTTTTAAAATGAGATGGATTAATTTATTGAAATCTGATCATTAATAAGACCATTCAAACAGAAGCCAAGATACTGCTGCTGCAGCTGCATCAGCTCTAAAGAAATATTCAAGGAATACTCATAAAAAGAATAAAAATAAAAATAAGAAAAAGACATAATAATAACTATTCTTTCTTTAAAATGCGGTTTTGCGTGTGTGTTTTTTAATTATTATAATTTCTAATTTAGGATGTGTTTTTTTTTGAGATTTTTTTACTATTCATCCAATTGTTTGTTCTTTCAAAAATATCAGATCAAACACCTATTTTTTATTTTTTATATTATATTAAAAATTAATTTTATATTCAAAATATCACATCAACATCTGGTTATATCACATCATACAACTATTCCAATTCAAAAATTTTACTATTCAAATCTCAATTCAAAATCCAAACCCTCAAACAAACACACCCTTAGTAAATATATATATTTTTAACTTTTTTATTATAAAAATAAAAATAACAAAAATTACACTCATATGAAAATTAGTGCATAAATGTACTAGCGTATTTTTATGAAACAAAAGGACTACTATTATTTTAAATATTACATAGAAGTCTTATATAAATATAAAATATTATTTCATTGGTTAAAATTATGTCATAATTTTTTTTTATTGTTCGTTAAAAAGTTTATGTCTATTTTATTTATAATAAATAATTTTATTTTTTATAATTTTTACTTTAATAAATAATAATTAATTTATAATTATTTTTAATACATTACCTTTTTATTAAATTTTTAATAAATTTCTTATAATACCATTAATTTACTTTGTACATATCTAATCTTAGTGTTAAAATTTTATTTTTCTTTTAGTATTCGTATTTAAGTAAAATTATTATTATTTTTTTTTTGTTCTATTCACGCTCCATAAATACACTTCCTTTGTAATTTTCTTTTCCGCTTCAACCGATGCATTTTTTTTTTTCCGATTCAATCGACGCTACAACAAATATGAAAGTTAAAATCTATTTTTATTCCAATTTTGTATTTGTTTTACTATATATATATATAGATATTCTTTTTTCGTTTTTGTTAAAAAATATTATTTCCTTCTAACGAATAATTGTTTCAATCTATATACAATACTATTTTGTATGTTTTTTGGTATATTTTTGTGGTATCTTATTATATATTCCCTCCGTCTCAAAACTATAGTCTTGGTTGTGTTGGGTGTGAGTGTATTAGTGTAAAAAATAGTGGTAATTGTGTAATAATAATGAAAAAATAAGGGTATTTATATAATGACATGATTATTTATAGAAATAAGACTATTATTTTGAGACGGACAAAAATCGTAAACAAGACTATTGTATTGGGACGGAGGAAGTAGTATATTTTTATGTTTATTATAAGATATGCCTCGACTAAGTTTAAGCACACGCAAACGTAAAAAGAAAAGAATGAATTAATACATGAAATCGTGTAATACAATTTTCATGGTTGTAGTATTCTTCATTTTATCAAGTTGGTATTAATAGTCCAATTGAAAAAATATAAATCGAGAAAAACCCTTATAAAAAAAAATAATCGATATCCATATTGCATAGGCTCGTTTAGAAGAGTAATATGCTTGCCGTATCAGAAATTAGAATGAGTCGCAGGTGTTTTTCAAAGTTTTGTAGAATGTTAAAAATATTAGAAGGGTTCCGAGAAATATAAATATTAGTATTTAATAAACAAGTTGCTATTTTCTTTATATGATTGCACGTAATTTGAAGAAATTAATAATAATTAGTTGTTTATATTGTAATGATTTATTTGTGTCGGTAACGTGGTATTACAATTATATTCACATATGTATGAAAGATCAAAACCGATTCATGAAAACTTAGTCGAATCGAGATGGAAATAGTTTAAAGTATATATATATGAACATATTTATACATTTTTTTTATCCATAATTTGATATTTAAAAAAATGATAATAATAATAACACTTTTTCGAATTAAATATTTTTTTTTGGGACGTTTAAGAATTTAGTACTAAATCTAAATATAGAACTATTGGCATGTTCATATAAATATTAAAAATACAATCGGCATGAAAATGTTTATTATTATTTTTATTATTATTAGATTATTTTTTTTATTCCACATGAAATATTTATGTTTTTTATTTTTCTATATCCCACATATATAATTTGTTTTTCTACATATATATAATTATATATTTTAATTATATTTTAAAATATTTAATTTATGATATTTTTAACTTTAACTAAAATTTATAATTATTTTTTTCGAATTTATTTCTATAGTATCTTATAGTAATGCATTACTGATAATTATAAGTAGGTTATTTCAATTCTCATACTCTGGCCTCTGGGAATGAGGGGAGGTATCTAGATACAACCTTCGTATATATAAGTGTGATTGTAGAAGCTTTTCTTTTGCATATGCCAGAGCCGATGCTGTCATACTGCTGCATTAGGCTTCCTAAATTGAAGTCGAATTATTACCCAAATCATCGATTCAGATTTCTGACTGCTCAGGTTGGCGAAGATTCTCAAACTCAAAGACCTCTGGTGCACGAACTCGTTTTGCGCGATCACTTAAGCAGAATATGCTTGCAAGAATGCAGGAAAATCCAAGCCCGCCAACTGCTCGACCAAATGCCGCAAAGACTCGATATTTCCTTGAAGACAGCGAAAACAGCCCATGCCAAAAGCTTAAGAGTTGGGGTTTCATCACACCCGAAATTGGGGAATTCCATCTTGGATTTGTATTCCAAATGTGGGCACACAGATTACGCGGAGAAGGTGTTCTTACACCTCGAGAGAAGGGATGAGATGGCTTGGAATTCGATTATGGTTATGAAATCTAGAAAAGGGTTGTTTAAGGATGTCCGGGAGGGTTTTGGATCGATGTGGAGGTCAGGGGTAAAAGGCAATGTATTCAGTTTTGCGATTGTTTCCTCAGCTTGTGCTAAATTGATGGATTTGGAGCTTGGTAAGCAAGTGCATTGTGCTGTAATGAAATTAGGGTTTGAAGTTGATGCATATTGTGAGGTAGCATTGATTGATATGTATGCCAAGTGTGGCCATTTGATTCTAGCTAAGAGGATATTCGATAATTCGTCAAAACCCGATGCAGTTTCATGGACTGCTATGATCTCAGGTGTTTCTCAAGCCGGCATGGCAAAAGAGGCGATGGAATTATTCAATCAGATGCAAAAACTCAGTCTTGTTCCAGATCATGTCGTGTTCGTGACTGTATTGAGTGCTTGTGTGAGGCAAGGAAGGCTAGAGGATGCTCGTCATCTGTTTTCACAAATGCCTAGTGCTAATATTGTGGCATGGAATGTAATGATTTCAGGGCATGTAAAAAGTGGTAATGAGGAACAGGCTATCGAGTTTTTCAGAAAAATGATTGAATCAGGCATCAAACCGACGCGTTCTACGGTAGGGAGTGTATTGAGTGCAGTCGCAACTTTAGCTAATCATGAATATGGACTGCAGGTCCATTGTTGGGCGGCGAAGCAGGGGCTCGACTCAAATGTGTATGCAGGGAGTGGCTTAGTTAACATGTATGCTAAGTGTAGAAAACTCGATGCTGCAAGAGCGGTGTTTGATCGATTGGACGAGAAAAATGATGTCTTGTGGAATGCATTGCTCGGAGGTTATGCGCAAAATGGGCGTGCTCATGAGGTTTTGGAGTTATTTGCAGACATGAAAAGATCAGGATTTCAACCTGATGAGTTTACCTACACTAGTGTGCTGAGTTCGTGTGCGTGCTTAGGAGATATTGACATGGGGCGTCGATTACATTCAGTCATCATTAAAAATGAGTATGGAGTGAATTTATATGTCCAAAATGCATTATTGGATATGTATGCAAAATGTGGGGATCTATTCGATGCAAGAAAGTTATTTGAGGGGATAGGAGAGCGCGATCGTGTTTCTTGGAATGCAATAATCGTCGGGTATGTTCAAGAAGATCAAGAACAAGAAGCTTTATCTTTGTTTCTCCGAATGATGTCGGAGGGAATCGTGCCTGATGAGGTTTCTTTATCGAGCACACTCAGTGCTACGGCGAAATTGCGAGATCTTTCCACAGGTATTCAATTACATTGTCTTTTGGTTAAGTATGGTCTAGAGAAAGGTCTTTACGCCGCGGGATCGCTCATCGACATGTATTGCAAGTGTGGAGAAGTCGAAGCTGCGGATTCGGTATTTTCCAGCATGCCCAAGAGAAATGTAGTTTGTGTTAATGCTTTAATTTCGGGTCATACCGAATCCAGCTTACAAGAGGCCGTAAATATATTCAAGCGCATGCTTTGGGATGAACTGCAGCCTTCGGAAGTCACTTTTGCTACTCTTCTCGAGGCATGTTCTGGTGACACTCACTTGCATTTCGGAGTGCAACTTCACTGCTTCGTCGTGAAGCTTGGCTTCTCATTTGTCGACGAATATTTATCTGTCTCGCTCTTGGGTATGTATGTGAGTTCTCAAAGAGATACAGATGCAGTTAATCTTTTCTCCGAGCTCCCCGACACGAAAAGCACCGTAATATGGACTGTTCTGATATCAGGAAGTGCTCAAAACGACCATTGTCCAGAAGCCTTACATTGGTACAGAAGAATGTGCAGCCACGGCGTCAAGCCTGACCAGGCGACATTTGTTAGTGTCCTCCGAGCATGCTCGGTTTTAGCTTCGTTAGAGGATGGTAGGAAGATCCACGCATTCGTATTACATGTTGGTTATGATCGAGACGAGCTGACAGGAAGTGCGCTGGTGGATATGTACGCGAAGTGCGGGGATATGAATAGTTCGACACAAGTATTCGGGGAAATGATCAGCAAGAAAGATGTTATTTCATGGAACTCGATGATTGTTGGATACGCAAAAAATGGTTACGCTAAAAGTGCTCTCAAGATTTTTAATGAGATGAAGCGCGCCGGCGTACGACCAGATGAAGTTACATTCCTTGGCGTCTTAACTGCGTGTAGTCACGCAGGAATGATACCCGAAGGTCGAGAGTTGTACGAGAGTATGATTAATGATTACAGGATTCAACCACGGCCAGATCATTGTGCCTGCATGATCGATCTTTTTGGGCGTTGGGGATTTCTCGAAGAGGCAGAGAAGTTTATGGAAAACATGGCTGTTAAGCCTGATTCGATGATATTGGCGGCGTATCTTAACGCATGTAGATTGCATGGAGATGACGTAAGGGGGCAAAGCGCAGCCGAAAGGCTTATTGAGTTGGAACCTCAGAGTTCTTCTTACTATGTTCTGCTCTCGCATATGCACGCAGCGTCAGGCAATTGGGACGGCGTCGATGTCGTGAGGAAAATGATGGCAGATAAAGGAGTTAAGAAATTTTCCGGGAGCAGTAAAATTTCCATGGATGCCGTGGGATAAGTCTGCCTGGATCGACACAAACTACGCCTGGATCGACTTCCTTTTATATCGATTCATCTTCACTCATAGTGATTTGCAAGGTAACTTTTTTTGTCACTACTATCTGATTGATTCTTCTGCTGAAATGAAATACTTTCCTGCAAATGTATGTTGTGAGATAACAATCTGATGATATTTTGATTGAATCAAAGTGAAATCCAGATGATACATACACTCTATAATGTCAAAATTTTGGATGTTGCCGATGTATATTGTCACGTCGAACTATACAATAGTATTACAGAATGTGTTTATGCTCGATTTGCCGTATAAACCTTAGAACATAATGAATAAATGTCGTATTGTGCATAATAGTTTCCTTTCTGCAGTTTCGATTGTGAAAAGAATAGATTTGCTCATTGACGATGTACTGGGAAAGGAAACGAACCGTAGCTCACCTCAGCAGCCTGAGAATGGAGAGGGCTCTCGTCAGTTGTTTCCTCGAAGCTATAGGAAGAGAGCGGTCGATCAATTTTCTTGTCAAGATTTGTCGACTGCATTATGTTCTCGATCTTTCTCACAACCTCTCCCATCGTCGGCCTTTCTCCAGCAGATTCTCTCACACAGCTCATCGCCAGGTCCACAAACTCGACTACACCGGGAAGTTTCGACGCTGACTCTAGATTTGGATCGACAATCTGATCAAAATTGGCTTCCTGAACGAATTTTACGATGTGTTTTCCTTTCTGTATCGGAGCTCTCGCCGTCACCAGCTCTAGTAAGACGACTCCGAAGCTGTACACGTCGCTCTTCTCAGTCAGCTGTTGGGTCATGTAATATTCGGGATCCAAGTATCCCTGAAGCAGCAGAAAAGGTATATGTTATGCAGATTCAGGCTTGCATTTCTTAAATACGTAATTCATTTACTCACCAATGTCCCCTTAACTTGTGTGGTGACATAGCCCTTTCCGGTATCGCCCAGGAGCTTCGACAGGCCGAAATCAGCGACTTTGGCGTTCAAATTGTTGTCGAGTAAGATATTGTTCGATTTGATGTCTCTGTGGATGATCGGAGGGTCGGCGAGCTCGTGGAGATACGACAATCCTCGGGCAGCATCGAGCGCTATACCAAGCCTTTTGTTCCAGGTCAGCCATGATCCCGACTTTCCTGCACACATTTTGAATAAATTTTGCACTCAGTGTAGAACAAGCTGAGAGTCGACGAGCAGATTGTTACCTGAGAGCCAATCCTGGAGCGTTCCATTCTGTATGTACTCATAGACCAGCATTTGTTCGCCTTGCTCGTAACAAAATCCCACCAGGCTAACGACGTTCTTATGATGAATCCTTGACAGAAGCTCGATCTCTGTTTTGAACTCGAGGGCGCCCTGCATCGATCCCTGTTGAGCACGCTTTATAGCCACTGCTTGCGCAGGTACGACCGTTCCCTTATAAACCTTTCCGTATCCTCCAGAACCAATGCAATTTGATTCGGAAAAGTTGTTCGTGGATTTCCTCAGATCTTCGAATGAGAGCCATTTCGCGCCCTGAAGTTGCGGGACAGCGCCGCTTTCTTTTGCAGGATCCCACGAAGCTGCATTCATTTCGAAAGCATAATCGATATATATATCTCTATATCGACAAATCTGTGATGTTTGTCAAATTACGGAACTGAGATTACCGAATGGATTGCTCTTCTCGATGGCCCTTTTTGCCTTCCTCTTCTGTCGAAGAGCGTAGATTCCAGCCAGGAGAATCAGAAATACGAGAAACGAACCGCCGATCGCGGCTCCAATGATAATGCCAACATGCGACGACTCTTTCGATCCTAACGAGGTACTTCTACAGTTAATACCCATCATATATTATAACTCGAGCTAAGATCTACTGCAAAAACATTACAGGTTACCTCCGAAACAACAATATGGTTCATCGATGAAGAAGAACGGCCCGAAATATTCAATCTGGAACGGTTGGCGATTGAGAATGAATCCCATGCTCGAAACCGAGGTTCGATTGAACACATCCACTGTAGAAGGAAATATTTGCAACGGGAACTTGAGGTAAGAATAACTATCTATCGCTGGATTACTGAGGAGAACCGTGTCGACAGGAATCCCGTTCGAGCGGAAAGCAGTCATAACAGCACCGTAAAGGATATTGTTGTAGCTCGCATTCTGCAAATCGGAGAAGGAAAAGGAATAGAAATGGAGAGTTCCGGTGTACGGATTGGAGCATCGGCAATTTGGACTCAAAACTTTCCCTTTACGGCAAGACGTTTCCGTACAGTTATTCAACGGTAAGAATGTATTTGGACGGCTCTCTATCGTACAGTACTTATCCTTTCCTCCATTCGAGTTGCAGACAGGATTTCCGGCGAGTCTGCAGGGGACAAAAAGCATGAGATCAAACTTGATTTTTCGATATGAGATTAACGGTGAGAAAGAGCTTACGTTATTGCCAGATTGTAGTTTGATTTCTGCCGGAAGTCGCTGATGCCATTGTTCTGCAGATCGACCGTCAAGTTGCTGCTGTAGCGATCGCCGATGTCTAAGGTACCGTTCAAGTCGTTGTTGCTGAGAATTCTGATGAAAATGAACGTAAGGTTTGAGTAAAATCGGATTTGGACAAGGCACGGGCTCGATCTAAATGTTTTTCTTTTCGTTTTTTCCTATGTATGAGCTTACAGTGTCTCTAATTGAGGAAGTCTGAAGATTTCGACCGGGATTTGCCCTCGAAGCGCCGTGTTCGCCATCATTCTGCAGTTGAATCAGTTAGTGAGCAACTCGATCCGAATGCGTCTCAGACAGACGGAGGGATGGAGATATATAGATACGTACAGCGTTGTCAAAGACTGAATACTCGAGAACCATTCCGGAGCTTCTGCTGCGTCGAAACTGTTGTTGCTCATGTCCCTGCAAACGGAACGGCATGAATACGAACGATGATTCACAAAAGAAGTTACGGCAGTTCTTACACATATTGCAGGGCGATCATGTTCGTCAGGTCGGGGATAGATCCGCTGAACTTATTGTTGGACAAGTACCTGAGGAAGTTTCAGATCGCCGATCAAACAAGGGATTCGAAAATCTGCAGTCGAAACATTTATCATATTGTCGAATGACGTTCTATGATACGATTCTTACAGTTCAGCTAGATTCGTGAGGTTGCCGAGACTCCCAGGGATAGGTCCATCGAGAAGATTCCGATCGAAGCGTCTGCAACAACGACAAGGTATTCGAACATAGTATCGAGTTTCAGGAATCGTAAATGTCCGAAAATCTGCAAAAACGACACTCACATGACCTCCAACGTTGCTACCGATCCAAGAGACGACGGTAGATTCCCCGTAAGCTGGTTGTTGTCGAATATCCTGAAGCAGGACGAGTCGCGTTGTCATACCGAAGAATTGTAACGACAGGAGATAGTAAACAACAATGACGATGAACTCACACATGTATGAGGCTCATTTTCGAGCTGAATAGTTCGTCGGGGACCGACCCGGAGAGCTGATTGTTCGAGAAATGGCTGCGAATCACGGAAACGAGTTCGAGTGAAATCGATCCGCGTCGAAAGAATAGATGAGAATCGTAACGATGAAATAGTTACGAGCGAGGGATCATACAAGTGTCGAGCAGAGTGTAGGTTATCCAAACCGGGAGTGTTGCCGTCGGAGACGGGAATCGTGCCGTTAAGCCGGTTCATGCTGAGATCGAGCCACGATAGCTGCGATAGATTGCCGAGGGAGGACGGAATCCGTCCCGTGAAGCCATTCGAGTTCAAAGATCTGCAAAAAACGAAACCCGACGAAAGATTCAGTCCTCGACTAAGCTGAAAAAACTCACCCAAAAGTTACGATCGCGGTGGCGCTGTACATGTACACGAGCTGGTCAAGAGATCCGATCGAATCGGGAATGGGACCGAAAAAGCTACAACCCACCAAAATCCTGCATCGACGAAGTACTGATTGTTACTCATTCGACGAAAACGAAGAAGAACGAACAACAACGGCGATGTTCTTACAAGATTGTGAGGTTCTTCAGGTTCCCGATAGACGACGGGAGTGTCCCTTTAAGACCGATGTTGTTCGAAAGATCCCTACATATACAAGCAACATTGCTAGATCAACGTACAAGATGTCGATAATGACGAAAAGATTTCGATAATGACGTACAAGAGCTGTAACCCGGTTAACGACGAAATGTCGCTGATCCCGCTGCCTTCGACTCCGACGCCAGCCAACGTTCTGCGATCGAAGCAACGAGAGATGAAACACACAAGGAATGGAAATGTTGCGTAACTCGTCGACTTACAAAGACGTCACTCGTGCGCCAGTGCAATTTACGCCGTCCCATTCGCTGCCACAAGGATCGCCGCCTGCCCAGTTCGGCGGCAAGTTCTTCCAGCTCGACTTTAGCGCGTTCAGAGCAGCCACTGCAACAGATATCGAATCAAGACTCAGAAAGCGTGTATAAACACACACACACACACACAAAAAAAAAAAATCAGAGCGTAAGAATCCTTTTCGTGCTTATCTATTACTGCGTCGAAATTCAATTAGATCCTACGTCGATTTTCCTTTGTTGAATACGTACACGTGTGTATATATATATATGTGCGCGGTCGCGCAAAAGAATAGAGTGATTTCGATACATCATACATAAGTTGTTAACTAAGGCGCTGAAACTTAAAGAAATCAGACGAATATGTTGTAAGAAAACATCTGAATTGTTTGCGAAACTCATAAAAACAGACGATCATATCGAAACTAATAGAGAACATCATCGAATCGAAAACAATACTCACGATCGCGGGAATCTGTGGCTGCAAATACAGCAAGAAACCATGAGAGAAACAGATGAAGTGCAGAGATCAATTTCCAGAGACTTGCCATGATTCTTTCCTGTCTGAAAGAACCAAAGAAAGAAGAAGCAGTTGAACAGTTGTTCTTGTGTTTGGTGAAAACAATGCCTAACCAGACAAGAAAATGAAAACGAATCCGTCCAGAAGGACTTTGTCAAGAAACCATTATAATAACAACAACGACATTAATGATAATGATAATAATAATGCATACAACCTATTCGATAAAATTCCCATTTCTTTGTTGTCTGAATACAACTGCTCCGCTCCACTGACGAACAAATAGCAGCTACGAATTGTCCGTACGCCCTCGAATGAAAAGCATTGCAGAAATGTAATAAGATTACATTTAGAATAAATAGTCTATAAACCACACAAACCAAAAATTGTGACAAGTTCGATTGATTAAGGTGTTAATTCAAATAAGTGAGTGATGCTTACCTCATTGAGGGAATCTTGGAAAACTTACAAAGAGTTGATGCCGAATTCCTTTTTAAATTAAGTCCCATTATATATATATAATGATGTTCGGTAGGGGTGCTACAATATTTCAAATTCTTTATTTTTTTATAGCTTCCCGGGTTGGGTTTGGGTAAGGGTGTAAAAATTAAACCCAACCCGAAAAATTAAATCCGTTCGATCTAAAGTTTTTCAGGTTCGGGTCTGAACATTTTGGGTTTGAAAAATATCGGGTCGATTCAAACTCGAAACGAAACAAATTCATGTCGTGTTCGGGTCGTGTTTCGGGTTGATCTGATAATCCAAAATATAAAAATCGGATTAGGTTTTGAGTTTCGTGTTTCGGGTTGATAATATTTATATTATTTTATAAAATTATATAAAAATAAAAATGATCTTTTTAGATTAATTTATTTTTTTTTTTAACTTTTCAGAAATGTTTCGTGTCGGGTTCATATCGGGTTTATTCGGATTTCGGATGACATGAAACTAATAACCCGACCTGAACAAATTGATGTCGTGTTGGATCTAGTGTTTCAGATCAAATTTCAAGTTTGGATCAGGTTGAGTTTTTTTGTTAACCCCATAGCTCAAGTCGACACAAACACGAGCCGAAAACACGAATTTGTAAGATTTGGCACGAATCCATTTTCACGTCGCTTTAGTTTTTCTTTTCCTTTTTTTTCCTAAGAAAAGTTTGATGGGCCCACTACTAAAATGAAAAAGCACAGCCCATAGCCAGATCCAATAAATCCAACGTCATGTTAATTCTTGTTAAGGATTGGCCAGATACACAGATGTTATAGCTCGTGGCTTATCGAAATTATTTTTGCACCAATTATCAAGAAAGCTTGAATTTATAAGTTATATCTAAATTAGGTTATATAGCTTCTTGGGGAAAAGAAACTTTTTGTGTCATCCCTTATTGGAAACATATGAAGTCAAAAAAAAATAAAAATTGTAAAACACTATTGAAATTACAAATTTAACGAACCACCGGTACTGTCTGTCTGTTTTATGTACACATTGCTGAGCCCATTTTCCATTTCCACACTTCGACATCCAAAAATATAATAAAAAAAAAAAGGAAAAAAGAAAATAACTTTGGTTTTCATATGTATGATCAGTGATCCTTTCTTTCCTCCTCCAAAGATTTTTGTTCCTCCAAAATTAGCAAGACCAGAACAAACCGGCGCCGTCCGCCGCCGTCGTCTCACGGCCGCCACGCCGCCGGCGGAGGCGGCGGCGTTGGAAACATAGGCGGAACGGCCGAGAATATCGTGTTCTTGTCGATGCTCACATCCTTATCTCCCGATAGCGCGACGAGAGCAGCAACTAGGCCAGCATTGCCGGCGAGAGTCGGCTCCGTGTAATTGTAATTCTTCCGGACATCGTGGAATCCGTCGTGCTTGTCGGGGCCGGCGACCAACGCTCCGGTGAGCGTATTCGGATTAGGCTTCGACGAGTCACGGTATCGCCACCCCTCCGTGCAGCCGACCTTCTTGCCCTTCGGAATCGACGCGCCTCGATGGTGCACGTGTTTCGGATAATGGCTGCCGTAGCCGACGACGTAGCTCATCTTCCTCGGATTGTCGCCGAGAATGTAATTGATCTATAAAAAACATATGGTGTAACGATCGAAGAACGATAATGACTTGATTTAGTTTAGAGGTAAGAGTATCACTTGAGTCTGCGCGAATTCGCGCAGAATATCCGTCGAGTAGAATTGCGGGCCGCAGTACCATCCCGGGGTGTCGTCAGCTCTCATGTAGTCGCTGAAAACTGCAGCGAGGAAAGCTGCATTTACGACGTATTGGAGAGGCTGAGGATCGCCATAGTTTAACTGGATCATACCTCCTGTCGAAAGCACGACAACATTGGGGAGTTCAAAGAATCGTTGCATTGATTAGTGTTGACTAAAATTCTCTATTTTAATCATAAGAATTCGTACATATTTCTAATAACGCACAAATCATCTAAATAATGCAAGAATTTTATAAATCTCTTAAATAAGATAACTAGCATAAATATAATATATATTTTCTAAATATATTTTAACAATTAGATTAGCAAGTTTTTGGACAAGATGATCGAACCTTTTGTCCGGTTGAATGTAGTGTAATAAGGGAGGAACGAACACATGACGATCCGAGTTTGGTTGTGGAACGTGCTCAAGATCTCTTCGTACGGATAGCCAGGGCTGAGGAAGAATCGAAGCCGGCTCAAAAGCACCTGTCAGATCAATGAATTAGAAATGAAGTTTATCGGAAGTGATCAGATTAATGTCGTTCTTACCTGAGCTCCGGCGAGTTTGTTGTCCCAACTAAAGACGCCGTAATACTTCCCTCCCCAAAATGCTCCGGCGTGTCGCGCAATGCCGGGAGTTGTGGCGAGCTGAAGGTACGATGAATTTCCGGTGGCGTAGTAGAGCCAGGCCGCGCCCCATAAGTACTCGTCGTAGTAGCCGGTGGAGTTGTAGAACACTTCCGCCTCCGTTCCGTCGCTGTATCGGCCCCGCTGATCCCTCGAGAATTTGAACAGAGTCCGGGCGCCATGGACGAGCTTCTGTGAATAAGCTCTGTTATCGTCCTTGAAAACGATGGATGCAGAGGCCAGAGCTGCCGCCATTTCTGCCGCCAGATCGGAGCAGCTGCTGCATTCTGTAACAGGACGGTCGTAATCGATGTTTTCCGGTCGCATCCAGCAGTAGTGATCGTTGTGTTCTTCCGATCCGCCGCGGGTATCGCCTTTTCCGACCTGCCGGAAAATTGATTTGGGGAAATTAGGGCAGAGAAATTAGAAGGTGAATTTATGTGGTTATGGAGATTGATTGATTGATTGATTACCTGAGCGACGATCCGATCGATTGTGTCGGCGGTGTGATTGAAGGTTTTGAGGAAGTAATCTGTTCCCCATTTGATGATTTCCTTGACGTGGTTGAGCTCGCCGGCGGCTTCGTACTTTGCGCGGTACTCGATCACACTCCAGCTCAGGAGCGTCATGGAGAAGGATTGGGGGAAATTGAACTTGATTGCATCGCCGGCGTCGTAGTAACCGCCGGTGAGGTCTTTGAACAGAGTCGACGAATCCGATTTGCCGTCGTTTAGGCACGAATTCCCCCGCCATGACACGTTGTTGTGCTTCGGAAGCTTTCCGGCTGATTGTGAGTTCAGAGAACACCAAATTAATCGGAAAATTAAAAACTATATACATTATATATATATGTGTGTAGAGAGAAATTGGGGATTAGGGTTTATAATTGTAATTACAGCGCTGAGAATTGAAGAAGACGAGGGCTTTGCGGAGGGCGAGGGTGTAATTATCCGGCGGCGGAGGGCGGGGGTGGTGGCGGGGCACCGTCTTGACAATGAGAGTGACGAATCCCGCGAGTACGGCGGCGGCGAGGATGGAGCCGACGATCCAGAGGAATAATTTGCGGCTGAGGATAATGCAGCCGAGATCGACGTATCTCTTCTTCTTCTGCTCGCCGGGGCCGAGGAGCCAGCTCTGCTGCGTCTCGTCGAGCTGGCGGGAGAGGGCGGCGCGGTCGAAGTCGTGGAGGTTGCGGCTGCGGTCGTCGTCGGTGGCGGAGTCGCCGGCGATCTCGAGGGAGCCGCCCCATGGATCCCGGCCGTACATGGTTGGAAGATGAGAATGGATTTGCTTTGCTTGCAGGTGGGTGGAGGTGGGAGGGAGTGTGTGATGTGTATCTAATGTAATGTCATGATTTCTAATTTTATTGCAATCATTTTATTTTATTTTATTTAAATTTAGAAATTGAATAATGAAAGTGACAGGCTAACTAATTCCTTACTACTAACCACACTTCATCTTCTTTGTGTCGGTAACACCAAATCTCTTCATTGTGTCTTTTCTTTTTTTTTACAATTTTTTTTTTTTTTTTTCATGTTAGGCATAAATAATAATAATATAAAAAATAACATTGTATATTAAATTAGGTGTGATTTTTTTGATGAGTTAAAAAAAAATGATTTAAAATTAGTATAAAAACAATATTTTATAAAATATTTTGTAAGATATTTTTTTTTTCGAAAAAAATATAATCAAAATACTAAAATTTGAGAAAATTTTACTATAGAAAAAGACCCAATATATTAAATAATTTTCTATATTATATTCTCATTGTGTCTTAAGAAAGTACTATTTATTTATTTTTTAGGTTATAAGGCAAATTAATACTTATTAAGGGACGAATGTAATATTTTTATAATATTTATAAAAAGAAAATATTAATAAAAGAAATTGTTGGATGAAATATAAAATTATAAATCCCAAGAAGTTTGAATTCTGAAACATTTTATGAGTATGGATTATATGCTGAGATATAAATTAATATGGTCATCTACAAAATTAATCACAATGTAATCACGTAGATTATGATATTTTTTTTAATAAGGGTAGGGATAAATTTCAGCATGCAAATCATAGAATTCTATAATTTTAAATTATTTTGATAAAAAAAAAAATTTGATATTTTTGCAAATTAGACAAATTATATGTGATAGAAACTTGGACTTATGACAGACAATTCAAATTTTACTAAAATATACTCTATATATTTCAAATAAATGTACTTTGTTAGTCTCATTAAAAATATTATTCTTTTTATTCTTTTTATTTGTTTCATTCAAAATATATATATATTTTTTTTGTCAAGTAACATTCATCCCTCGTATATCCTGCACACATATCCCCCAAAAAGAAATTGGTGTGTTCAAAAGTGAAAAATCAATAATTTATTGGCTTTTATTTTATTAAATTGAACATATTTTTATAATATAATAATAATAATAATAATAATAATAATAATAATAATTGAAGATGGGAGGAAGACCCACCGTTGTCTGTGGACTGATTTGGTCCACCGACACCGACAGAGGAGCTGTATTGTATTGTATTGTAGGGTGTGGACGCCACCTCATATTTCACAATAAAACTGGACCCGCCAATTTATCGATACTTCCAAAATAAATAATTCAACAACTTACTATTGTTATTATTATTGCTTCATTTTATAATCATAGAAATGAAAATAGTATGTTACCATCAATGCTCTGGCATCGATTTCTTATTTTCATTTATTTATTTTCCTCTTTTTAAGGTACATATCGGTGAGGGGGTGTTTTCGGGTCATGTTTGTGTTAGGTTGAGCTATAAGGATAACAAAAAAATAGTCAATTCGATTTTGATCCGAACCCAAAATTTTGACATGAAATCCTAGATTTGAACACGATACGAATTTTTTTTGTTCGGGTTCAGGTTAACTTGATTTAGTTTCAAGTCATTCGAAATCCGAACAAACCCGACACGAAACAAACCCGAAAACATTAAAAAGAAAAAAATAATAATTTAATTTTAGTTAAAATATTATAAATTAAAATAATAATAAATAATTTCAGGTCAACCCAAATCACAAAATTCGAAACCTGACTTGATTTTTATATTTCGAGTTATCAGATCGACTCAAACACCACACAAAATTTTTTCGTTTCGGGTTCGGATTGATTCGATTTTTTGCAAACCCCGAAATACTCAAACCCGGACTCAAAAAATTTCAAGTCGAACGAGTTCGATTTTTCGGGTCGATTTAATTTTGACAACCCTGCATGTCACTTGCTTACATCTAAATCTAATGTTCCCCCTGTCCTATGTAATTTAGGCGTCTTACTGTAGCCACTAGAATAGATAAAATATGATTAGTAAGTAATTAAAAAATTGTATTAATAAAAATAATTATTGTATCTTAAAAATAATTATCGATTAAGATAATTAAATAATTTAATTAAAATTAAAAAAATTATAAAATTTAAAATATGATTAAAATATATAATTATATTTTAAAAAATGAAATGACAAGGAACAAATGTGGGAAGGAGAGAGTAATTTATTAATAAATAAATAAGACCCTTATCATCTTTTGGGCTAATCTTTTTAAATATTATGGGCCACTATGGATCAGACCTTTATTGGGCCCATATTTAATTTCCAAACAAATTTCTGTATTAAAAAAAAATAATAATAATAAATAAACAGAAAAGAAGTAAAAAGCCGAGTAGGAACGGAGAAAGCCAAGGTGCCCTCAATGGCGATGGTGCGCCACCAGCTCTTCCTTTTTGACATCTGCCATAGCTAATGCACCCACTGAGCAGTGCGATTCATTTTCGATTCGTGTGGTTTGAATTGATTCGTAGAGGAACAGGAGGGTAGTTATTGAAGGAAATCCGGAGAAAGGGTGGATTTTAGCGAAAACGGCTGAGAAGGGAGAGGGCGGGTCGAGGCGGAGATCAATTTGCCATCTCTTTCGTTAGGTAAGTTCTTTTTACGGTCTATTTCTTTTTTGTGCTGTTGAAGTATGAGCTGGAGTTTGTTGTATTTCGTTGATCTTGTGATGGAAAGATTGATCGTTTCTAGGGGGAGAATGAAATAGGGTTTGAAGATGGGTTTATGGTGTTGGATGTTGGTCGTATGTAATGTGCGTGGAATTGTGAATTGAATTTGGTATTTGAGCGAAAGATTTGAAGAATTTGAGTCGTTTTGCGTCCTGATGTTTCTGCAGAGTAGTATCATTACTTGAAATCGTTTTTAGGTATGAAAATGGCTATAATAAGCTGATGTTAGTTTTCATGGATTTGTTTCTGAGAAGTGTTTCCTAGTGATCAACTTCGAGAATGAAATGATGCTAGAACTTGGACAAATTGTTTTAGGTTATGTATGCTGCTAGGAGAATTTGTGTAATCTGTGTTTTTGGGATTTTGATTCAAACCTTATCCTGTAATGGATGTCGAATTTGATGCCACAAAGATAGCACCCAATAGACTAAATCAGTTGCTAAACCATTCCTTATTAAAGCTAATTTGATGCTTGATTAGATAAAAGAATAATACCTTCCTTCGGAAGAGTAAATAGCACAATATGGTTTATGGAGGAATGGCATCTTCAGATTCTACTATTCGAGTGGGTGATATTACTTCTCTTTTAGTGCTTCATCATTAAGGAGGTTGGTTTGGTAAATTATATGTTGCCTTGTTTGGTTGGAGGGATTTGAGTTAAAAAGCATTTCAAATGATCCTATAGAAATCATTAGTTTCATTTGGCAATACACTGGATTAGATGTGGATTTCAAATTTATCTCTTTTAATATTTTAAATAATCTTCAATACTGTGTCATTTTGAATATTCTTGAAACCAAATAATGAATTTTAATTATGACATCTTTTGAATCTGAGGTAATTTAAATCCATTCATTTGTAATCCACTCTCAAATCTAAACCCATCCAACCAAACGGGCCTTATAAGTGCTTTCCGGCTAAATTAGATTGCCCAATATTTGAAAATAGACTTACTGATCTCTACAAGGTATTTCTCAAACCTTACTGCGCACATATATGATCAAAGAATGGTGTAAAGATTATGTTATTTTACTTTACTATTATGCCCATTACATTGAAATTCTGTCGGGAATCCCTTCAGTTTCTCTCTACTATCATGAATGTTTTGAATTTTTTTTAGTTGAATCTTTACTGCAACATCAAAAGAAACAGGAATTTCAGTAAGATAAATTGTCCATGTTTTTTCTTTTGGATTAATGTGATGGTGATATAATTTTCTTCCCCATTCCTGTCAAAAATCATCTGCATATCTTTCTCTGGCAGACATCTGGTGTCTTAATGAACATGCCAGATTCGAGCGAGGAATTAGAAAAAGGCTCTGCTGATAGTGTCGGTCAAGTAAGGGAAGACAGCGAATATGTAAGATTGGTTATACCAAACGAACCAAGGATGGCTGAAGCTGGTGCTTTGAATTCGCAAACACAGGAAAGAAAGAGCTCTCGTTCCTGGTGGATGAAGGCCATAATATGGTGCTCCATCATCGCGATTTTTCTTCTAATCTTTGTAAAATGGGGGGTCCCATTTCTCGTAGAGAAGGTACCTCTACTCGTCTTCCTTTCTGTGTGTATATATGTTTAACCTCTAAGACACTTACCTTCTGCATTTCTGTTTTTCCACTTACAAACTAATATCGGTGATTCCTTCTTAGGTTCTTTATCCAATCTTGCAATGGGAAGCCACGGCATTTGGCCGCCCTGTCCTTGCTTTGGTGCTCGTAGGTTCATTGGCATTGTTCCCCGTATTTCTCATCCCTTCCGGCCCTTCCATGTGGCTAGCTGGGATGATATTCGGTTACGGCCTGGGATTCGTCATAATCATTGCTGGAACTACAATTGGAATGATCCTACCGTACTTTGTTGGCTTACTCTTCCGCGACCGGATTCATGTATGTGATAACGAAAAAAAAAAAAAAGAACTCTTATCTCCACATTTTCTTCTTTAATTGTCACTGACCGATCTTTTATGTGCAATTTTACGGCAGCAATGGTTGAAGAAATGGCCGCAGAAAGCTGCCATGATCAGATTAGCCGGAGAAGGAAGCTGGTTCCATCAGTTTAAAGTGGTCGCCCTCTTCCGAATCTCGCCCTTCCCTTACACAATCTTCAACTACGCAATCGTTGTCACCACCATGCGATTCTGGCCGTACATTTGTGGGTCCGTCACCGGAATGATACCCGAATCCTTCGTCTACATTTACAGGTACTTTTTACTTTTTACTTTTCCATCGTCTCCATATTTTCTATTCTATTATTCAAGCTCAGACTCGCCGTTCTTCACAGTGGCCGGCTGATAAGGACATTAGCCGACGTGAAATACGGCCACCATCGCCTGACTGCCGTAGAGATCGCGTACAACGTCATCTCGTTCGTCATCGCAATCAGCGCTGTAGTTGCCTTCACCGCATACGCTAAGAGAACACTGAGTGAGCTCGAGACAGCCGACAGCAATGATCTGCGAAGCCCCGGCAGCGAACGGGCCAATTTCGAGCTCGATAAGCTTCCTTTCGAAAAATATAACTCCAGTTTAACGAAGTAGTTTGTTTTGTTTGTACAGCTTGAATTGAATACAGTCGAAAATGGGGTTATTTTCGTGCATCCCCTTGCCATAGAAATGGATTCTTTCCTCCTGTTGTATCCTTCTTTACACTCAATTTTATGCTAAATTTTTCTACATTATATATATATATATACACACGGAATACTTTAATTTTTAATTTTTTTTTATGACGAAGAAACTTATAATCACTACCCGAAATGAGCATAGCCTGCAAAGTATGACAGGTGACTTGGAGGGAATTGAGGGTATAAAGTTATGACTTCATAGTCATAAATTTATTCTCATACTACTAGGTCATCCCTTATGGGACTTAGGAATACTTTCTTTTAGTATTTTGTTTTTGTTTACGATAAAAATAATTATTATTTTTGTTTATTCCACTTCAAAGTATTTCTTTTTAATTTTAATAAAATTAATTCTACATTAATATCAAAATATTAATTTTTATATAAATAATAAATATATTATAGACATACAGTTACTTTATACATAAAATCAAATAACAAAAATATCAAAATCCTCTTACATACTTCTACTTGGATAAAATACTATTATTTTTTTATATATTGTAGAACTCCAAAATGACCACTTTAGAATGGGAGGATGGAGTATTTGATATTAAAAATTAGGTATATTTCTGTAAGAATTGTTGTCTACAAATTAATATTAATTAAAAATAATTAAATTTGCTTATTCTGCAAACTACTGAATTAAAATGTTTGAGCACACCATTTGTGCCGTTTTTAAGATATAATAATCAATTTGTTATTTATTTTTCAGCTTACTTAGTCCTTAGTCCTCAACTAAATTTATTTATTTTTTTATATTCCTATGTTTCATTCAAAAATATCTATTTTATATATATATATATTTTAGTAAAATTAAACATACATTAATATAAAAATATTTTTAACTTTTGCTTAAATTACAAATGTAATATTACACATATAATTATTTTATAAATAAATTCAAAGACAAAAATGTCAAATTTGATACACATAAGTATTGTTTATTAATTTACTACAAAACTTTAAAGGGATACATTCGAGTGGGGCGGATGGAGTATTATTTTTCAATAATACTAATATACTACTCCCTCGTATTTATTTTTTATCTACCTCGTATTTATACTAATATACAACTCCTTCTTCCCACTTAATTTGTCTATTACTTCTATTTTAGTTTCTCTCACTTAATTTGTGATTTTTTTTAAATATAATTATACACTTAAATTATATTTTAAAATTTATAATTTATAATTTTTTTTAATTTTAATTAAACTATTTAGTCATGTTAATTTTAATTTAAAATTATTTTTACTAATATACTTCTTAATTACTCTAATTACATAGTATCTAAAATTTCGTGTATAATCTAAATAGAACAAATTAGCCAAGACAGAGAGACTATTACTTCTTAATTTTTTGTTTATGCAAAATGCCATAAAAACTAAGACTGCGGATATTAAATTAAAAATAAATAATGTGAAATTATTTTATCACAAAAAAGAAAAATGATTGTTAATAATAATTAATAAATACAACAACTTCTTAGATAATACTATAATACTAATAAAAAATGTTTAAAGAATACCCCTTGTTTAGTTAACTAATGTTTATGTAAATTTGAGTTTAAATTTTGGGGATATTTGGGTGTGTTTATTTTGTGTTTTTGTTTGGGAAAAAAAAAATGATATAAAGAATTATACTGATAATATAAAAATAATAGCGTGTAGTATATTAATTTTTTTAAAAGTGTGTAAAAAGAAATAAACAAACTCAAAATTTCTTTAATGGAGAATGAGTAAAATTTAAAGTGTGTCATTTTAACTAAAATTTTTTAACATATTTTTTTTTAAAAAAATTAATATATATTACATACACTTATTATTATTATATTACCTAATCAATTTTTTATATGTCACATAAAAAAATATCACTTCAAACCAAAATACAAAACAAACACACCTTAAAAACTCTTAATCAAAATGACTAATCATTTACCCCTAGTAAAAAGTGAAACTGTTACTCTCTCCCTGAATAATATCTCTCTATTATATATATATATATAGTATAATTAGTAAGTAATTAAAAAGTGTATTATTAAAAAATAATCATTATATCGTAAAAATAATTATAAATTAAGATTAAGATAATTAAATAATTTAATTACAATTAAAGAATTATAAATTATGAAAATTAAAATGCGATTAGAATGTATAATCATATTTCCAAAAAAAAAATAATAAATGATATGATACGGTCGAAGATAAAAAAATATAAAAAAATTATATAAAATAAAATATATATATTTAAATATATATTAAAAGGTATATATATTAAGTAAGTTAAGTAAATATAAATATATAGAAAAATAGAAAAAAATAATCAAAATTTTAATTAGAATTAATATGTAAATTCTACATATTTAAAAGATATTGTAGATATTTCTTAAAAACAGACTAAATGATCAATTACAAATCAAACTATGCATCATTTTCTCTATAAAAATAGAAAATGTTGATATAAAATTTAAAGTATTTTAAATCCAGTTTGTTCATTTAAGTGTTTTGAAATGAATTTATTTTTTTGGTAAACTATTTTTTTTAAGTCCCGTAACTGATCCCTTTATCATTTAGTCCCGTAAGTGGAACCTGTCGTAAACTAGTTCCATAACTGAAAAATTTTCCCTGTTTTAGTTCTCTGGCGCCGGAGATGCCTGCGTGGCTCGCCGGAGGTGACGTGTCCGCCAAGTGTTCCATCAGGTCAGCGACACCTGGCGGACACGTGAATTTATTTATTTTTTTCATTTATTTTATTTTTTTAAATTGGACTAAATAAAAAAATAAAAAATACAAATAAAATTAAAAATAAATTTTAAAAAAATTAAAAAAATTCACGTGTCCGCCAACGTGTCCGCCAGGTCACCTCTGACGAGCCATGCGGGCATCTCCGGCGCCGGATGACTAAAATAGCGAAAATTTTTCACTTATGGAACTAATTTGCGACAGGCTCCACTTACGGGACTAAAATGATAAGGGAATCCAGTTACGGGACTGAAAAAACAATTTACCCTTGTTTTTTTATGTTACGTAGGGAGAATTGTGTTTAAGTAATATAAAGGGTGTGATTGATAGCGGTTAGTCTATTGGATTAGCTAGTTTGATTAGCTGATTTGATTGACGGTTTGTATTAAAGTATTTAGTAAAATAGCAGTTTGATATTAATTATTTACAAGTAAAATGATAATTAATGATATTTTTATTTTATTTTAAAATATTTAGTTATATTATTCGTTGTATAGGATTTTTTAGAATTTTTATTAGTAATATTACTTATTGAAAATTACAAAAATTTTATTAAAATATTTATTTTTGTTATATTTTAAATATTATGTAGAAAAATTTTATATATATATTTTATTAAGTTATTTTTAATTAATTTTTTTATTTATAATTTAAATAAATTTATTCTAATATATTTATCAATAATAGAAAAATTTATGTGACAAATAATATATAGTATATATAAATAAATTAATAATATTTATATCAAATTTATAAAAGAAAATTTAAAAATTAACTAAAAATATATATTAACATAAATAGTTTTTTAGCCGACAATAAGCTGAAAATTCTCCGAAAAATCTGTTTTCAAACACCATAAAATAATATTTTAGATTGAAAAATTGAGTCATTTGATTAAATAATATATATATATTATATTGTCTTAATTTCTGTATATATTATATTTTTAAAATAATATTTATAAGGAATTATGACAGTAAAAACTACAATGTAAACAAACTGAAATATTTAAAAAATAAAATAAAATTATTTTGAAGTATCTATAGTTTGTTTGTTTAGTATTTTAATTTCAAATATACTTTTTTATAGAAAATATAAAAAATTGTGTATATAATATAAAAATAATATTTTATATTAAATATTAAATTTTATCGAATAATAAAAAATATAATGTATATAGATATTGAAAATCATATAGAAAAAAGTTTATTGGAAAAACAAATAATTAGATATATACAAATAATGTAAATTAGAATAAAATATATATTAATAATAATAAAATAACTTTTAAATATTCATGTTTTTTTTTTTAATTTATAATTTAGATTAGTTAGTTGATATGAATTTATTGAAATTGTAATCGAACAATATCCTATTTCAGAAAAATCTTAGTAAATAAAATTATAAATAATTAAAGTAATAATAAATGATAATTAAAATTAATAAATTGAAAGAAAATGACAATTTGAGTCGAAAAACAAAAAAGAAATATTAATTAAAAAATAGAAAATAGAAAAATTAAGTACAAAATAAATTGTTTTTGTCGGCACCAAATTTTTTGTCCGGAATATCCTCTCGTCGATCCGATATCAATAGTTAAGATATTTTAAATTTAGATTTAATTTAATATTTTGGTTAGATTAAGGTTGATTGATTTATTTTAGATTTAATAGTTTTAAATTTTGATTTGATCATATTTAAGTTTTTTAATTTCAGTATATCCAATATGTTCATGGTTTTATGATCAATTTATAAAAATTTTTTTAAAATAATTTTGACATGGCATTAATTTTATTTTATTTTTCTAAATAGAGATAGGGTCTGTTTGGTTGAAATGAGATAAAGGAGAAATTTTAACGGAAGAGAATAGAGACAAAGAAGATGAGAGAATATTAAAATTTAGTTATAAGAAATGGGTGAGGGTAAATAATATTTTTATGTTTGGTTAAGTAGGGAAAGAAAAATATAATAATAATAATAATAATAATAATAATAATAAAAGCATTTAATAAAATTTATTAATTTATTAATAAATAAAACATAAATAAATAAAATTATATATAAAAAATTGAATCATTTAATAAAAAAATAATTATACTTAACATAAATTTTATTTATTTAGAATAAATTACAACAACTACAGGAAATATATAAAATTGTCTCAGAAAAATTGTCTTGACATTTATATAATTAATTGAGTACTCTCGGTAAATGTCTCGAAACCTTTTCCGTGGCCATTTTATTGTGACAATTTGGAAAGTCATGGAATGGCGAGGCAAATTATCTCGTCGAAATGACCGAGAGAAGATCGTGACAATATATTGTTTCAAAAATACTCACAAGCTTTTTTGAGATTATATTATCTCGAACAATTGTGATAATTTCTAAGACTATATTTTGTATCCAATTGTTGTGATAATTTTCGTGACTATATTTTGTCTCGAACTGTCGTGAAAAATTTTGAGACTACTTTGTCTGAAATTGCCATAATAATTTTCAAAAATATGTTATCTCAACCCGCCATGACAATTTTTGAGATTATACTATGCAAAAAATCGTAACAATATCCGAAACTTCGTTTATCTTCAAATCGAGACTATATGTTGTCTTGAACAACCATAATAATAACCACAAAGATATTTTATCTTAAATAACTATGAAAATAATGGAGACCGTATTCTATATTTTATTTCAACATAATTGTAGCAATATCAAAATAATTTATATCGAACAACCGTATACTATAGTGTTAAATAAATATGATAGGTATACATTTATTTTATTAATTAAAACCCAACTCTTATTAATTAATGGTTTAATTAAATAATTAAATTAAAAATATTTTTTTTTTTGTTAATTTATGGAGGCTGAGGCTGCTGTAAACCTCTGCATCGGCAACTAATTCTGGTTATTGCATTCATGCTGTGATTACATTTCTCCATTCTTTGTGATTTGGTTGAATATTGCAATAATAGCTTGAGTGTTTAGCCAAAAGTAAATTGTATTCCTTTCTAAAATTTTTGTTGAAGTTCCTTTGTTTTTAAGGGTGTGTCTGTTTGGGGGTTTGGATTTTGAGATGGGATTTGAATCGTAAAAATTTTGAATTTGAATAGTTTTATGATGTGATATAAATAGGAATGTATTGACGTGATGGAATGAATAGTGTTTGATTTGATATTTTTTTAAGAAAAAATAAAATGAATAGTGTATTTAAAATTCAATACTCAAACAAACACAACCTAAGTGTAGTGCATATCACATAATTGCTAAATAAACAAGCATTTCAAGCCTACTTTATGGAGAGTTCACAAATTAATCCATCAGTTCAATGGCAAAGAGCTAGACAAAAATAACCGTCTTACCTGAAAGCTTAAATTGTTAGGATATGTATCATTCATTCATTTAGATACAAGTCAATCAACACAATTTTTGAACGATTCAATTTCTAAACATCAAGGTATTGTCAAGAAACAATTAGCAATCAGCACATGTAATATATCCAAACAGCACACGATTTTATTATAGACAACACATGATCTTATTATACACAACACACAGATGTTGTTGGTTCATAGTTATAAATGTGATGCCAAAATTAACTATTGGTTGTGATGTATAAGACTGTAGCATTTGTTGTTTGTTCATGTGTTGTATTTGTATTGTTGGTTCATAATTATAAGTGTTTTGTATAATAATATGTGATATGCTAAAATCAGCTATTGCTTGTACCGTATAAAATTATAGCTGTATTTGTATTATATAAATGCATACGGTGTGTTGTCGGTAGCAATACCGACACAGTGCTGAATTATCTACATATTACTATGAACACAAAATCATCGAAACAGCTTTTGGAATTGAGAGCTATCCAACAACATTGGCCTAAACTCGAATTATTGGAATATGATTCAGCTAGGGATATCAGAAAATATGAACAAAGCTATAGTAGAACAAAGGTCAAAATCATATTGCTAATTCTACATAAGAACACCTGATGCAGGACAAGTAGCTGATCCATACCTGTTAGTAGTTCAAAGTTCATACGCAATGGCAAATCAATCAATAATCTCATGAAATTCCATTCCATTTTCGATTGGTTATACAAACACCGCAGATGCATAAGGCAACCTGTCAAGACTAACGCCAAATTGAAATTCGTTTCTGTTAATAAAAATGAAGGGGTAATATGATATTTTAATGTGTCAAAATTTTTTATTGATATATATATAGGTACGAACAAAGCAGGTTGTCATTTGGGATGTAATTACAAAGCATGCATTGATTCGCACTCCAACTAATCATGCCGTGAAGATTGGGTTGCATGGAGCGGTTCTACTGGGATCAATTCATATGCTTTTGCAAATTCCACTGATTTGTGCTATGATAATCGCTTACAGTAGGTTGTGGCGATGCGGAGATGCTTCGAAACGCGGCCAATCAAAAGGAGCGGTTACTTCACGCGGAGCCAGTTTGTTAGTGGAGGAATTTTGAAATTTTGAAAAATTTCCTCCGTTTGGAGATTGGTTGGATCAGGTAACGATAATGCTGCGGCTCAGGGCGCTTCGCCCTACGAATGACAAGATAGTGAAGATTCAATTGCACCCGACGCACCCGTGGCTTGTCAGCGCCGATGCGTCGGATCACGTCTCGGTGTGGAATTGGGAGCATCGTCAGGTCATATATCGGTTCATCTTTTGAGGTCCTTCGAATTTCCGCTGTGTTTTGTGTTTTTCGTTAAATTGTTCTGTTCGTTTGCCAGGTGATTTACGAGTTGAAAGCTGGGGGTGTCGATCAGAGGCGTTTGGTTGGCGCCAAATTGGAGAAACTGGCTGAGGGAGAATTTGGTATCTTCGTAGTTTTCGATTATCCAGTTTAATTGACAGCATTTTACATCTTATCCTGATTAGATAGGTTGAATCTTTGGCATTTTTTCCCCCTCTCAATGAAATTGCCGTGGATCGTAGATTTTATGTGGTCATGAATTTCTTGTTTGCAACAGAGCCTAAGGTAAAACGAGCAGAAGCTATACGAGGAGGAAGGTAATGCTCAAACCTGTAAAATCTGTGTGACTTCTATCACTTCTTCAATCAGACTCCTGATTGTCTGCTCATGGTTCAAGTGTTAAACAGGTTAGCTTTTATGATGACGATGTACACTATTGGGAGCTGTGGCGTAATTACTCTGCTGCTGCTGAAGCTCCAGCAGCTGTTGACAATGTCGCTAAAGCTTTTAGTTCGCCTCCCCCATCAACAAAAGGTCGACATTTTCTGGTGATATGTTGCGAAAATAAAGCTATTTTCCTAGATTTGGTAACAATGCGCGGCCGTGATGTTGCAAAACAGGAACTGGACAACAAACCTCTTCTATGGCAAGTCTTTTATCTTTGTTTACAACTCGAATGAAGGTTCAAATTGTTATAGATCTTCAGAAATTTGCTTTGAAATCCATATTCCATCAGACAAAATCATCTGTATGAATCTGCCGGTAGTGAATCTAGTGCCGATAGAACTGGGACAGCTCATGAGAGTAAAGTAGATTATGACGAGAGCTTTTAGTTTCTTTATTTCATCTTCTTGTCCTCTTCGGCGTGGATAGTAGTAGTACTCTCAATGCAAGTAGTTTTTCAATATTGAATCATGTTACTGATCATCAATTCACTGGATTTGCCTACAGTATGGAATTCCTTTGCAAATCAGCTGCTAGTGACGGTCCTCTTGTGGCATTTGGTGGATCAGATGGCGTAATCAGAGTTCTTTCCATGTTAACTTGGAGGGTCTGTTTAGTTTATGATTTTCAGAGTGCATTTTGTTTGAAGTTATTCCCTCCTTGTGAGAATTCAAAGTTTTTGATGCAGCTTTACCGAAGGTATACAGGAGGTCACAAGGGTTCAGTTGCTTGTTTGATGACTTTCATGGCTGCTACAGGAGAGGTAAAAATCTAAAGTTACTGGCTCAAATTTCTCTTTATGTAAATAGGGATGATTTTGGAGAGTGATGATAATCTGGTTCCATAATGTAATCTTTTCGAGGCACAGCTTCGAGTTTCTATTATGTTCTTAACTTCTTATTTCACCGTTAGTGTTTCACTCTCATCTGTCGGTTTTTTGTTCGAATTCAGGCCCTGTTGGTTTCTGGTGGCAGTGATGGCTTACTTGTGGTTTGGCAAGCAACTCATGGCCAAGATTCCAAGGAACTTGTACCTAAGCTTAGCTTAAAGGTAATTGTCATTCTATTCTGTTTGTATTGCTGAGTTTGATGATCAACTGCTGCAATCTTTGATCCTTCTTATGAATTTAAAGGCACACGACGGTGGAGTAACGGCCATTGAAATTGCTCGAGTGTCCGGCGCCCCGCCATATCTTATTACCATTGGTGCAGACAAGACCTTAGCCATTTGGGACACAGTTTCATTTAAGGTTCAAACGATAATCCCCTTTGATGATGGAGAGAATTTCAATAATTACTCATTCCTTTCCATATTATTATTTCTCTTTCCCTTTCCAGGAATTGCGTCGGATGAAACCTGTTTCAAAGATGGCCTGCAATAGTGTAGCATCATGGTGCCATCCTCGAGCTCCAAATCTTGACATCCTGACTTGTGTTAAAGATTCCCATATCTGGTATGCATACTATTTCAATAGTGCTGTTAAGATCATGTTGAAATCAAGTAATAAGATTCTAACTGGAACAACTTCCTGTAAATTCCTGTTGCTTCTCATTTGATCATCACAATACTTTCGACAGGGCGATTGAGCACCCGACTTATTCATCTCTATCAAGGCCATTATGCGAACTTACTTCATTAGTTCCGCCACAATTACTTGCATCTCGGAAGAAGCTCAAGGTAAGCTTCGCCGCGTTAGTTCTAATGCTTGTTGATTTCAATCATCGGTGAATTGGTTCTTGTGAAATTGGACAGGTTTACTCCATGGTTGCACATTCTTTACAACCCCATCTTGTTGCAACTGGGACCAACATCGGTATTCTTATCTGTGAATTCGATGCCAAAGCACTCCCACCTGTTGCTCCATTGCCAGCAAAACCAGGAAGCAGAGAAAATGCTGCATTGTACCTAGTGGATAAGGAATTGAAACTCTTGCAATTTCAACCATCTAACACCCAAAATCCATCTCAAGGAAGCCACATGAATGATGCAGGAAGAGTTAGCAGCGACAAGCCGGAACAACTCCAAGTAACGCAAACTAAAAAGCATATTAGTACTACCATACCACAGGATTCATACTCAGTTCTTTCGGTGAGCAGCTCAGGAAAGTGAGTGATCCCTAATTTCCATTAACTTTTACTTGGTTCTTGCATCACTTGCTCGTTACATTTTATCCTGTGCAGGTACCTTGCTATTGTATGGCCGGACATTCCCTACTTCTCAGTATACAAGGTCAGCGACTGGAAAATAGTCGATTCGGGTACTGCAAGAATCTTGGTTTGGGATACTTGCAGAGACAGGTTTGCCTTGATGGAGTCTGCATTGCCTCCTAAAATGCCTGTACTTCCTAGAGGCAGCTCGTCGAAGAAAGTGAAGGAAGCTGCAGCTGCATATGCAGCACAAGCTGCAGCAGCGGCTTCAATGGCTTCATCTGCCAGTGTTCAAGCTCGAATTTTGTTAGAGGATGGAACATCAAACATATTGATGAGATCAGTTGGTAAACGGGGCGAGCCCATTTCTGGTTTGCACGGTGGAGCTCTGCTTGGGATTTCCTATCGAACATCTAGAAGAATAGGCTCATTCAGCTCTGCTGCAGGATTCAGTGGCAGCAGTCCTCTTCTAGCGGACGATGTCTATCCTCCTCATCCTCGAAAATCTCCTGAAGCAGAACCTATGAGTTTTCAACTATATAGCTGGGAAACCTTTGAACCTATTGGAAGCCTTCTGCCTCAACCAGAATGGACAGCATGGGATCAAACTGTCGAGTATTGCGCATTCGCCTATCAAAATTATATCATTATATCTTCTCTACGCCCCCAGTTTCGATACTTAGGGGATGTGGCGATCCCTTTTGCCACCGGGGCTCTTTGGCACAGAAGGCAGCTATTTGTCACTACTCCAACGACAATCGAGTGTGTCTATGTCGATGCTGGTGTGTCTCGCATTGACATAGAAACTAAAAGGAAGAAAGAAGAGATACGTATTCAAGAGGCACAATCGCGGGCTTTTGCAGAGCACGGCGAGTTGGCGCTAATATCAGTCGATAGCCTGCAATCAGCATCTGAGGAGAGGATAGCCTTGAGACCTCCATTGCTGCAAGTCGTCCGGCTAGCTTCTTTTCAGCATGCCCCTTCGATACCTCCTTTCTTAACATTACCGAGACAGCCTAAAGTCGAAAGCGATGATTCATCTACACCAAAAGAGATGGAAGAGCGAAAAGTGAATGAGGTTGCTGTTGGTGGTGGTGGGGTTGCTGTTGCTGTTACTAGATTTCCGGCAGAGCAAAAAAGACCGGTCGGGCCTCTTGTCATTGTTGGGGTAAGAGACGGCGCCCTCTGGCTGATTGATCGATACATGCGCGCCCACGCTATATCACTCAGCCATCCTGGAATCCGGTGTCGATGCCTTGCAGCCTATGGAGATGCTGTTAGTGCAGTTAAATGGGCAAGCAGGCTCGGTAGAGAACATCACGATGATTTGGCGCAGTTTATGCTCGGGATGGGTTACGCCACTGAAGCTCTTCACTTGCCCGGGATATCGAAGAGGTTGGAGTTTAATCTAGCTATGAAGAGCAATGATCTGAAAAGAGCCCTTCAGTGCATTCTAACAATGAGCAACAGTAGGAACATGGGACAAGAAGCTTTGGGTTTGGACTTGAACGACATTATGAATCTGTCGTCGAAGAAGGAAAATGTCGTTGATGCTGTTCAAGGAATAGTTAAATTCGCCAAGGAGTTTCTCGACCTCATCGATGCTGCTGATGCCACCGGACAAACAGAAATCGCTCGAGAAGCTCTCAAGAGATTAGCTGCAGCAGGCTGTGTTAAAGGAGCTTTGAAAAAACACGAGCTTAGAGGACTCGCTTTACGCCTTGCAGAACACGGAGAGTTAACGCGCCTTGGGGTATGTATGTATATTGGTTCGATTCCTGTTTATTTGTGCAAAAATGACTTTGCGATTATGCAGAACTTGGCGAACAATCTGGTGTCGATTGGATTGGGACGAGAGGCTAGTTTTGCAGCGGCTCTCTTAGGAGACAATGTACTCATGGAAAAGGCTCTGCAGGAAACAGGGATGCTTGCGGAGGCTGTGCTGCACGCTCATGTATCGAACTTTTGAGCTTCTTTGTTCACCTTATTCGTTTGTTTGCGCTGCATCTTGAATTCATCCAACGCCGGCGTTGCTATCTGCAGGCGCATGGTCGGCCTCAAATAAGGGGCCTCGTTCAGACATGGAACACGACGCTGCAGAAAGAGATGGAGCACGTTCCGTCCGCCAAGATCGATGCTACGGCTGCACTCTTGGCCTCCTTTGATGCATCCAAGCTCACAAGCCTGCAAGATTCAGCACGGAAGCTTCCTATCGAAATTCTGCCTCCGGGAATGGCATCTTTATACGGTCCCAATCCCGGTTTTGGCTCGAAAAAGCCCGGTGCTGCCATCAAGAACTCCTTGCAGCATCCTGGGAAACCATTGATGCTGGAAGCTGCACCTCAAACTACCTCCACTCTGTCAGATGACGCTGCTGCGGCGCTTCCCTTGACTGAATCAGACGGAGCGACTTCAACTGAACCACGCGCCGAGCCCTCAACGGAATCCCGCGCTGAGCCTGCAACTGACTCAGGCGATCAACTGAACTCTGCCGGCGAGGCAGCTGGTGGTGAAGATTCATCGATACCGGATGAGCCTACTGCTCCGAATTTGGAATCAAAGGCTGCTCCGCCACAACCGGAGCTGGAAGGACCAGAATCAGAACCAACTGCTCTGGAGTCGGAATCGAACATCGTCGAAAGTGTGGAAGAAAATCAAGAGCAGGCGTCGCCAGCACCAAGCAATGCAGAGACTACAGAAACAAAAGAAACTGCATCAGCAGCATCTACACAACAAGAAGGAAATAATAAAGCAGCAGAAGTAGCCCATGGCGAATTCCCTATGATCGACTTCACATAAGTAAGAAAGGTCCTAAGGCATTCTTCTTTTGCATTCTACCATTTTTCTGTTGGTTCCGTTTTTGTACTTTTTATTAATAGTTATAATAATACTAATAAACACGTAATCGCAATTTTTGTTGTTTTATAACGAGTTTTTGAATTCCGACCTAAAACCCTTCTTTTCCCCCAATTAGCTAACCCTTTATTCCATGGCGGCGGAGCTATAGGGCATAGGCTGCCTGCAACTCCGACCTTCTCGTCGATTGTTTTTTTCTTTTTGCAGGTTGTATTGGCAAAGAGCATGCCTAATTTCGCATCTGCGTCATCTGAAAGCTTATTCGACTACGGTCCTAGGGTTCGGGCTTCCTTGAAGAAACCTAATTTGAACCAGAACTCGCCTGATCCGACGCGGAGGGACGGGGCTCCGAGACACCTGTACATATCGCCGGCGCTGTACGTTACTCCGAAGCAGTCTCCCATACCGGAGTCTCCCTCGCCGGGACCGATTTCGCCCTCCCCTTACGTCGCTAACCACAAGCGCCGCCGCGGTAAGGTCGAGACGAGAAGAGCTGATCCGGCCGCAGTTGTGGATTTCGTGTCGGGAAACGATGGGGACGAGCTCAACTTGGAGGAGGCCGTGGGAGACAATTTCGGCAACGACACGTTGACTGAAAACGACGATGATGATAAGGATGAAGAACACAACGAGGAAGAAGAAGAAGAAGAAGAAGAAGAAGAAGAAGAAGAAGAAGAAGCAGAAGCAGCAGAAGCAGAAGGCGAAGGATTTCTGGATCCGCTGATTGAGGCTAATGATTTGGGTGCCGAAAGCCAACCAGAGAGCCGCAGCTTAGTCTCTGCTCAAGGAGATTACTTTGATGCCAACGATGGTATACTCTTCATCTTCTTGCATAATTGTTTCAGCAGATTAAGAAATTGTTGGGAAGTATTTGTCGTTCTGATTTCTGAGTTCTAATAAATGCGCTGAACTGCTATTTGCAGACTTTTCCTCGGATAGTTCCAATTCGAACGTACCTTCTAACAGTTCTAGAATTGAATCGGAATTGCATTCGATTAAGGTCAGTATTGTTGATGAAATAGAGAGGAGAAAAGTAGCGGAGGACGCGTTGATGCTCATCAGGAGTCGATGGGAGAGTGTTTGTAATCTTGTGTCCAACGCCGGGCTTACGTTTCCAGCACCTCCGGCTATTGTGAGTGCACAGCTTGACAAGGATGCAATCGATCAGTGTATGCAGGAAGTTGTCGTTAGCAGGTTTGTAGCTGAAGCAATAGGAAGGGGTGAAGCACGAGCTGAAGCTGAAGAAGCTGCTGCAATGATTGTTGAGTCGAAAGATCAGGAACTGTTGCGGCTACGTGATAGACTGCAGTACTATGAGACTGTTAATCATGAGCTGTCCCGGAGAAAGCTCGTGGGTATGGTTTCTTGACTGTGCTTCTTTTTGATGTTTCATTATTTGGGTCAAAAGACTTAGAAGTTTTTGATGTTTCATTATTTGGGTCAAAAGACTTAGAAGAGTATAAACTAGATCTTGGTTAGATAATAGCTTTTCTTGTTTTCAACGTGACTTGACTTTCGATGAATCTATTTTCATCTTATAATGTGGTGTCTTGATGATTAGAGGGATTGAAACTGTCCTTTGGTATGTAGAATTAAGATTTCTTCATCTAGGTAACAGCATATTTGTCTGCCATCCTTATGCTGCAATGCTCGATTTTTCTAAAAGCATTCTTGCACTTTGCATCTTAAGTTGCTCTTCCATTGTGAAAGCATAAACCTGACCTTATTTGACGTCAATCAATGTTGCCTATTCTTTTCCTAAATTTGTTGTTTGAAACTATCTCAGAGGTTGCACAACGACAACAGCTGAGGCGGCGGCAGCGTAGGTGGCTATGGGGCTTTATGGGGTTGTCCATTGCGATCGGAGCTTCATTCATCGCGTACTCATACATCCCACATAGAGGTACGCTTCCATCATCCTCGGAATCTGGTGATGCGACAGATGCTTCCTGCATCAGTCCCTCCGATACACCATAAACGGGTTGGGGTAGCTCACCCTTGCCATACCTCTTGTTAAAATCGTCCGACTCGCCCTTCCGTAGAGGGTCGAAGTTAGAGTTTCATAGGGTTGAATAGTGTTAGCTGTAGTACATATAAATGCAATGCATAGAGTAGTAGTATTCTGTCGAAACTATTGTGAGGTTTGTTGTATTAGTGCAGTTGCTAAACGTCTTTGTCTGACTGAACTTAGTTGTTTCGTTAAATTTGTTATACAAGATTTGTCTACTACTAGGTGCCGGCTACAGTGCTGAATTATAAAATTCAACATTGTGCTGACAACCGCAGCACACGGTGTGCTGGTGTTACGACCGCCAGCACACAGTCTGCATTCATATAATATAAATACAGTACATGCTATAGTTTTATACATCACAATCAATATTTGATTTCAGTACACCACATACTATTATACAGCACCACATACTATTATACAACACAACATATTATTATACAGCACACTTATAGTATAAACCAACAACACAAATACAACACATAAACTGACAGCACATGTTAGGGTGATGAGATTCTAATTCTTTCTACTTCTCGAGGCATAATGACCGACCGGGAGGCTCGACTACAAGGAATTGGCGGAGAAATTTTGTGTTTCATATGGTAATCCTTTTACTATCGAAATGGAATCTGAAACCTCTTTCTATTTGTAAGAAAAAAAAAATTATAAATTGATTTCAGTACATTATTTACTGTTATACAGTACACTATAATTATGAATACACAACATGTGTTGTGTATAATAAAATTTTGTATTGTTTCTGTATATTACGGGTGCTGATTTGAAAATCAGCACGGTGTTGATTTTTCCAATTCAGCACCCAACCTGTTCCCCAACTACCTAGGTATTTAGATGTCTTTCATTCTAAAAAATATATCAATTACACTTACCTTTACAAAATTAAAATGAACAAGAGAAGGATGAAAAGTAACAGCTAAAATGCATTGACATGAGTTCTGGAGTCAGTGTTCTCAATACATCAATGTGGGTAGGGTTAGGCAGCCAATACATATATAAATATATATATATATATTTCTATAGGCACCATTCGTGAGATTACCAATACAATCAGCCTTAGATCAGTGAAGCAAAAGATGATAAAACACTAAACAGATAGATAGTAACAGAGGCAGAGACAGAAAGAACATGTAGCAGAGTTTTGAAGCATCTCTTCCATTTCTTCTGCGAGATTTTTCTTCCCAATTCCGGCCAAGACGGCGGCGATGCGATGGCTTTGCTGGCGAAGGACAACTGGCCCATCCATCGGGAACTAGTAGTCCTTGTTGGGGCATTCAGAGGCACGATGGCCTGATCGCCCGCAGTTGAAGCATGCGCCCCCAAAGCTTCGGTTGCTGGGAAATGTCAATGGTTGTCGAGCATTAGTTGTCGCCTTGTCGGGAGTCCAGATAAGTTATTTAATTTCAGATCGAATGAGAAGTTGGGAAGAAAATTACCTGTCTTTGAACCCTCCGAAAGAAGATGGCGACCGGCTTGATCGTCTGTCGCCGCTGCCAATCAGCCAATCGTTGCTTCCACTGCTTCTCGAGTTTCTAGACCACCTGTTTTCACTTCTCCCTCCACGGCCGCCTCTTCTGAAGTTGTTATCACTGTCATCGCTATCGTCCAACCAGTCCCGGGAAGATCTAGAACCTCTTCGATCTCTTAGACCTCCACCTCCACCTCCTCTTCTGCTGCTGCCGCCGCGCCTTTCGTTATTGGAAAACCTGCCGTAAAAATCACTCGAAGGGCCGTCATCTTGCAAGGGAGGCAACTGCAAACACAAGTCCAGAGATCGAAGCTCACACCATCATAAACGAATGGAATTCGGACAAAACGATGCATCAGGAAACATGAAAGAACATATCCTTCTCACCTTAGTGATCTTCGAAATAGTGTTTCCCGGTGGCAATTCCTTGTTTAATAACTCTTTCGCAATCTCTTCTGGGAGGTCGAAAACAGCTCCTTGAACCTGAAAACATTTCGTCAGCAGTCGATTAACTAGAACAGAAATCTTTTACCGGAGAAGACGGGGAAGACATAAGATTATGGCATATCAAGAACTTACCTTTTCATCGGCAATCAGGTGTAATTTGCCCATTTCATCAGCAGCCGGTGCATAAACATCGGAGAGAAAGCCAGTGACGGATCTTGCAGACAGATACCCTCGAGAATAACCACTCTCACGCGTCAATTGCAACGTAACCAATCCCTGTAGTCAAAGCGAAAAAGAACTAAGTTTACGGTAATAAGAGAATCGTAGCGCCAAATGCGAATCTTTTTTACCTGTTCATGAGTAATCAGCGAACGAGAAGACGGAGGCTGAGAAAAACCACTCAAGGTTGCTAAAGCTGCAGCGAGAGCGTTCACTCCTTGTTCTTCCATGAGTTTTTCTGCAGTTGGGGTAAAGTACTCGAGAGATTCGGGATGAACTCCGCCGAGGGTGGCGACTACTTGCTCAGCCGACGATTCCAAAACCTCCTGAACAGACGGCGGAGTTACGAACTCGAACCTGCAACCGACGTCTCTCTCAAGAGATTTCACCGTCCTTCTCTGGCTGCTTGTGAACATCAAAATAGCTGTTCCTTCTTTCCCCGCGCGCCCTGTTCGCCCCGAGCGATGCACAAATGTTTCCGGGTCGTTCGGAAGTTCGTAATGAACAATCTGACGCAAGCAGCGCACAATATTCAAGTACAAAAAACTCCACAAAAACTTCAATCGTTATTTAATGCAAGAACATCGACGTAGATCATAAAGATATATAACCAACTTACAAGGTCAACATTGGGAATATCAAGCCCACGAGCAGCGACATCTGTGGCGACAAGGACAGTAAATTTTCCTTGCCTGAATCCGTTTAACGTTCTTTCTCTCTGGTGTTGCGAAATGTCACCGTGCAATGCCTCGGCCGCAATGCTATTAGTTAATGCTAGCGAGACTTCATCGGCATCCCGCTTCGTCTGCGTGAAAACAATGGTTTTCCCACCCTTGGCATAGACCTGAGAACATAATCGACTAATCAAAACGTAATATCTATTTAAGCGTCACAAAGTCCCGTAAAAGCAAAGGCATTTCACTCTTACGGTTACAAGATCACCGAGGATAGTTCGCTTAGATGTTGCTGTAGCTGAAATAGCATACAATTTAATCCCTTCCGCCAATTTTTCTTCATTTTCACCAACCTATTGATAAAAAAATGTCGAAATCAATATCTCATAAGGACAAAAACAAATAGCATTGAATAAAAGTTCCATGATTGATATTACACATCTTTAATTCAATTCAAGAAACCAGATGCATTTGCGAATACCAAATAGCATTAAAGTATGAATCCATCGATGATCTTAGCTTACCAAATCAATGGTCAGAGGATTATTCAAATATCTTCTAGCAAGCTTCTTGACCCAGCCGGGCATGGTAGCTGAAAAAAGCATGCTCTGCCTCTGTGAAGGGAGCTTTTCGAGAATGACCTCCACATCTTCCTCGAATCCAACAGCAAGCATTTGATCCGCTTCATCGAGGACCAAATACTGGACTTCCCCTAACTTCAGGCTGTTGTTATTGATCAGGTCGATAATCCTACCCGGAGTTCCAACCACAATGTCAACTCCACGAGACAGGGCACTTTCTTGAGTGAGATACGAAACCCCTCCGTATATGCAGACAGTGTTCAAATTTGGAGCAGACTCTTTGAATTCCTTCTCCACTTGCTTCGCCAGTTCCCTAGTCGGCGCAAGAACCAAGACCTTCGGAAGGCGCCCTCGTCTGCAGAAAATACACAAAATGATTATCACCACATTAATAGAATCAATGAAGCGTAAAATAGGCATCGAACATGACAATCAATACCTCAAAGAACCCCTTTCTTGCTCAAGTTCATCCAGCCCTTTAAGTATAGGTATACCGAATGCCAATGTCTTCCCTGTCCCGGTTTTCGCACGCCCAATTATGTCGCGGCCTTCCAATGCCGGCACTAAGACAGCTCTCTACATGAAAAAAAATGGATCAAAATCAAACCAAACTTTATTGAAAAGATAACACAATGAACATCAGGAATGCCAAAATGTGAAGTTAGTTTCAATTGAGTTGATTGAAATTTTCACAAGAAACTAAAGCAATTCAATAACTCTTGACAGAACTTCCAAACCCTAATCCTAAAATTACATTTCCTCAAATCATTACTCAATCTTGAAAATCCACCTCAGAAAACCAATAATCCAAACATGAAAGTGAAAACATCTCTCTCTCACTCTCTCTATAAGTAATAATCAGGGCAAGTGATATTGAAAATTTTTACGTACTTGGATAGGGAAGAGCTGCGTAATCCCACGCTTCTCGAGCGTATCGACAAGGCGTTGAGGCAAACCCAACTTCGAAACATCGAGTTCATCATCGCTTACAGACTGGGTTTCCCCCAAATCCTCTTCCTCAAACCCTCGATACTCACTCTCGTCGACATCCAAATCGGCCTTCCCGAAGCTTCCCCCGAGCCCCTTGAACGCCTCCTCGCTCAAAATCGAAGAGTTGGGAGTGAAAACAGCGGAAGTGACAAAAGAATACGGAGCGGCAGAAGGCCGCTTGGAAACGGACGAGAAAGCTCTGAAAGGATTGCGGGCGACGGAGAAATGGAAGGATAATGGCGAGGCGGAGGTGGGGCGTTTGCAATGGTCGATTCGAATGGAAGAAACGCCGAGAAGAGAAGAGGAAGAAGATGCCGCCATGGATGGAGGCCAGAGGGAGGAGGAGAAGGGGATAAGGGTGGGCTGAGAGGGTTTATCTTTGTATGGTGTAATGGAGTTACACCAGGGCGAGGTTTATACCAAAAGCCCTCCGCTCCGCTGTCGACAGATATTTTTTGTAAAAAATATTAAAAAATCGAATAAAGAAATAATCTTTTTGTAAAAAATATAAAAGTAAAATAAAATTGGAGAGAGAATGGGAGACCAATTAGACCATTGTCTGCTGTGGCCCACAAATTCTCGTCGGTTTTTGCCTGCTTGTCGTTCTTCATGGGTAAATTAGGGTTTCTCTGGTTCTTGATTATTTGGGGGTTTTTAGCTTTGTGGTTGATTTAATTGTGCGAACATTACGGGCATTGAAAACGGTTTGTAATTTTTTAGTTTGTTTCTGAATCTTTGTGCGATTTTGCGATTTTGTTTGGACGGCTTGATTTATCCAGTTTTGGGTGTTTTTCTTAGGCTGTTCGTTCGATTTTTATTTGTATTGTGAGATCGAAGGTTGTGTCGATGGCGAATGGGGAACGTATCTGCGATTCTTCGCATTTACAGACATTTGATGAATTCCAGGTTGGCAACGTATACAACAGATGCATTTTTGGGGATCACTATATGTTCTAACTAAATATCGTGCATTGCTGTTTTAAATAACTGAATCTATTAGGTTTTTTTGTAAGAATTGGATTAGGTGTTTTGAGAATAGTAGAAGATTGGATTGAAATAGTATTTGATCCTTTCATTAATGGATATTTGATTTGATGATTTTGTGTAAGATCAACAAAGTTTAGGCATTTGTTTGGTGTCTAGTAGAATTTTTCGAATATATTTCGCCTTCGGTTACTTGCAATTTCTTAAGTATCCTTTTTTATGTGTGTGTTTTGTTGATTGAAGATGTGTGTATTATTGTGTTTGTTGTATGAAAGATTGCATAAGTTTTGTTGAGATAGATGTAGACAACCTTAGTGAATGCCGAAGATAGGTTCGCCCGCAGCGAATCAATCCCATGACTTAATATCAATAACAACGAGTTTTGACTTAGATCCTTTGGGTGTGTTCTTCCAATAAAAAATTTAGACACACGATTAATATTATAGAAAAACGTAATATATATATATATATATACCTGACATAAAAGAACACTTCAAATTAAAAACACAAAACATACCCTATCTTAGAATAGAAAAAAGTTCATAACTTATTGAATTAACTTCCTATTGATGTTTGTTTCATCGAGCCTGTTTCATTTTTTTTTTTTTATGTTTATGTTCTACTCCGGGTAAAGATCCTCCTGATTTTGATTTGCACGTATAGGACAAATCTTCACATTTCAACTTTGACTAATTGGAAATCTATGGAACGATTGAGGTATGGGTGATATTCTTTTATCCCTTTTATTTTACGACTTATAACACAAAACGATTATTGAAATATTACTCAATCCCCCGTTAAACAAAATCTATCCATCGTCTAAAATGAGGAAATGTTTCTGTAATACGGTATGCATCACTCATTCCATTTAAATGACAAGAGTTTTTTGGATTCTGGAATACCATTTGTGATCCCTTAAATTATTGAAATTTTCAATTCCATATTGTTAGACTATCATCTACAACAGTGACAACTCTTCAGTCTATTAGATAATCAGTCTGTGTGAGAGGTTTGTTTGTTGTGATGGATTCAGACACACTTAGGAAACCATTTTTAACATAATTTAGGCATGAGCATTGTGCCCGACACTTCCGGTGTGTTTGTTTTGTAATAATTTTTTTGATGTGAAATATAGGGAATTGTATAGATAATATAAAAATAATGAATGTAAGTAATATGTTAATATTTTGGGAAAATGTTTTGAGAAATTTTTGTTGGAAGGATAAAACATCCGTGCTTTGGCCTTAGTTTATATGGCTCTAAGTGATTTACTTCAGCAGTTGAATCCAGTTCCCGAGCTTTTTGTACAATAAATGGCATGTTCAGTTCTTTTCTTGCACTTGCTGCTCTTATAGGTCTTTCTTGAACATGATGTAATGTACAATTTTAAACTTTCGAATGATGTAATACCATCGCTCGACAAGGACCTTGTTGGACACGATGTCTCTATTTATTTGGATCTGTAAGAAAGGATAGTGTCTTACTATTTGATTTGTTTGTCTAAATTCTTTTGGGCACTTACAATGCTTAATCGCTCATTAAAAAGAAAAAAACTCTATCTTTCGATATCCATGGGTTTGATGTTCCGTGCTGTCATAGGAATTTTTATTGTGGATGTTGTTATACTTGAGGTAGTCGTCGTACATGTAACGAATTCTACGGTTGTTTTCTGTTTCCTGATATATACTAAGACTAACCTGTTAATTCAGGTTTCATTTTTGACACATTGCCGTGTAGCCTCAAACTCCATCAGTGTTCGAAGGTATTGATCTTCGATCGCCAGGTAGATTTTGATTTTGATTTTGGTTCGATTTCGGATTGACATTTGGAGATCAATCGGCTTTAAATTTCAACGTGAAAAAAGGGACATTGTTATTATAGCTTTTGAAAATAGAGAGATGGACTTTGTGAATAGAAAGTATGGGAGAAATCATTTTAAGAAATAATAATAAAGTGTGCTGCTCATCAAAGTCTTGTGACTATTCCCTTTTTTAATATGAATTCATCATATTTGTTAATTGTTAGAATTTTGTTTGCCTCAGGAAGCATGCGCATGTCACGTGACCATCATCCCTCACGATCTCGCTTGCAAAAGCAATCTTCTGGATCTCGCCACGTGTACGGTTGGTGTTGTTGGTTTTTCTGTTCTATATATTTATTCATTTATAATTAAGATTAATAATACTGTCGTTGAATAATGCTAATAAAAGTGCACTTGATAGGCTCTCTGCATTTTCATGTCAAGCACAGAATTTGACAAAATTGCCTGTTTTATTTTTAATTTATTTTTTAAAATTATTCAAAAATTGTGTGGAGCTCCGTGGACTTGAACACCACATGTGTTCTTTTCCTTATCAGGGTCCGGACCCTCCGGTCCGGGAGTCGCCAAAAACAATAAATTAACCTGCAAATGAAATGGCGAAGCTCCGGGACCCATGGGCGACGGCGCGTTGGTAGCTGAATGAGAGTAAATTGTAACTTCCTTTCCTTTCCTTCATAAAACCAAAACCCCCTTTTTCATTTTATGCACAAACTCCATTCCCATTCTCAACTACTTCCCCTTTTCGGCCCTCCCTCACGCATATGCTGTGTCTGTGTTGTTCATGTTAACGGCCATGACGCTGAACTGGCACAGCTCCGCCACGACCACGACGGGTCCGCCGCCGTGGCTGCTGCTGCCGACGGGGGTGGAAAAGAGGCAGCTTTTCTTGAGAAGCTACCAATTCTCTCGGAAGCAGAGTGTGGGGGAGAGAATCAGGAGATCGATTTGGAGGGTGAAGAGGGTGATTTGGGGGAAGTTCAGATCGGCCAGGAAGCTTAGGAAGATGCTCTGGTTGAAGCTCAAAACTGGAGTCTTCTTCACCAGGAGGAGGAGCAGCAGAGGCTATGCCTACTTCCATGTCAATGGAACAGCCTCTTCAAGAGGGCCTTCTTCTTGCACCTTTTGGTAGTGGTACAAGTACTAAGACAAATACATGATCTCCTCTCGCTCCTCTCTCCCTCTCTCTATCCTTTTTGTTTGTTTGTTTGTTTGTTTCCCTTGTCTGTGTTCTTTGATTTTTTTAGAAATGTTGTCTTCTTTAATTTCAGAATCAGAGATTTGGTGTAAAGAATTTGATTCAAGTTTATATATGACCTGCTTGAGCTTAAATTTCTTCATATGTATAATATATATATATATATATGTTCTTGATTGATTTGTGAGACTTTGGTTTGAACATGGTGGTTTAATAGATTAAAATACAGTTCTTGAAGAATATAATTAGCCCATACTGAGTTTTGTCCAGTGCATAAATCCCTTCTATAAATTGGTGTGGCTTGATTTGGTTTGGTTCAAACTGCTATGCTTTTCTTTAAACAGAAGTTTTGAAAGTTTTGGAAAATTTTGTAAATATTTTGTGCAAAGATTAGTATCAAAAGTTACAAAAATATTTATGTAAAGCCCTATGAATTATGATCAATGCATGTCAAGAATGAACAATGGGATTCAGAAGATATCCACTGCATAAAAGGATTTATATATTATATACAGTGTATGAATCTGTACACTGTATCTTTGTATGCATATAATAAACACAACAGCTAACTCTGTGCAGATTTCTTGAAATCCTATGTACAGTTGAATAATTTCATTGGCATTTGGCAGGTTCTGTAATAAATGATGTTCACATTACAATTTACACCAAAGGGTTGCCAAACAATTTTTTTAAATCCCATATTGCTTATATAATATATATATATATAATTTTAATCCCTAATAGTTGCATTATTGCAAAATCAAGATTCATGATCTCAAGAGAGATCATATAAACACTAGTGCTTTATGATAAGTGGAAGAAATGGAAATCATGAATTTTGTCATGTGGGGTCTAAAAACTTTGAATGGAAAGTTCCAAAAAGGCATTGGGCATTGCAGAAAAGTGGCTCATTCAAACCTCAAAATGCTGAAGCCAGAAAAAAAGAAGATAGGATGCAGTAAAATAAAGCATAGACTTTTGAATAATTTAATCATCACAACCCTCTACACATTTCAGAAAATTAAATTAAATAATTAAAATTAAAAGCTCTTTTACCAACCTCATTTAATTTTTGGTCGCTGAAAAAATGCACTGTAATGTTGCTGTACATTCTTGGTCTGTCTGACAAGTATGACATTTTAATGCTACTTTTTTATTCAGCCTCTGTGAATTTATTTCAACCCCTTTTTTCTTTTTACATGCAAGCTGTCATAATTTGGGTTTGAATGATTAAATAAGGATATATATATATATGGTGAGGATATGATCCCACCAAGTCAGTACGGTGTAATTTGATCGGATCAACATATGTTATACATATAATCAATATATATTTACAAATAATATAATATATATTGAATTATAATATAATATACGTTGTATTATAAATATGGGCTACTGGATACGCTTAATTCGAACAAATAGTCTTATGCCATATATATATTATTATTAAGATGATCACAGCAAAGATATGAATGTGTATAAATCAAGATTCTTGAAATCAAAAGTGGGATTTCCAAGGATAAGTTGACCACTTGAAGCACAGTTATTTTAAGATGGTGGATACCTTGATTCAAGAGGGATAAATTTAATAACATTTTAAAAAAAAAAAATTATTTATGAATCCAATCAAAATAATTCAATATATAATTCTATATATATATATATATATATAGGGGATAGTGAAGACATGCATTATGAAGTAATCAGGTGCAAATGATGTATTTTATTTGCTTATTTAATTTTACTTCAAACTTGTCTTGCATTAATGGGAATCTAATATATAGTGCTCTAGTTTGTTCCTTGTTATTTATTAAAAAAATTGCAACTAACACCTAATTATTGTTATAGTAAACTGTTATAAAAAAAAAAAAAACCATAGCGTTATTATTATTATTATTATTAGATGTGTTAAATTAAAATAAATAAATAAATAAAATTCTGATATGTTGTTTTTTAGAGTAATATTAAAAAATACAATATAAGTATACAATATACACTCTATCAACTCTTATAAAATTAATAGTTAACACAAAATTTTATTTTTGATATTATCTATTTAAGTACAACAAAATAAAAACACAAACAACTCAGTATTATTTTTTTTTTTGTTATGAATGTGGGAATCCACGTTCGCTTAATTCTTTCCATAAGATATTTTTTATGGGACTGAGAGAGTTTTTTGAATTTAATTGCTGACATTTTTTAAAGTGGATTAAATACATGTATTTTAATATATTTGCTATTAACTTTTATGAATATTATATATTTTTAATACTCAGTGCGTCTCCTATCCTATGTTTTTTTTTTAAATATAATTATATATTTTAATTTTAATTAAATTATTTAGTTATCTTAACTTTAATTTATATTATTTTTATTATACAATAAGTATTTTTATTAATACACTTGTTATTACTTACTCTCTCCGTTTCATATATTTTGTCTTTTTAACTTAGACACGGAGTTTTAGGTATTCTCGTAATTAGTAATTACTTAAAAAGTGTATTAGTAAAAAATAATTATGATTTAATAACAATAATTATAGATTAAGTTTAAAATAACTAAATAGTTTAATTAAAATAAAAAATTATAAATTATGAATTTTAAAATATGATTAAAGTGTGCAATTATATTTTTTAAAAAAATAAATAAATAACAAATTATTTGAACAGACAAAAATAATATATAAATATTATATATATGAATTTATAAATAAATACAACAATTCTAAATTTCAATTTTAATTATTGAATGTATTATTTTTATTATTTTTGGTTGATCCCATTCAAAACTATCTCTTTTGTATTCTAGTAGACTTTTACATTAATATTCAAATATCTTTAATTTTTACATAAATTACAAGCATGTCATCACACATTCTTATAATTAATTTATAAATAAAGTTAAAGGATAAAATTATCAATTTTATTTTTATATATTTACTGGTTAATAATTTTTTTTTTAATTTATTATAAAACTTCAAAAATCCATTCCAAATGAAAATAAATATACGAAATATATATAATTTTATAAATATTTCTAAATTAAAATAATTTTAAATTTCAACTAAAGAACAATCATAAACTCCTAAACAAAAATAATATATCTAATTATTAATAAATTATAATTCAAATTCATAAATAAAATATCATACTCCCTCGCAAAAATTCTTTTATTACTGTAATAATTTATATTAATAAATTATTAATAATAAAATTATAATATTATTTATTTTAAATATTTTTAATATTATATTTCAATAAAATATATGTAATATAAATATTATTTTTAATAATAATTTTTATATAATATAAATAAATAATTTTTTTTTATTTATAATTAATTTAAAATTAATTTTATAAAAAATAGAAGTTTTAAATATATATAAATATTTATTTATGAAAAAAAATATAATATTTATTTATTTATAAAAATTATAAATTTAAATAAATTAATTTATATTTTTTAAATATACTTAAAATAAATAAATTTAAAATAGAATAAAATCAAAAAAATAAAATAATAATAAGTAATATGTGGGGGAGGGAGGGAATATATATCTATATATATTAAATCTAAAACAATACTATATCAAATTATTTTTTATAATATAATTATTCATATATTCCCAAACCCCTAAAAAACCCTATTTTACTCACGTTCTTTCCACAACTCCCACCAGCCGCCGGTCACACCAGACCGTTCTCTCCCTCACTTCCTCAGCATCCGACTGCCGCGCCGTCCTCCACCGCGCCGTCCTCCACCGCGCGCCGCCGTGCTCATCCCTGTCCTCCTCGACTACGAGACACGCCGGCGCTTTCTCCCTCAGCCCCGATTCCGACTCCCTGTCCTCCTCGACTCGCGCCGCCGCCGTCCTCCACCGTGCGCCGCCGCTGCCCGCCGTCCAACACCCGACTGCGCTTCGAAGTTTCCGGTAAGTTTGTGTTTATTTTCGCCGCTGTGATTTTGTATTTATCGATTCGGTAGGCTCTCTTGCGCATAGTGTTCCAAGTTTCGCCCATTTTATTAATTTGACTGATTATCATATAAGTTGCTTCATATCAACCTATATGCAGAACTTAGTTGGATCGTCAATTTTAATTGTGTAGGTTTGTCTAATTATATATAGTTATATACCTCTGCCATATGATTTAGAAGATCAAATCTTTATGAATACATTTACATATATATATCATATATATATATATATATATGAATAAAATGATGATTATCAGAGTAAGAACTAGGGCATAGTATATAGTATTGCTTCTTTGTCCGAATGGTGTTGGAGGGGTTGCGTTGGAAGTGAATTCAAGTTTTTTGTGCATACGGTAATGTAGGGATTTTTACGCAGTTAGTGAGAAAAGAATTAGAACAAGGAGTGGAATTAGTGGAGAAGATGACAAAAGCGAAGGAGGCTCTGCTTCCATCAATGATTAAGAATAAAGCGAAGAGGTCGGAAGTTCATGCTAAGCTAAAGCACCAGAAGAAGTTGGAGAAGAAGAAGAAGGCCAAGGCACGGGAGGCTGCCGAGAAGAAGGCTCTAGAGCTGGGAGAAGATCTTCCACCCAAATCGATTCCGCGCACCATTGAGAACACACGTGAGTTAGATGAGACTGTCTGCAAACCTGATGATGATGAGCTATTCGCTGGAGTTGACGCTGATGAATTCAGTGGCATATTGAAACAAGAATGCATCCCTAAGGTCCTGATCACCACATCGCGCTTTAACTCCACGGTATGCTAGTTTTTGCCCAATTCCTTTTATTTTTTTGGTTCTTTGTTATGTTTTGTGTGTTTTGGTTTTTCCCATTATTGCTAACGTTGGTTTTCTTGATGAACTGTAGAGAGGACCTGCTTTTATTTCAGATCTCCTTTCTATCATTCCGAATTCCCATTACCACAAGAGAGGAACCTATGACCTAAAAAAGGTTGTGATTTGTCCTTCTTTTAGACGTAAAATGATATTTAGCTTCTATGCCTTTGTATGTATTGTTCCGGAGGGGTGTGATTGATTCTTTATGCTGATATTGCTTTTGCAGATTGTTGAATATGCAAAGAAGAAAGATTTCACTTCAATTATGGTCATCCACACCAACCGACGAGAGCCAGGTTCGTTGATTTTGACTCTCAAGTGAATAATTTCATTGTTCTAAAATTATAATATGGAGCTTCATGTAATTATTACTCGATTTAAAGGTTAGGGTAGGATTGATGGTGGTTTTATTAATGGAGGTATGGGGTATAGTAGTGTGGGACGATGAAGAGTTTAGGACCTTGTTTAGGGCAGATCATGCTTCGATTCTTGTATTGGCCCGTCAAGCTACATTTGGTGAACTTTTGCATGTTGCTGCAGATGCTATGTTAATTATTACATTGCCTGATGGCCCTACTGCTCACTTCAAACTTTCGAACCTTGTTTTGCACAAGGATCTAAAGGTTAGTTGATTCCTACCATTCTATGTGACCTTCAATAGTCTTCAGGATCTAACTAAAGAACAATATTGGCAATATTTCACGTTTTAGCTCAGTTTTTCACTATTTCTGTACAATCATTTGACTTGGATTGTATTTGAAATTTGTGCTCTGATTTTACTGAATTGGATTCCTAATGAAAACCATATTAATATTTAATCCATTCATTTCCCCTCTTGCTCTTTTTGCAGAATCATGGAAATCCAACCAGTCACAAGCCTGAATTAGTTTTAAATAACTTCACAACGCACCTTGGTCATCGTATAGGCAGGTATTTTTGTTTTTCTTTGAAAAAAATTAATCTTGCAAGTGAATATAAGGGGCTGAAAATCACAAGAATACATTTTCTTTCTTATTGCATTTTCACTACTATTTATATGTATCATATTATAGCATGTTTTTTCATCGAACAAAAATGATTGGCAGTTCAAGTATTCATTAGCTCCTCTTTATCTCCCCCCGCTTGTAGCTTCCAATATCAAACTACTAAATTTAGCGTAATCTTGGGGATAGCTCTCGATTCTATTTCTGTAACATTATTCCACGTCTTTGTTTTCTCATATTGCCGAATTTTTCTTGAAAGGTTCATCGGCTCATATTTTTCGTTCATCTCAGGCTAATACAGTCACTCTTCCCTCAAGACCCTAATTTCAAAGGTCGTAGAGTTGTTACATTTCACAATCAGCGCGACTTTATCTTCTTCCGCCATCATCGGTAGGTAACCTCAGCCCTGTCTTTTTCCATTGCTCATCATCCTAATTCATACAAAGTCTTATTTCCCTTGTATTCGAACCCCCAAAGCTACATTTTCGAGACAAGAGAGGACAAGCAGTCGGAACCCAAAGGTAAACAAAAGAAGGATAAGGTCGTTACTACTCCCAAAGAAAAAGTTATCGCCCGGCTTCAGGTTTGCGACTCTTTCCTCAGTCCTTTATCGTGCCAACAATTTCAACTTTTCTGATTCTTATTTGAACATCAGGAATGCGGTCCGCGATTCACCCTCAAGCTAATCAGTCTCCAGCATGGAACTTTCGACACAAGAGGAGGCGAATACGAGTGGGCACACAAGGTAATCTTTTGCACGACTTGCTCGAGTTTTCCTACGTGGTTTAGGTCTAATGTTTTTTATTTTTCGCAGCCCGAAATGGACACGAGCCGAAGGAGATTTTTCCTCTGAACCATGGGATGGATTAGATGCAAATTTTTGTCTGTTTCTTGAATTCCAGTGTACAACACAAACTAAACTGTACTCTCTGCTGCATTATGTTGCAAACTTTTAATTAATCATTGAGAAACGAAGGTTTTTTTTCCTAATTCTATTTAGTTATAAGTTATATGTTTTTATTTTATTTATATATATATATATATATATATAGAGAAATATTATATTCAATCAATATTTAAACTAAAAAATGCCATATAAACACAAAAGAGCAATTGAAGTGTGCATTTGTTTGGGGATTGCATTTTAAGTGTGAGTTATTGAATAATAAAATTTTGAATTGAAATTTTTATTTGTTTTGATATAAATAAATGTTGTTAGATATTTTAAGTATAAAAATAAATGTCTTATCAATGTATTAGAGATTATGAGTCTGGAATTTTTAATAATAAAATTTTAATTTATACAGGTATTAAATATTATTAATAAAATTGATTTTTATAATATAAAAATTAAAAATATATATTTAATTTGATGTTTTTTTTTTTATGGTTTTTTGGAAATAATTTGGAGCTACAAAAAACTCGAAATGAGGTTATGAAAAGTAACGTTAATAATAGATTATGCATCATATAAAACTCAAGGATGTGCAAGATTTGCCCGGAGGGGTATATTGGTCTTTCCAGCAGCGAAAAGTGGAGGTTATTTAGACGCAGACGAAGGCGGAAGTGCATTTCGCTTATTTCAACTCAGACAACAGGAAGCGGCGGCTGGGCTCAGACCATGGAACTAGCATTTCCGCCGGACTCTCCTCCGCTCCACGCCATCGCCGCCGCAAAAATTGGCGGCACTTCTTTGGTTCCTTTCTCCACTCTGCCTTCCGGATCTCTGCCGAGTCTTCTCGTAGCCAACGGGTGATTTCTCCTTTTTTTTTTTTTTTTTTTTTTACTTTGAATATCATGTACAGTGCATTTTTTAGTAGTTCTGAAGCTGAAGCGGTTCTCCGGATGGGTATATACGTGAATCCGATATTATTGTTGAGCATTATTATTAGTATTACCTATTGTTGTTGTTATTGTTCAATGGGAATGGGTGATTTGCCGATCCTTGTGATATAATGAAGTGAATTTGATTAAGTTGATCGAATTATTAAATGAAACAATTAGGCTATTAATCAAATCGTGTGATCAAGTATATTATTTACCTCGAGAATTGGGAACTAAATGTCCTATACACACACACACACACACACATATATATATATATATTCACAATTCGTGATTCACTTGACCTTAAAAATGCACACACTATTCCCCTAAATTAGACAAGAACAAGACAGCCACAGAGACCAGGCTGATGTTTTAAGTGAAATGAATGTCCAAAGAGGATAGAATGGAAGCTCTTCAACAAATTTTGTTGATAGCGATGAAGAATTTATTTACTACAGCTTTGTTATTTTACCTCTTGATATTTAATATGAACTAATGCCATATCTATGTTCTAATAAAGCTGAGTGAACAATGTTGATTTTCTATGGTGACCCCATTATCAGGCAGAGTCTGCATGGAGCAGATGTTATTCTGAGGTATATTGGTAGGATTTCAAATCTGCCTAATTTCTACGGCGAGGATGCATATCAATCAAGCAAGGTGCTTTTTCTATTTTATTTTATTTTATTTTTATCTTGTCAAGTGGTTATATTTCATGGTAAAAATTATTGTTGCTGGAACTATTAAACGCTTTAAGTTTTCAGTCTTAGTTGACTGCTCTTCTTATTTTGTAATGCTAGTACTAACTTTACTGTCAACCATTTCTTTTGTAGATTGATGAATGGCTTGATTATGCACATGTCTTTGGGTCTGGATCAGAGTTTGAGGGAGCATGCAGCTATGTGGATGAATATTTACTTAAAAATACTTGTCTGGTCGGAAATACCGTGTCAATTGCTGATGTTGCAATCTGGGTTTGCCTTGCTGGTAAAGCTCGTGTGTTTCTATTATACTAAGATTAGGGTGCTCCATTTTCAATTTTATGCGAACAAGTTTTCTCCCCTTAATGATAGGGGGTTTATTATAGTATATACTTCTGCCTACTTTTTCTGATTTTTGTGTTTGGTTGATTGTAATTATTGCACTGCGATTATGTTGGTTTGTAAGAATTATTTATGAGTTGATAGTAAATACTTATGCTTGCTTCTTTCATTTTAGCTGCTGGTCTGAGATGGGAAAGCTTAAGGAAGTCAAAAAAGTACCCGAATCTGGTTCGATGGTTCAACTCGATATCTAATGAATATGATGCTGTGCTCTCTGAATTTTCTGCAACATATCTTGGGAAAAAAGGCTCCTCAAAGGCAGCAATGTCCAAATCAAAAGAACCACAGGGTTCTAATGCTCGATCAACTCCAGTGGAAAATGGTGTCCATGCTAATGAAACAACTGGTAGCAAGCCATTTGAGGTAGATCTCCCACATGCTGAGGTAGGAAAAGTGAAGTTGCGATTTGCACCAGAACCCAGTGGTTATCTGCATATTGGTCATTCAAAGGCTGCATTATTAAATCAGTACTTTGCTGATCGGTACAAAGGTGAAGTGATTGTAAGATTTGATGACACTAATCCGGACAAGGAAAGTAGTGAGTTTGTTGACAACCTCCTGAAAGATATTGAAACTCTGGGGATTAAATATAGTACTGTAACTTACACATCCGACTACTTCCCCCAGACTATGGAAATGGCTGAGAAATTAATCCGTGAAGGTAAAGCATATGTTGATGATACTCCACGGGAAAAAATGCAGCATGAAAGGATGGCAGGCATTGAGTCCAGGTGCAGGAATAATAGTGTTGATGAAAATCTCAACTTGTGGAAGGATATGATTGCTGGATCTGAGAGGGGATTGATGTGTTGTCTTCGGGGAAAATTGGACATGCAGGACCCTAATAAGTCTCTTCGAGATCCTGTGTATTACCGCTGCAATTTGACACCTCACCATAGAATTGAAGCAAAATATAAAGTGTACCCAACATACGACTTCTGCTGTCCCTTTGTTGATTCTGTGGAAGGTATTACACATGCACTTAGATCAAGTGAGTACCATGACCGTAATGACCAATATTACAGAATTCAGAGTGATATGGGATTAAGAAGGGTCCATATATACGAATTCAGTCGTCTGAATATGGTTTATACACTTCTTAGTAAGCGAAAACTGCTATGGTTTGTTCAAAATGGAAAGGTTGAAAGTTGGGATGATCCTCGATTTCCTACTGTCCAAGGAATTGTGCGCAGGGGTCTGAAGGTTGAGGCTTTGGTACAGTTCATTTTGGAACAAGTAAGTTGTAATTTATATAATCTCTCTGTTGGAAAGAGAAAGGGTGCATTTACCCCCTTCAAATGAATTCAAGAATGTAAATAGGTTATAATTGTAAGTAATTTATCTTAATTTAAAACTCTAAAATAGCAAATAAAAAGTATCAAATATTTTGTGCTAAAAATCAGTGCTCAACTCTGTTATTGTTTAGGAATATTTTAGAGAGTAAGGGTATTATTTTTAGGTTAAGTGTTTTGGTTGTGCTGTTTATGGAGAGAAGGATTGATTGGTTGTTTTATATTTCTGCTCCTGTATGTAATGGAAAGCATCAGATATTTTGATTCCTTTGACTTTATGAATCTAAAATTGCTTCTCTGCTAAAATCCTCAGGGTGCATCGAAGAACCTCAATCTTATGGAATGGGACAAGCTGTGGGCCATCAACAAAAAAATAATTGATCCTGTGTGTCCCAGGTACACTGCAGTCATTGAACAACGCCGAGTGCTACTAGTTCTGACTGATGGCCCGAAAGATCCTTTCGTGAGGATCTTGCCAAAACACAAGAAGTATGAAGGCGCTGGAGAGAAAGCTGTGACATATTCAAATAGGTTATGGATAGATTTTGCTGATGCTGAATCAATCTCAGTTAATGAGGAAGTAACTTTAAAGGATTGGGGCAATGCAATTGTTAAGGAAATCAAGAAGGACGAAAGTGGTATTATCACCCAGCTAGTTGGAGTTTTGCATCTTGAAGGAAATGTCAAGAAGACCAAGTTGAAGCTCACTTGGTTGTCTGATACCAGTGAGCTTCTCAGACTGACCCTTGTGGACTTTGATTATCTTATTACAAAGAAGAAGGTAACATCTTTTACATTATTGGAATAATTATATGCTGAATTAATTGTTTGTGTGTTGATTTATTTTTATCTCACTATACTTGATTTTATAAGCTGATCCAAATTGTTTAACTATTACAGCTTGAGGAAGATGAAGATTTCATCAATGTGGTCAATCATCATACAAGAGAGGAGACCTTAGCACTTGGGGAGTCTGATATGCGAAATTTGAATCGTGGAGACATTATCCAGCTTGAGAGAAAAGGTTACTACAGATGTGATGTTCCTTTCATTCGACCTTCTAAGCCAATAGTGCTTTTCTCAATCCCAGATGGAAAGCAGCAAACTGTAGCAAAGTAAGCATAATCCTTATTAAATTAAGGTTGAACAGAATGAAAGCTCAAAGCTTGCCATTACAAAAAGCACTTGAATTTTGAACCAAAATTACTTTGCTGAATATCTGTGTTAACTGCTAAATGTTTTCATGCACTTAATCTCTTATCCTTCTTATCTATGCGAATGGTGCTTCTGTAAGCATGGGGGATCATTTGATTACAATAATAGTTTAGGGTTTTAAAACTTTACATATTTTTAAAAGGCAGGAAAATGCTATTATCATACTCTTGTTTTGGTAGGACATAGAAGCTGAGCTTGTCTATACTAGTTTGGTTTCATTCTTGTAGAGAGAGGGAAAAAGCTTCTTATGTAAATTGAGAAAAGACACTTTGTTGATAATGTTGACAAATGGAGTTGGTGAACCAACTAAGCCCCACTAATCTATTTTATCTGAAATCAATCTATCTATCATTACAGCTAATAATAATCTATTATTACGTTACACCCACATCACTTTTAATAATTTTCCTTAGATTAGGCTCATATTAGTTGTGAAACATGATTATTAATTTCTTCTAGGTGCAGTTCTATGATAGTGAACTTATTCTTTCTGCTGCTTCATTGCATTAACTCTATTTGTCAGTGGGAATATCCTATAGCCGTTCTGAAAGAGAGTATGGGCACCTCTCTTTTGGGACCAGAGAAAAGTTGCTGTTTTTCATAACCAAATTAATATATGAGATATACAATAATAATAATAATAATAATAATAATAATAATAATGCCACGTTTGTGCTCTTTCAAACTCATGCTATTAGTATATTAGTAAAGACCATCCCTAATCCTCAGGTTAGTTGTTTATGTTTCCTATGCGCGAAAAGGAATCTCTTGCAGCTGGAAATTAATTTGTTTATGTGTTTACTTGTGCTTTGATTGTTTAAAATTTGGATTTGATTTGTTTTTCTGTTATTTTCCTGAAAAATAGGTATGAAGTGTGGTGTTTGAATAGAAGATAGATATATGGTGAAATGTTATTTTTGTAAAAATTGTCATTTTACCGGTGATTGAGCAGAATAAGGACGAAAGCAAAAGTGAATGGATTTGTGGGGCTTTATTTTGGTTAGTGATTTGGTGAAATAAACTCCTTTATTTATAGTAGAGAATTAGGTGATGTTTCATGTAGCTAATGATTTGTTAATATCTTTCTGTTTTAAAAGTAAGATAGAGAAAGATGTTACTATATTTTAAAGTATTTTTCTGTGCTGTGTGTTTTTGATATTGTGTTGTGTAAAATAAAATAAAAAAGTGCTTATGTTACTGAGTAGCATTAAATAATGAAACATTTTCTTTTACATGTGTATGTATGTGTGTGTATACATTCAATTCAATTCATTTTTATTTTATTTATATTTTTTGTAATTGGGGCAGTTTTGTTTTGGTTTGTGGAATATTTGAGTCTATTTTTGAAAAGTATAATAGTATGACAAAGTTTAGTGTAGAAAATAAGCTAGGAGTTGTTGATAAACTCAAGTATCATAATTCATAAATGGAAAGGTTATTTGTCCTATTGATAATCGTTGCGTGTGCTTGTTAATTACTTAAATTGATTATGACTGCTTTAATTTGTTGAAATGTTTTGCAAATGAAGGCTGCAAGAAATTTCTCCCATTTGGAATTATATTCTTTGCCTGTGTCATATGATTCAACAAAATTGATTAATGAACAAACTGGTGATATTTTGTTAGGTGTATGGAAATTTTATGGTTTATGGATATTGGGACTGTGATGTTACGTCTAACATGCAATTTTATGTTGAGATTAGTCAGTGTATTATGTTAATATGTAATTTTGTATGTTGTTTTCTTAAATAACATAGGTAAAGTATCGAATGTGTTGCTGAATAAAATAAAAGTAGACAATCAAATTATATGATTTACTTTAATAATGTTTATATTTTGGATTGGAAGTATTAATATTTGATATATTGTATAATTATAACCAATAAATACTTGTAAGATTGGGTTTGTTCTTCTTGTATTTTCAGGGGAAAAAATTTAAAAAAACAAAAAAAAAAGCTTATTTTTTCTTTTATAAAATTTTATAATAAATATTATTTTAATAAAAAAATCGAACTTCGAAAATAAAAATAGTAATAATTACTTATCAATTTACATGCTTAATGTGTATTGTAATTAAATATCATCAAATTTGAGGGTGTCTTAATTTTGTGTGTTATCTTTTAGGGGGGTTGAATGCATTTTTGTTTTGTTCTTTTATATTAGGTACGTCCGCAAGAAGGTTATCATTTGATTTTGTATCGTATTTAACATTAAAAATATCTTTATATTTAAATAAATTATTGCATTGTATTTAACATTAAAAATATCTTTATATTTAAATAAATTATTCATTGTATATGTATTATAAGAGACTAATAAACATATTTTTGTTTTCTTTTCTTGATTTGTACTAAGTGTTGATATCATAATTAATATTCAAATATCAACAAACAAAAAGTCAATGACAACTTTCTTGTTGGATGGAGGGAGTATCATTTTTCGTTCTTCGACAAATTATTCATTCTTCTATAATTGGTTTGTCTCCTAATCCATTTTTCTTGTATCTTTCTAAAATTACAATACTCTCACAATTTATAATATAGATTATACAAATATTATATTTTTATATCATTTTTATTATATATTAATATAATATAAATATACTTGAAAAAAAAATGGATAAAGAAAGGAGGGAGTACATTACAAAAGAGACAGTATATTATTGATTTAAATTTTCATTTAAAAAATATACTTTTCGTTACGTTTGAACTATGGTGAATATGAAAATATAATACAAATATAAAAATATTAGCTCAATGACACGCGACACGTAGATGTGATACAAGGAACACCCGACAAGCTGTATTGAAAGGAAGAGATTTCATAAATCTTATTTGTCCTGCCCATCATCATCACAGAAAATCATCAACGACACAAATTTCATTTTATTTTCCGCTCATAAATAAAATAAATTCAACCAAACCAGACGGACCCAATTTAATAATTAAATCAATTCCCATTCATTTGTATTTTCAATTTTTGGGAGCAAATCTGGACTTCATCTTCTCCACCTGCTTCGTCCCGATATGGAACGCCTTAGCGAGCACATCGTCCGGCACCGGCGGCGCCGCCGCGAAGAGGGTGGTTGCGATGGACTGCGTCCCCGGAAGCTGGCTGTTGAAGGCGGCGATGACGGCGGCGGGGGTTTTGCCGTTGTTCTTCTGAAAGTGGACTAAGCCTTTGGGGAAGACGAAGATTTCGCCCTTCTTGATGTGCTTTGAGAAGAGGACATTGCCGGTGGTGATGAATCCGACGTCGAGCTCGCCTTCGAGGACGAAGACCACCTCGGTGGCGCGTGGGTGGGTGTGCGGCGGGTTGAGGCCGCCGGGGGCGTAGTCGATGCGGGACAGGGAAACTCCGAGGGTGTTCAGGCCTGGAATTTTCTGGACGTTGGCGCCGGTGACCAGAGAACCGGCGGAGTTGTTGGTGGCGCCGGGCTTCGCAAGGACGTCGGAGAAGAAGTCCTCCGCCGTCGCATTTGACTTGCAGGGGAACCCGTTCACTTTTATGGCTGTTTTTTTTTAAAAAAAAAAATACAATGAAAGATAGATTATTTCTCTTTAATATTAAAAATATTATTATATAATATCGTATAAATGCTAAGCATTTTTTAATATAATAATTAGTATTAAAAGATGAATACAAAAAATAAATAAAAACGTTAAAAGTTGAACAGAGTAGTAGTAATTAGCAATTATGAGGAAGGTTTGAGAGCGGATCGAATCTTCTGTCTCGTCTCGTTAACACACAATATTCGTATGCACATATTATATTTATCTTTGAAATATAGAATCAGTAGTAGAGTATTAATTTCTCAACAATTTTGGTGAACTCCCGAGTCATAAATAAATCATCAATAATTGATGAGAAGAAAAATAAATGAATATTTAGGGTAGGGTAGGATCTAAATAATAATAGACAGTTGAGTAGAGTAGATAATAGGTAATGGAAAATTGAAATAAAATCGAGAGAGTGACGGCAGGCAATAAATTCAATAAAATGTAATGTGAATTCAATTCCGGCAATGAGGAGGACACTCAACATATACGTTAGTAAGAGAGAGAAGAAGAAGAAGAAGAAGAAAAGTCAGCATCAGAGTAGACACGATTTCAAAATTGGCGACACTTGCACAAATCTTATTAGATCAAAAAGGGGTTTTGCACAAATCGACAAGAACACGCACACACACACACAAGTATGAAAATCAGAAGAAATGCAAAGTAGTAGTAGTAATAATAATAATAATAATAATGTAGAGAGAGAGAGAGAGAGAGAGAGAGAGAGAGATACCAGAGTTGAGATCAGCAACACAAATATCTTGAAGCAAATCTGGATCAGCGCGAACTAAACTCACCATCGTCATCGTCATGAGTACCACAAGTAGTTTACAGGCAGCAGTCAAAGCCATGGTTGAAAAGGGAAGCGGAGGAATTGCAATGAATTGAAATAAAATGATGAGTAGTTGAGTGAGTGAAGAGGAAAAGGAGGTAATTATTATGATTCGTAAAGTAAAGTAAAGTAAAGAAAGAAGAGGAAGAAGAAGAAAGAAGCTTAGTTGAGAGACTTGAGATTGGATTTGGAGGACGACGACGACGAGACGACTAAACAAATAAATAAAACCAAAGATTCAAAGATCAATGGGAGTGATGATGGGTAATATGTGTTTTTTTTAGAGAGAGAGAGAGAGAGAGAGAGAGAGAGAGAGGAAGGTGGGTGGCGAGTGGTGGTGTGTATTTATAAGATGATGATGATGAGAGTAAGAACAAAGCCATTTATTTATAGCACTGCATTCATCACTTGGGTTCACCTCAGACCTGACCACCCTCCTGTCCTGTTTCTTTATTTCTTTTATTAATAATAATAATAATAAGTTGTTGGGGTGTAAAGAAAGAAGGAAATGAGATTTGTAAGAAAAATAAAAACAAAAGAGGCGTCGTCGCAGCGTAGAGTAGACGTAGGCTCTAAGGTAAGGTAAGGTAATAAGCAGCTAACCTAAGCTTAAGTAAGGTAAGTTGCACTCCATTTCATTTTTACATCTCACCTCAATTCATTTTATTATTGTTACCATTATTATTTGGTATGTAACAAATTGTACATACCTTACCTACATGGGAGATGTGTTGATTGGAAATCAATTAGCATCAACTTGATTTGCTCCAATTAATATAACAAATGTTGTGTACCAACAATTCATATCTATATCAACATTTTTCTTGTATTGAAATTAAATTTATTGGATTGCATTACATGTCATTATATTATGAATGAGCTGTCCTGTCCTTGGGCTTAGAAAGGAGCATTGGTTTTGGGATATGTGATAGGTGAAAGTAATAGATTATTTTAAATCTAATTATTTTAATTAAGGATGTGGATAAATTCAAATTCAGATGCAGATCCACTCCCCAAGTCAATGAGGTATCAAACCCTAATCTAAATCACATATATATACATATTTGGAAAACCTTAAAGCAGCAAACCAACATAAATAATGTCCCAAAAAGGATACAAGTTGAACAAACATGGTATTCTGATGTATATATGTATGTTGCAGAAGAAAAACCACAAAAGATCAGATCAAGCTAACAAGAACGAGCTGTCCATTGATTTCAGGAAAGAACAAGGACAATGATGACGACATGATAACATAACAAATTGCTGCTTACGATGATAGGGATATATAGAGACAGACAATTCTTCAAAGGGATGTCCAAGAATTCATTCCAAATGAAGTAAGTTTTAGATGAGGAAATTCTATGTGGATCAGTGTCTCCAAAGCAACCTTACCTGGCAGAACCATATCTCATTCTATTCTACTCTTAAAACGACTCACTATAATAAACAACGCCATCATACCAAACTCTCTTAAGATAAGATGCAATGCAATGCAATGCAATGAATATTAATCGATGAGCAGCAATGAGCGATCGCATATAAATTTCCATTCCCGTTCCACCAATAATAAGTACCTGATTTCTATGTTAACAGACCTGTCCACTGTATTCCAACGGAATGTCAAAAACCAGAGTCTCAAGAAAGTAACATAGTGCGCATTCATGTCATGTCAGCACCTGCAGAGTCTTTAAAGTAAAAATACTAAATTAGCATATAATCTTCGGTGGTGTTGGCTATACTCAGAATAAGAGATACTTGTCGAAATCATTCTTACACATCATTGAACTTGCTCATAAGAAGATATGAAGCTAGACAAAGTGAAGACCTTGATGTTATCGATTTCTCTGGTCCTTCCGTTGCTTGGCATCAGAGATGTGAAACATAAGCTGCACATTTGACTTTATAGGTCAAATTGTAATGCAGAAAGGATGTAAAGGTTTAAAAACATATATGTAACGCTGTATACCTTGGTTCCAATATAAAACGAAAGTAACAACCAGCCAAGTGTGGGCAAACCTGCAAAGCTCATGTTTTTAAGCTATCTGCAGCATTAACGGTACAAATGAGGCTAAAATAGAAGAGCATACCTTCTCTTTTGAGGAAGACAGAAACCAACCAATTAATGCCGGATGGCCCAATTACAAATCCTACAAGATTGGCAACCTGCAGCGGTATAGCTTTCAATCAATCATAAGATTATCATACGTTTCTGTATTGCCCATCACAACTAGAGAACTGATAGAACCTTTCAGAATCATGGTAAATCTGATTCTTAAACCATCTTCAACTTCAAATTGTTGATAAGTACAAGTTAGGAAAAACTACAGCATTGTTCCATACATAGCCAAAATTTTCAAAAATATTAAACAACAATAAAAGGATCTCCAGCATTGCAATTTTAGTGATGATATGGAAAAAGAATTACCATTAAACAGGTTATAGTTACTGCACCAGCTATAGCACTAAGTTCACGGAAAAAAAATTCCCCAGAAGCACCTTTAACCTGTAAAAGAATGAGAGGGCTAAATAAAATTTTTTCGATTTAGAGTCACAATTCAGCTGAGTCAATTTCCTTAAGGAAATAGTATGGAAGATGTTTCCATTTCACAAATTCTAGACTGGACTAAATGTCCATCTAGATGATACATGCCAAGATAATTAATTTCGTTATGTGGGCAAGAATAGAAAATGGTATTGAATCACGAGATACCTGAAAGGCATTCGCTGCTGATTTTAGAAGCATTTCAGGAATGAAAAATATACATGTCAACCAAGCCCAAGAAAGAAGCTTCCTGAAATTGAGGAACCGGGCCATTAACAACTGGACCGCAAGTACCGTAACAGAGATATAAAAGCCATTTTCCAGGGAATAGCTCAGAGAAGCCACCATTACCACTCTAAGTCATGCCAGACAGCAACAAAGGTGAAGATTACCCAAACGTTCAGTATTTTCTTGTGAGAACCCCCAAGAGGTATATATATATACCTAATAAAACAATCAGCCAGAGAAATTTAGTTTCACATATTGCAAAAACAAACAGAAAGTAAGAGGGAAAAAAATGTAATGCATATACCTAACAAGCCATTTGTTGAATGAAGCATGCCAATTTTTCCAAAAATTTTCCAAGTTGTGGCAGTTGTTCACACACTTTGGCATATTCTCAGGAGCCACAATGCCATTAACCTACAGGTGTGTTTTAGGACTCAAAACAATTCTTCTATAATAATTACAGCAAAACAAGGAAAACTTGAACAAAAAATTGAAGTAATTGTGTCACAACATACCAGCGACCAGAATCGGAAGTAGCGCCACATCAGAAAAAATTTCAGCCACATGAAGTTTAGAACCTGTACAGATCAATACATCGCCGAGTTGAGTTATTAAACCCGTGAAACAAGAAAATATCCACCCAAAACATTCATTTGGAAGGTTATGATCAGACATTGAGTTCGTGCTTGGTTCAAAAAGTTGTTCAAGTTAAAATGCACAACTAAAGCTATTCAGAAAAATTTATTATTTTCTTACAGCATCAGGGAAGCCATGATATAGAACAGAGAACTGATCAGTGTTCTTAACTTGGAGTTCAATTTTTAATTTCATGAATATGGCAGAGAAGATTAATATAGAAAAATATCCCTGCTACAAGAATTATGAATGGTAGGATTTTGCGATGCATGGGGACACTTAGCACAGTAAGATTAGCCTGAAGGAAGGCCAAAGCTGTTGCTATTTTAGTTTTCAATCCCAAACTATATTTCTAATGTCAGAAAGGGTTTTCGGACAAGATTTATTTTCGAAACACAATTGATCCAGGCCTGGAACCAAGTTTTTACTGTGAACACATCATTATAATTAGATTTTTCTGTTCAAGTTCACACCTATAAGGACTCCATTATCAGCTATGTATTATGTGAAAAACCATGTGAAGAATAAAAGATTTAGAACTATTTTGAGTTGTACGAGAACAAGAGAACATTAATCACCTTCACTTACCCCATAACCAATAATGAAGACATCCATGGGAGACAGTTGCCTCCACATACCACTGCAAGTAACAAATTAACCAGAAACTTGTAAAAGTTGAAGAGCAGTATTACCCATTTAAAGAATATCAGCTCATAAGCTATATCGTTAAATACTCTCACCCACCTAATAGCAAAGGCATTATAGTAGAAGAAATGGGTCATCAATTCCATTAGGAAAAGACTAAAAACCCAACGAATCCCATACAAAGCCACTTCTCGGGATGAGTACATGTTCTGGGGTGAATCCAACTGTTGCAACCCATGAAAAGTCATTTTGAAAGTTCTTTTAGCAAAATCATAGTCTACAGAATATATATACATGGATAATGTGAAGTAGACAGCTGTTATTAACTTGGGAATGTTATTAAATAAGAAATAAGAAAAAATAAAAGTGTAGCAAGTGTATTGAGGATGTATCCAATCAAAATTACTCTAACATACTTGCATTCAGCATAACATACTGTTTATCCCATGTCATGAAATATTGGCATTTTTTTCACAAAACAGTTGATTGTTCAAGGTATCATGGTACAAATGTGTGTGTGTGTGTGTGTGTTCGTATTGGTTTCATGAGGAAAGAAATAACAACTTATAGGCATACCAAACCTGTGAAGCAAATGCATTGAAGCTGATAATCGGTCCAGCAATGTAAAGAGGTGCATAGAACAAATACGACAAGTAAATTGGAAATGTGAACTTGTCGTTTGCAACTCTTCTCTCCTGGAAAATATAGTGATAAAGGTGATCATGAAAACTCAAAATTTAGAAAATTGTTGAGCTACATGCATATAGCTAGCCATGGTATTACAAACTACAGCAGTAGTTCACCTGTAAGAGCAGATAGCATGTCTTGCTTGATGAGCAATAGCTGCAACGCTGAATATGCTTCTGTCACAGACAATAAACTATTAATTCTTTTATATATATATATATATATATATATATATACACACACAAATATAAAAGAACAAATAGATGTCTTAACATTGTCCTACCAGTTTGATACAATATTATTACAAAATAAAGTGTATGAAAAATAGAGTTTCATTCGTTAATTTGTCATTACGTCAAAAAAATGTAGGCAAGATACCAATCATGTTCAATTATAACCCATGTATGAATACTGCCAGCAAAACGACACCATAAGTCATACCTCTTCATCAATACGATGACATTGATCAGCCCAATGGTAGTCATACCCAAAGCTTATCATTCGCAGAACAACTGCAAATGAAAATGAAGGAAAAATAGATAACAAATATTCAATGCTGATACTTGTGCTTTATGCCGAATGTAGGTTATTAAAGCAATTAGTTGTAGTTAGTACTGTGGGCACATGTAATTGCTACTAGGTGAGGCTCATTTCTACTGATATAAAGTGAATATATTGGTACGATGACAACCAGGAAAAATTCAACCTATAGAAAGCATTTATAGTAGGTATTGCATCTGCTTCTGAGTTTTGGTCAAACTCATTAGTTATTATCACCAGCCATTTGTGTTACGAGATTTGTTATATGTGTTCTTTCCTGTACTGAATCAAAAATAAATTATTTAATCATAAGATAGTAAAAGCCCCTTGAATGATGTGATATAATAGCAGTCCTAGATTATGGTCTGATAACAACAGAACTATAAAGCTTCTTCATCAAGGATAAATCATACCAAAGTTAAAACAGATATGCCATCTGAAGGTGCCTCGAAAATTATCCAAGTAAGCCCAGCTTTCACAACACCAAAATCAACAGAAACTTGATAATCGATATTCAGGGTTGAAAAAGAACATGTGATGTAATGTCAGAGGCCCAAAAATCCTTACCCAAAACTGGAGAATTGATATCCCTCATAAATACGATTGCATACAAGAAATGATAAGTTAAAACCCCAAAGCACGATTGAGAAGCATTTTGTCCCTCCCAATATCTGCAAAAACAAGTATCTGGTAAACATTAAACATTAGAAGACCAAGAGGTACAATCATAAGTATATTCAGTGATAAGAAAAAAAAAATTGAACTCAGTGCAAACAGGAACGTGAGCATATTAATAAATGTCTTTCCAATTAAATCAAAGCACATTAAGTCTTCACATAATCGATCCCATAACCTGCAAGTGCAAAATCTGCATTACCAAAGAGGACCCAATAATATCACACTATTATTAAATAAGACAAGTGCTATTAGTCTCATTACAGTTTCATTGAGCAAATGTATGCAAAAACACAATAGACATTCAGTGTCAATTAAATAGAAGAGACATCAAACTTGAAGTAATCACACCTTCACAAGGAAAAAATTAGCTGAAGCAATACAGATGACGAATATGATGCTGCCAGAGAGACAAAAAAGGGAAAAATCATTAAACAAACCATTAAAGCTGGCGCAAAGCATAAGAAAATTCTCTGCATTTACCAGGCTTCGTGCAGATAAGACAGATAAGCCAAAGAAATCAAAAGCCAGACCATAGACATCCCATTCGCTTTCAAACAAAATACTTTTCTAAGCACATTTGCAATCGACGTAAAGATCCCGAAAACTACAGAGAGTATTGTTATGTTTCCCCTAAAATTTCTCCATTGGGAATCAGAGATGTCCTGCACCAAAACAATACCAAGAAATACCGTGAAAACCAAAATATGTTGGACAGACCATTTGAATTGAATAGATGAATGCCTTCTACATAACAAAAACAATAATTAATATGACATCAATTAACAAGAAACGGATGCAATGAGTTGATTTTCATCCTATACATCTACTTTCACCCCCAGTTCGAACATTCCACCCTTCAAAATCCATTCATCCATTTTCAAACTAGTTGAGCTTAATAAAAGCCTATAATGAACAACACATAACCTGTTCCATCAAGTATAATATAGATTACTGCTCAAATTTAACAGTCAGTAATATCATGAGCTGAAAAATATACGTTAAGTCGACCAGCAATCCAGCCGGCGCGTAAACCATTAAGCTTGGCGTAATGATCTGCGATTACAATTAAGCCACGAATATAAATTCAGTAGTAGATCAGAAATGACAGCCCAAGCACATCAATAAGTACACAAAATATAATTGTACCGTGGGAAAGGCGGAGAGAGCGACGAATGACAACTATGTAGAAAACGAGAGCGTAAAGAACGAGAAATATGAGCTCTTTCTGCCGCCAAGAATTGCTCTTCATTGCTGGGTTTGGCAATACCCTCGTGGGATAGCAAAATCAAATTAGAGAAACGGCGATTCCCATTCAAGAATGGAGTGGAGTCGATGCTGGGCAGTTGAAAAATGCACCGAAGGAATGACACTACTGTTTTGGGGGGAAAAGGAAATACAGAAAGGTTCAAGGTTGATTTCGCAATATAGTAGAAGTTATTGAGGCTATTTTGAATAATAATAAAGAGTACGGGTCGACTGCAATTATCCAAAATAGTATTGGTTGATCCGCAATTACTATTATTATTTATTTAAATTTTAATTCAAATAGAATTTTAAATATATACTAGTATTTTACTAAGTTAAATTAAAAGTATATTTTTATAAAAAAACTGTATTTTCTCCGTTATCTAAACTTATATTCTTTTATATCATCACAAAAAACATATTCATATGTTCATTCAGTAAAAATACTAGTATTATTATTTTTATTTTTTTTTACTATAAAAAAATTCTATTTTAATTCAACTTTATTAAAATTAATGTTCGATCAAGTATATATATAAATTTTGAAGACAGAATATAATAATTTTGATTTAAAATAAAAAAAAAACAAATAAATAATTTCTTACGTGAAAGGAAAAGAACCATATGTTGACGTGATTAATTGACAAACCTAATAATGGTTGACTCCATTTGATTTGCATTTTGTATTTAAATCTTCTTTCAAGTAATAATACTTTATAAAAAAATTACTAAAATACAATTTTTAAAATTAAAATTCTATTAATTATATAGTAAGAATTAAATTTAAATTTAAAAAGACCTTTAAATGTTTTTTCCTCATAATTCAAAAATATTTTTATATTCACGATAATTAATTTATCATATACACTCACTTAACAAATTTTATCACAAATTCCTATATGGGATGTTCCTTAGACCAAAAATAATAATAAAATTAAGAAATCAACAAGAATAATTTTATTCGATCCTCATAATATTGGCTTTAGATTCTGTCTCTTTCTTTTTGTTTGCCCCATTCTTTATAAAAAAAATAAAAATAAGTTGTGGGCTTGGAGTATGGAGATTGGACTTGTGACCGAGACCTAATCTGACTTGATTTGTCGTTCCACATCATAAAAATAAATAAATAAATAAATTGTGCACAATCTGTTTTAATAAATAAATAAAGAGTGTAAAAATAGAAAAAATCCAGGGATTTGCATGAGTTGCATAGGATCACAAAAATGTAAAACTTACAGATCACACTAACTGAACCAACTTCTACAAAAAAAAACACCAAACTTTAATTTCAACTTCAACTTCAGCTTCACCTGCAATAGTAAGGACTGACTGAAGCCAGAAGTGACTACTTCTTCCGGCCTCCACCGCCCTTTTTCTTCTTGTTGGCCGGTCCCTTCTCAGCCTTCTCGCTAGCCTCCTGCAATCGAGTCACAGTTAGAAATGATCTCCATATACAGATCATGATACAAGAAGGATGATTCTTATGAACAACAATTAGGCAGTCATATGCAAAATCGATTCAGTGAATCCATGTTGGATTTGTCGTGTAACTACACAGCCTGCCATCACTACTGAAGGTTATACAATGAAAATGAAGCGATAGTTGAAATATTCAATCCAAGGATAAACGAGTAGACACTAGAAAGAGTTTTAGTGTGAAGCGAAAAGGTCAGACCTTTCTTTTAAGAGGTGCTGCTGTATTTGCAACGGGTTTGAAAAATGATTCTAACCTGTTCAGGTAGAAACAGTGAGAGAACTTATCAAGGTGAATATTTCCATTCAATATTTAACACACAAGAAAATCGTACCGGCCCTGGGAGGATTTGTTCTTGGCTGCCTTGATCTTTTCAATTGCCTAAACATGTAATAGTCATCAGATAAAAATGTATCAATGTGATCTTCATTATGGGAGTGAGGGGAATGAAGTCAGGAAAATATGAAATTGGAGCATGCCTTTGTTATTCTGTCACTGTTAAACCCATTCTCGGCTGCCAAGAAGTTTAACAACCCCTGAAGGAGAAAAGTATAATGAATAGAACATCAAACAGTAATCTAAGAAAAATCAAGTAAATAGGGCTTTGAATTACTTCGTCATCTGGGGGAGACCATTTAAGCTCCAGTTGATCATCGTCACTGAGAACTGACGGTTCCTTAAAGAGCCTCCGAGCCTCTTGATATGGCCAATCCTCAGGAATTTGGTATCTGCCAGAATAAAGTAATGAAATGTAATCGTAACAGATACCAATAACCGGTAAGATATCGAAAGAGCTTGTGAACGTAGATTTTATCAAACATGGCTTGTCCGAACAGATAATTTCTAATGTAGCTCTTTTCATGAATCTCCAGTGAAACTACATCATGAACAATAGATTATAGCTTACAAACTACAATAATCCTAGTAGTCGGAGTGACAAGGAGATACCATGTGGAGTAGGCCATTCAAAGGCTATATAACTGTAGATCACAAAAGCCCAAGGGAACAACATATAATGAAGCCAGACAGTAATTTATTTATTTCAATAATAATCACTCAGGCTTCTGAAAATTAGTACACATCATTTTAGAATTTGTACATAAAACAGGGTAAAAAGAGCTAATATTTACTCCTATTCCGTGCAATCAAAAAAACAAAAATGCAATTGCACATCCTCCATTGCAACTATAATAACTTGAGTTTAGCAATTTGTACAGTATGAAGCACCTTTCTTTATTGATATTTTCTATGATGTTCTCAATAGAGCCATGTTGGCGAATCAACTTCAAAGCAGTCAGTCCTCCAATGCCTGAGAAATAAATAGAGCTAGCATGATTTGGAGCAGCATGAAAGGATGTACTGAAGTTGAAGTTATTATGTCAACTAGATTAAGTTTCCAGCAAAGAAATTACAAGGAAAAAAAAAAGAAAGTTCATAAAAGCAAATATTACCTCGAATACTGTCACAGTAATCACAACCAGAGAGAATGCAAAGATCTATAAATTGGTCCATTGTAAGGTCCAATTCCTCCAGAACCTGCAATGAATCATGCATCAGAAAGAACACATAAAATAGAGCAATTATTTCCTATACCTTTGAGACTTCAAATTCCATCACTGGGATCTTTTTTGAACTAGGATCCATTAAATGACGCAGAAACCTTGGTGCTCCAAATGTTAGGGAATCCATGTCCTCAGATGCAACAGCATAAACCTAATATGTAAGTAAACTTCAACCAACCATTTCTGAATCATCGGAAACATTAATCACACGTGCCAAAGAAATCATCTAATAAGATAAGCACCACAATATGCATAAATACCTTTCCTGCTTTGCAAAGTGCAGCACACTGTGCCTCTGCTTCACAAGGTGCCTGAACAAGTTACCAAGCAATATTTAACAGAAATATATAAAGATTTTACCTTTTCCCCAGGTCAGAAGAAAATATTGGAATTTCATAAAATAACCTTTGGCAATACCTCAATCACTGGCACTCCCATAAGTCTAAGAAGCTTCTTGCACTCTTCATTGTGTTGCTTTGTAACCTGTGTATTTAAAAGGTGGTGCTGATAATTACTTCTAAAACATGTAGCTCATATGTATTGAGCCACTAAACACAAGAACTAAAGAAACCAAATCATATTAAGATTGTGAGTAACAGAATGTATCTTTCCCGCTATAACAAGACATGCTTGACCCATTTAATATTCATGCCAAGCAGAGTTGTTGAGGAACATTTGCCTCAAGGTCTAGCATGCTGGCCAAATTTGACTGGATGAAAGACAAAATTCCCTTTGATAAATTTAGCATTGTAAAGCACTCCTTTAGGACCAAACAGGACTAAAAACCCTAAAAGGTGTCGTTTCCTTACTAGGAACCAAAACATGGGTGATTGGAGGTTATTAGAAAATTTCAAACCAAACTTCACATAATTATTCTATTTCTTGAACCCTATGTTCACTCTTCCTCCATGTTGATATATACATGTCAAACCGATGTAACTCAGAAATTTGTCCATGAATTGTATTTATTTAGAAGACTCAACACATTAACGCTTGTTTCAACAAAGTCAATGAGAACCGCCCATTAAGGGGGTCAATGTATAAAACCATAAAAGCTTACCTTTACTGTTCTCTTGCTAAACTTTTCAATATCCTCCTTGTTTCCAGTCTGCAGCACAAAAAGAAGTCTCGCATAGAGTTATCCATATAATGAAATAAATGAGGAACCACTTGGGTTGATGGGAGAGGACAAATAAGCTATTAGAAAGTGCAATGGTCTATCTCTTGATATGCTCACAAATACTCAACCTCTAGAGCTTCACTTAAGTCCTCAGTAGCATCAGCTCTTTTCGAGTACCTACATTTACAAGAAGAGCAAGGAGAAGGAAAGAAAGAAAGGAGAAGGAAAAAAAAAAAAAGGTTAAAAATAAACAATCCAAGATCAGTAACTGAATATGCAAAGACTAGCAGAAACAATGCATTAGGTACCGTTTTGCAAGTTCTTGTTTCTTCAGATCAGGAGGCTTCCCATCAAAAACATATCTAATGTAAAAAAAAAAAGTTTAATGCACTTAGACAGGCACAAATAAATTTCAAAACATGACACAAGCTGCAGAAGTAAGCAAGGTAAGCAACAAATTACACCGGTTTGATTCCTGCTTCCAAAAGCCTGATAGTCCTTGTGAACATCCCTTGCAAATGACTGCAGAGCACCAAATATAGAAGAGAAGATCAGCAATGGCATCAATTAGAAAGGAAGTTCGCATTGACAATAAGGCACAAAGTAAAATTAAGTAGAGAAACTACCACACTTTATTCTCCTGAAAATAATCATAAAAACAAGGATACATTTATAAATCACTACCCGAATGCCACTTAGAAAGTATATTTATAAAGAATTTACAAATAGATTGATGCTCTATGAACTTGCATGAGTATGAGGGTCTCAGCAAATAATCAAGTCTGATTAATCATTATCCATTGGATAGAAATTAATTTACCTTCAATATTAATAAGAAATAAAAAAGAAGCACAGAGAAAACTTTATTTCATGCCCCTGGTTTCAGAATAGAAAAAGAAAGCCTAAAATGACTACTCATTTCAAAAAAGAAAATACAAACAGCGAACAAGTAGAGATTGAATACCTAGTCACTTCACCAGCTTCATTTGTAAGCATTTCGGTGCCGGTTCTTCCAACAACAATCTGCAAATATCAATCAAATAGGTATTAGTTCCATGAGAAGCACCACTTGCTTCTGGCTATTACCATATCCACCGATAGTCTAAAATCTAAAGCAAGAACAACAAATTTATTTTGACAAATGCATCTTCAAAATTGCAAACACACTATCATCTACCGAAAAGAACTTTAATTTTTTTCAAGTGATCCCAGTATCTAGGACGCAATCATAAAGGGAGGGAGATTGAATTACGCACAAGGAATTGATATATGCTCATACTGGCATCAATTGCGATCTTTCGGCCAAAATAGCTCTCAAATTTCTGCTCTTTCATTGCTTTGGGCGCATTGTCAGCCAATAGCTTCGTTAAACCCTAGTAAAAATTTGGGAAAGACACAAATCAACCGAAGAATGGTAAAGGGAAGCAAACATAATCAGTTGAACAATCCAACGGCAAAATAAATATACCTTTATACCCATTTAAATTTGCAGAAAAAGAACTGCTGCAAATCGTTCTTCCAGTTCGAATGGAGCAAGCCGCAGGGTTTCAAGCCACTCCCGCCTTTTTCTTGGCAAGCACACACACGCTATGCATAATAATACACTACAGTGCAGTCAGTGTACACATCGTTTACAGAGTTGCCAACCCGGTCCAAACCGGAGGTTCAAGTTCAAACCGGACCGCCAACAAGCCGGAGCCGATTTTTCAATCTCGGTTTTAACTTTCAACATTATACGTAACGTGAACCGCCGGTCGTTATTTTTGTTAAAGTATACTCCATCCATATAGATAGTAAATATTTACTTTCGATACATTGTTTAACAAATAATAATATTTTAATTATAGTGTACAGTTAAAATAGTGGAATAATATTTTAGTAATGTAAAATAAAATAAGAGTATTTATGAAAAAAATATATATTTAATAAAATATTTATTTTGTATATTTTTTAGGTAGTACTTTTTTTATCCATAATACAGTAGTGGTAGAGCATTGGAATCTAGAATATTTTGCATTAGTAAGTTATAACTTTATTTGTTTTAATTATTCGAATAAATTAAATTTATCCTAAATTTATTTTTGAATTTTTCTAATATTTTTTGGTAACATAAATTCATTTTTTTACAATAATGGAATATTTTTTTCCTTCTTTGATTTTTTTACTGCATTAATAGTTTCTAATCAATAAAAATAACAAAAATTAAAATTTACAATAACAAAGTATAATTTATTTTAATTTCAGGTTAAATAGTTTTTATTATATAAAAATTTATAAATATATTATTGTTTTTATATATGTGTTATATTGATCATTTGATTTATAGGCATTTATATTTGTCACAACTATGAACCAATTGTCATAACTTAATTCTTAGAATTTTTTTTTTTTTTTTATAAATATCTAAAACTATTATAACTAAGTATTCAATCACTCAAATTTTCTAAAATATATAAGAGTTTTAAATAAATTTAAGCATGAGTTTGTACTTGTTTACACTTTTTTTTTAATAAAAGAAACAAAAAAATCACTATTCATTCTTTTATATTTTCGTATTAATTACAATTAAATATAAATAAATTTTAGTATCAGTAATCCGTAACAAATGCTCATTTAGTACAAAATATCATTTTCTTTTATCGATTTTGTTGTGAATTTTGACTACAAAGCGTGAGTAACAAAAAGTATTCATGGCAACAATTTTACTAGCAAAAACTAGTGCTCAAAGTAGGGTACAAATGCCTCTTGTGTGTAAAAAAATTATAGTAATAAAAATCGGTACACCTAAAAATAGAATGATTTTTATGTTATTTATAGTGGCACTAATTTCGTGACAAATAACTTAAAGTCTATTTTTTTTTTCTAATAAATACAAAATTCTTAATCAGACCTACTGGAATTTTTGTTTGTGTTTTGCTAAAATATTTTGTAATGAAATCAGTGTGGTATATAATTTATTAATTATTACAAAGATTATGTATTTGTATTATGTTATACATGTATTTTTATTCCTTCATTTCCAGTCTGAAACAATTGTGGTGCCTACTGCCTAATTTATGTCATTTGCTTGGAGATGCAAATAATGTACTAATTTTATTCCTTGTATGTATTGTTACAGCCGATCAAAGTTTGAATATAGTTATAATTACCACTATTATTACCAACGTACAGCACCCACTCAATGGTCTGACAGGTGTACCTCAACCTGGCTCAAGCTTCCACTTGAGACAAGACACAATCTTGATGATGATCCAGTGAGGAGAATAATAAACACTTCAAATTCAAAATTCAGCTGAGCCAGGAGCCCGAGGGAAAGGTATCACATCTCTTATATTATCAATTCCAGTCGCAAATTGTACAAGCCTCTCAAACCCTAATCCAAATCCCGCATGTGGAACTGTCATTGTGAAGCAACCAAGAAGTCAGGTCAGATCAGGTGTGTTGGAGTTTACATATAACAACTTATACTTCTTTCTGCCTAGCCTAACCTGAACCATATCGCCGGAGGTCAAGATACCACCAATAACTCCCCGTGTCGAGACCCAAGTTGGCCATGCGCTGCTCCAAATAATCAAGCCGTTCTTCTCTTTGGCTTCCACCAATCAGTTCCCCCACCTGCACAACAACATCAGAGATCATGGTGGGAAACAGAACTAGAGTGAGTGCAAATGGTGATTTACCCGAGGAACCAACATATCCATGGCTGCAACAGTCTTCCCATCATCATTTTCTCGCATGTAGAATGCCTTGATTTCCTGTGATTTATTTAATCAATGAAATGCAGTCAGCATTCATAATTGAAAATCATTTACAGCAGATTTAACCTACTATAGAATCTTCTTGCCTTGGGATAATCTCTTATAATTACTGGGCTTCCACGGAACACCTCCTCAGTGATATAGCGTTCGTGTTCACTTTGCAAATCACATCCCCATGTTACCTATCATTAAAGCATCAACAAGTAAAACCTAGATATCGCTTTCATCCATAAGGAGCAATTACACCAAGGAATATTGTAATTAGGAATATGATATCAAGTGGCACGTGGAAAATGCCAGGCTAGTAAATTTTTACTCCCAACATCTTTTAAAATATTATAAAGATCACACCTAAACCCAAGTTTGGCAACTAGAAAAAGGAAACTATATAATATTGGCCCAAATTTTATTCAAGCAAGAATTGGAGATATAATTTACTGATTTCCTCAGATGACAAAAAAGGCCAATGTGAAAATCTCAAAACAACTAAATAGCATCTGATTTCCCTTAATTTTTCATTATTCGAACCACTTTCCCCAGGTGGAATTATTTATTGATAAAAAAAAAAAACATATGAAGCATCCAATTCATTTGTTGTCTTATGTAAGTTTTAACGTCCAGTCATCAAAGTTGCAAGAAAGAACCTGCATAAGGTAGCATATCAAGAGAAGATCATTACCGGATATTCAAATGTCTTCTGGGATTTCATAACAAGTTGAATTGCATCAGTGTATGACAATTGGACAATTTCTTTCTCCACAACATCCTGGAAAGTAAATGATTGAAGGGACCAACATCTAAGAATAAAAGGTATAATAGAGAGGGTCACAGTATAAAATCCTGAATCAAGAAAAAGCTTTAGCATTCACTTCAAACAAGCCTAATTAGATTATAGACTGAACCAAAACAAGGCTTAGAATCCGTACACTCAGCCGGGCAATGATTCCTTTCTCAATCCAGGTATTGAAAAAATCCATATCTTCCTTGCAGTGCTCAAGAATGTACCGCACCTTTCAAGCATGCAATAATATAATGACTATGATTCCAGTCAACAGAACATAATTAAAAAACACAAGATACAAGCAATAGATCTCTGAAGAACATACCACATACTGGAGATAAGCAGTTGCACAAGACATGTCATCTTCTAAATCAGCAAATGCAAGTTCTGGTTCAATCATCTTGCAAAAAGAGAATGGAAATTGAGATTGTAGCCAAGCTCATACAGTTCATGAAAAAGATATTTCAAGTATGAAATCTATGGAGAATATAATGTATAGAAAAGTATATAAGTTATTGAAGCCTTTATGCAAACAAACACTAAGGAAGTGTACCCAAAATTCAGCTAAGTGCCGGGAAGTGTTAGAATTTTCTGCTCTAAATGTAGGACCAAAAGTATATACCTGTCAGATGGCCAATTACACATAATAAGTTTAAACTGCGAATGCCGATGATAAAGAGGTTAATTGTATTGATCTGATAAATAAGAATCATACATACATCAGTAAGAGCAGTAGCATATGTTTCAGCATTAAGTTGTCCAGATACTGTCAGATATGCGGGTTTTCCAAAGAAGTCCTGGTAAATAAAACATTAAAGGAAATACATGTCATAATATTCTCATAATTAAGAAACGTTGTAAAGTGTCTAGTGTTGGTCCATAACGTCAAACACCAACCATAGGACTTGAGTAGCAGCTTAATATATGCAAGAATATATTCTTAAACAACTCTAACCATGGATGCCAGACTGTCAAAACCTAACTCTACATCTGCTGAAAGAATGCTTAAAGTATAAAAAACATAATGAATAAGGACAACTGAGATCAAATGATTTGCATTGCTAGAGAGAAAGGTACTTTATGTGCCTAAGTTCGATTGTAAATATAAAGGATGATCGATAAGATCAGGAAGTATAAACCCACCTTGCAATTTGCGGAAGGGTATATAAACTACAAATGGAGTATAATTTTCATAATTGTGTTCGACTGCATTCTAAACAGTCTTCATTTTCTTTTCTTGCAAAAGAAATTGGTAGGGTGGATGAGAGAAAAAAGAGATGCAGACACAAGCTAGTCCCATTTAGTAACATTGCACATATGAAGGTTCATTCCAAATAAAAATAAGTGAGTGTTACCTTGGACCAATCAATTAAACCATTCTTTGTTGCTGGGATGGCATTCACTGGAGATTCTGAGGCTTCCCTGGAATTTGGAATCTTTCTAGGGGCAAGACTATGCAATTATTAACAACTTTGTGCAATAAAATTTCTGAATTGATAGAGGTGATCTCACTACAGATAATACAGATTAAACATGCAATTTGTGATATAAATATGATAATATATTGGGCATGAAAAGACAAATTAGTGGTTCATGAATAATAATTCAGATATGCTGATGCATTGAAATGCGAAGTGGGCAGATTGAATGACGGGTACTTAGGGTGTGGATGTAAAAATGTATATTATTTTGTAGAGAATAAAATTTTATACAATCAAAATAAATAGAAAAAATATATTTATTTATCTATAATTAATATAAACTAATTTTATTAAAAACTGAGGAGTTTTAAATATATATAAAAATATTTGTTTATTGAGGAGAGGGATAGAAATAAAGAGATTTTGAATGAGTCGGGTTTGAAATTTAATTAAAATTATTTATATTTGTTAAGTATGATTAAAATTTTTATATTTACCAAAAATAGAAAGGATTTGGGACGGATTAAAAAGAAAAAAAAAAAGATCATCTGTGGACGGAGTATTAAACATTAAAACAGATGGCAATGGGTAACTTTTAAAAAATAATTGGAGCACTACCCAGCCAAACAGGATCAAACCTTTATATGAGGGAAAAGATATGTAAGTTCTAACCCACACCTAATGCCATTATGCTTGAGCATGAATACAAAAAGACTATGATTTTAACTTGCAGCATTATAAGGTGTACACAAGTGATTGAGAAATGTAAATTTGAGAAAGATTTCAAGTAGAGTTTACAATTTGACAAAATTCGTACCAAAGTTGTTACACAAAATTGTTCACCAGCTCCTTCACAATCTGAAGCAGTAATGATCGGGTTTGAGACCCAAACAAATCCATTTTCTTGAAAAAACCTGTGTGTTGCAAAAGACAAAGCACTCCTCACGCGTGAAACCTAAAACAAGTGTGAAATAAATAACAGTTCATACTTGCAAAAAACATGCATACTGGTAGCATATTTGGAACAAAATGACTAAATGATATCAAGTCACACTAATAGAGTATAGGAAATACATCTGTCACAATTCAAATGCATCCATCTAGAAATTAGGAGCGAATTGTTAGAATTATTACTATTACGAAAATAAAAGAGGAAGAATCCTACCGCGCCAAATGTATTGGTTCTAGGACGAAGATGTGCTTTGGTTCTTAAAAATTCTCTGCTGACCCTTTTCTTCTGGATAGGAAAAGAAGGATCACTTTTACCTACCTACAAGAAAATTGAGCATGTTAAACAAAAGATAATTTATCATTAAAGATTTTTTAATAAAAGAAATAAAAATTACTTGCATTCTTCTAGTGATATGATGTTATGCACTTGAATGGTACTTGATGTTAGCAATCACACAAATACGCCACACAGGTATTGAGATAAAGCAAGTCAAGTAATGATAATTGTGTAATTAGACCACATGCAAAATAGTTGATTTGCAAAGTGATGCATACCATTACAAGTTTTTCAACCTTCAATTCTATTTTCTGCTTCATTCCTTGACTGGCCACAATAGTCCCTTGTATCCATATGGAAGCACCATTTGATATTACACCATTCTCCACCTATTAGGAAGTGTTCATACATAGAATGATCATAGCCAACTACATTGAAGTTCTTGTCAGATAGAAAAATGGAGATACGATAAACATATAAAAAAGAACAGAAAACAGGAATTGAACAATCTGATACAACATAAATATAAATGCAGAAGCCACACAACAGATTTAGACACAAAAACCCATGTTACTTATAAAATTCATTTATGGGTAATGCCAGTTTGGGCATATAACATCATGTGTTAACAGGGGAAAACACAGACACGCAAATAAATTTAGATGTCTGATACACATGGAAGGAAACATCAAGGTGTTAGCAATGCTGATATCAGAACCATTACAGTTTAACTAGAAAGACTTTGCATCAATTCTGATGCAGATGAGCAGCCATTAGCACCCAAAATCAGGCATAAACAGAAAGTGAGAACCAAATTGTGCAGAGACAAGAGAAATACGAAGGAATGCATGTGGTGTGAGCACCTGGTCATAACCTTGGGCGTCAAAACTCATCACGCATTGCATGTTTGAAAGGCAAGAACCATCATTAACCTACTCAGCAGACAAGGTTACACCAATGAACACGTGCAAAAATAAAAATAAAAATTAATTCAAGAAAAGATATCCCCAAACAAGAAATTAATTCAATTCAAAGGCTTGCCTCGATGAAAGTCACACTGCTCTGCACTCTGAGCGTTCTAACCCATCCCTGGACCACAAGATTCTCTCCCAGCCGATCTAACCCCTGATCAGGGCCTCCTTTGATGTCCGCAATCTTCAGTTTCTTTCGAAATTCGCGGATTTTAGCACCGGTTTCCAAACCATTGGGTTCAGTACTGACAACATTGGCGGTGCAGAAGGTATGGCGTTGGCGGGAGAGGGCTGCGGAGGAAAAGAGATGTGAGGGAGTGGCGGGCCTGGTGTTACGTTTGTAGAAGAAGGATGGAGCGACGGAAGAGAAGCTTTTGAGGAGGCGCACGGCGGCGGGAGAGAAGGTCGCCACCGCCGCCATAGAAACGATGCTTTTGTTTAAAAGCGAAGGGGAAAGGAAGGGGGTGAGGGAGAAAGACGAGATATCTGGTTGTCGAAGGCTTATTCAATCTAACCAGTCTATCTGCAACACGTTTATTTGTTAATATTATTATTATTTTTATTAAATATCTGAATTATAAATTTGGCTAATTTCGCCACTGAAAAATGTTGGCCAAAATAGTCTGAAGTAGCAGCGGCGGCAATGGCGACCGGCGACCGCCGGCAGAAGAAGCTGAAGACGGAAACAAAAATGAAAAAAGAAATGAGAAAAAAAATTACAACATACTCGATTTTAGAGATAAATGGAAGCTTGAGTAGAGGGACAATAAGAGGGATATTGAAGAAAGAAAGAAGAAAAGGAGAGAAAAAAAAAGAAAGAACAACTCACCGGATATTTCAACGGGCGGCGGCGGCGGCGGAGTTCGTCTTCGGATGAAAGGCGACGCCGAGAAGAAGAAAAAAAGAAAAAGAAAAAAAGCAAAGAGGAGGAGGAAGGAGAAAGGACGGCGGCTTGGATTGGGGATAGGGTTTGTTTATTTATGTATTTATTAAATATATATTAATTTATAGGTATTTATTTGTATATTTATATTTAAATATATTATAGTATTAAAATTTTATTTTTATTTATCTTACTTATTTTATATGTTTATATCTTGAAACATATATACATGGAGAAGTTATACGGATGACTACCTGCTTTTACTAAATTATCTTTAATATTCAGTGTATCTTTACATCAGTCGTATGTACCGGTAATATTGTGGGCAAGTATGACTAAATTTGTTAATAAACCCCCACGTTGTTTATTATATTGAATATATTGGGTGTTCTTGAGATTTGTGTTTTTTCAATTCTATTTGCTATTTTGTAGTGATTTATTTGTACAAAATATATTGATATTGATATCATTTTGTAGATCGTAACGTTTTCTCTAACCCAATAACTTAGTTACAATATTCTAATGCTATGATATATAAAGAAATGCATTTGAAACTTGTTACGCACAATAATAATAATAATAATAATAATAAGGTATCCAGAGTCAGTCGGTGGGTTCTCAGTCGGTTGGTTCTCAATCAGATAAGCAAGTCAGATAGTCCGCGGTCGGGCAAGCAGGTCGGATTATCCGCAGTCGGATAAATGGGTCGGTTGATACAAAGGTTGGCTGCTATGGGGGTCGGTCGAAAAAGGAAGTCGGGCGAAGAAAGGTCTGTTGATAGGTCAGACGATTGAAGAGACCAAATAGTGGTCGTTTGATGGGGCGACCAGTGAGTCTTTTGATCTGGCGACCAATTATGTATCTAGATTGGTCGGTTGGTCGGTCGTTGGGTTATGCGGTTGGCGAGGCGGTTAAAGACATGTGTCAATGAAAGAGGCAGTTCTGAGTTCTGTAACTGGTGGGAACGGTTGGTGAAACAGTGCGACGGTTCTGAACGTTTTCTTCAAAGAATATTTAAGGATTTGGATCATCATTTGGCAAGGCATCTTCAATCAACTTCAACAAAGCAAAGTCAGATTTGGGGATCACCACTTTAAATTTCAGTCTTTTATTTTCCAGTTTATTTTCTGTACCATACAGTGTTTAGAGATTCCTAATCTCAAGCACTAATTAATCAAGTTTAAGGATATTTTCTATATCTTTGAATTTTACTTTATTTTTGTTGAAAAATTACATCAACAAATTGGCGACCATGGTGGGAGCAAGACAAAATTGCTCATTCCAATTCCGGCGATAATTTCATACGTCTTAGATCCGGCCGTATCATCGGAAGGGTCCATATGGCAGGTTCACAACCTCAATCATCTTCGGCACCAGTGGGAGAATCCGTTCCACCACCTATTGTGCCAAATGCTGGGGAAATCCCACAACCACCAACTGATTGGAGGTCTTATGTTCAACAAATGAACAACCAGCAAACTTTGGTTATGCAAAACATGTTGCGTGAGCAACATAATTTAATGCAGATCATGTTGGATCAGGCGCTGTCCAAAGTCACAATACATTCAAATACGCCTCCAGCATTGTCACATTCTCGTTTTCAGGCGACTTTTCCAGGATCGGTGTTTGCAGAACCATCATATGTTGATAATACATTTCCAAGTGCCACAACTGTCAACCGAACAGATAGGGGGAAGACTCCTCTAATGTTCCCTAATAATGTTCCTTTGGGACCAATGGTTGAAAATGTGCAGCCGAATATCGTAAGGGAAGAAAGGTTGGGGGGACAGACTCATAATCCCATCCCAGCCGAACCAGCCTTCTCCAGAGAAGAAAGATTGGGAGGTCAGACTCACGATCACATTCCAGTGTTCGACCATATTCCACCCAGAGTAGATCCGGAGGATATTGCTCAAGTTCTGTGGGTGCATTTCGGAATGAATCCGCAAACGGTGAACAGGCCGGTTTACCAGAGGCCATTTCCAGAAAGGATCATTAACGATCATCCTCTCCCGAGAAATTATAGGCCACCAGACTTCTATTCTTTTTCGGGAGAAGACAGAGCCTCTACCATTGAGCATGTGGGTCGCTTCACGGCTCAATTGGGAGAAGTAGGCAACAATCCGTTTCACAAGTTACAATTGTTTGGGTTGTCGCTCACAAGAACAGCTTTTTCTTGGTATGCCAGTCTGCCGCCTGGACAGTTGCAAACTTGGGAAGATTTAGAGGCAGATTTTCATGCAAGGTTCTTTAATCCTCTGCCGACAGTCTCACTGACAGACCTTCTGGAGATCACGCAGATGCCGGAAGAGACCGGCTACCAATTCATAGAGAGGATGCGATTGATGAAGGGACGATGTCCTACGATGATCAATGAAAGCGAAATGACCAATTTGGTGGTCAGGAACATGCATACCAGACTTCGCGAGGCCCTGACAGCCCACGACTTTCAAGATCTGGCCAGTTTAGCATCCACGGCAAGAAGGTTAGAATCTTTTTTTACAGAAAATAATCATGACTTCCGTCAGGGGGAGATGCTGAAGAGATGGTAGTGCAAAATCGACCGACGCGCAGGCAACCGCCAGACTGCAATAAATGGAGGTCGGGTCCAACGTAGCATTGAAAGATGAAGGTCGGATCCGAGGTTGATGTGGCCTCGGATGACGGCCTACTAACTCCTAAACATCACTGGAAGTGACGCTTAGGAGCCTTGAGGAGGAGGCATGTTGTTACGCACAAAAATAATAATAATAATAATAATAATAATAATAATAATAATAATAATAAGGTATCCAGAGTCAGTCGGTGGGTTCTCAGTCGGTTGGTTCTCAATCAGATAAGCAAGTCAGATAGTCCGCGGTCGGGCAAGCAGGTCGGATTATCCGCAGTCGGATAAATGGGTCGGTTGATACAAAGGTTGGCTGCTATGGGGGTCGGTCGAAAAAGGAAGTCGGGCGAAGAAAGGTCTGTTGATAGGTCAGACGATTGAAGAGACCAAATAGTGGTCGTTTGATGGGGCGACCAGTGAGTCTTTTGATCTGGCGACCAATTATGTATCTAGATTGGTCGGTTGGTCGGTCGTTGGGTTATGCGGTTGGCGAGGCGGTTAAAGACATGTGTCAATGAAAGAGGCAGTTCTGAGTTCTGTAACTGGTGGGAACGGTTGTGAAACAGTGCGACGGTTCTGAACGTTTTCTTCAAAGAATATTTAAGAATTTGGATCATCATTTGGCAAGGCATCTTCAATCAACTTCAACAAAGCAAAGTCAGATTTGGGGATCACCACTTTAAATTTCAGTCTTTTATTTTCCAGTTTATTTTCTGTACTGTATTTAGAGATTCCTAATCTCAGGCACTAATTAATCAAGTTTAAGGATATTTTCTATATCTTTGAATTTTACTTTATTTTTGTTGAAAAATTACATCAACAAACTAATGCAGAGATTTTTCAATTTGTTGGGCATATAAAACAAAAAAAATTAGTCCGATTGGACGATTGATCTTACAAAAATATAAGACATCCGAAATTGATAACCGACCAATTCCCTCCACCAATTCATTTTTATTTCAAAATACCTATATTTATATTCTTTATTTATTTAAATTTATATATTCATATAATGAAATTTTAATTAAATATTTTAAATATATCAATATATATCATTTTGTAGACAATTATTTTTTTAATAATATAAAAAAATAAATTAAAAAAATGTATAATATAATATAATTTGAAATTTATTTATTAATATGTTTCAAATTTTAATAAAATTTTAAAAATTATTATATTATATGAATATGAATATATAAATTTAAATAAATAAATAATATGAATATAAATATTTTGAAATAAAAAGAAAATGACTGACCCAATTGGTGGGATGGAAAAAAAAAAGAGAAAAATAAAAAAATTAATTATATAAATAAATTTTTATAACTGTAACCAATTTTAAAAACTTTAATTTTTTTATAAATGAAACGAGGAGAACGTCCAGTCGGTTGCGATTGAAAGAGGAAAGAAAGTAACTGAATTGATCGGATGAGAACGGAGAATGATTGGGTGAATTGGTCGGATGAGAATAAGAGGCTGAATTGGTCGGATGAAAAAGAGAGATTAAATTAATCGGATGAGAATGAGAGACTGAATTAGGCCGATGAAATAGAGAGACTGAATTGACCGGTTAATTTATTTTTCGTGTTTAAAAATATTTTTTTTTATTATACTTTTTCTTTAGTTATTTTTTTATTTTATTTTTTTGTGTATTATTAAATGAATGAATTGGCGGATATACCCATTAAACCACTTCCTTTTTTTTTTATTTATCCAACCGACTGTACTTTATTCTCCTTTCATTGTACGACCAATTTGGACTGCATTTTCATCCCAATCCCAACCGCCGCTTTCTCATCTTTATTATTCATTTTTTTTTCCTCTCATTTATAATTCAAATATGAATTCTTTCTATATATTTGTTGATTGATTTTTTTAACAAATAAAAAGTAAAATTCGAAAATAGAAATTATCTTTGAATTTGATAAAATAAATACCTGAAATTAAGAATTTGTAGACACAGTACGATACATAAACAAACTAGAAAAATAAATACTACAGACTGAAAAAGTAAATGGTGATCCCAAAAGAAATTCAGTGACTTTGATGTTGATTGAAGATGATTAAAGATGTTTTTGCCGAACTTCATCTTTAAATATTCCCTAAAGAAACGTTTTGGAACCGTCGTTTGTTCGATTACAGCAACTGCTGTCAACCGCCCACTAAATCCTCCTCCATTGACACATGTCTTTAACCGTCTCGCCAACCGCTCCTGCCAATTACAAGGCTTAACTGGCTCGACCGACTGACCAATCCAGATACTAACTGATCGCTACACCAAAAGACTCATTGGTCGCCCAATCAAACGACCAATTAACAAACCTTTCTTTGCCCGACTAATTAACAGACCTTTCCTCTTTGTCTGACCTCCGTGTCTGCTGTCTCATCTTTCTTCGCCCGACCTTCATTTTGACCGACCTCCGTATCGGCCGCCTCATCCTTCTTCGCCTGACTTCATCTTTTGACCGACCTCCGTATCGG